TCCAAGATCTAGCACATTGGAGACTCCATCAGCCACCTGGCAAAAGGATGTGCACAGGACGTCCAACAGTCCATCAACAGGGGTGAGAGAAAACATCCGTTCTCTAAGGAGCTTCTTCAGGAGACACGGCGGGCCATTGCCCAAGAGATTGGGCTGGACCACCAACTTGCTGAGGAGATGGAGCCAGGCCAGCCGTTCTACCTGAACCTCATCTCAGCCTTAGCGGAAGCTGGTGGAGATGCAGACGCAGCCTACCCCACAAGGGTTGCCAAGGGAGTCCCATTAGGTGTCACCACACCTACCTGGACGTCACCGGGTATATGGCCTACAAAGGAAGAACTCAAAGGAGAATCCCCTCTGTGGGAGGACCTCCTAATACCCATGGGCCGGGACAACTACCCCTCGGCCAAAGATTTCTCCTCCCAGGTCAGACAGACCTTCGTGGAAGAGGTAGACATGGGTATGGTTGAAGGCCCACTCACACAGGAGGAGGCCGCCCTCCGCTGTGGATGCACCCCAGATGAACTCTGCCCAGGGCCCCTGGCAGCAATTGATGAAGGAGATAAAATCCGCACAATTTACGACGGAAGCTGGGGCCATGCAAACTCACACATCCAACAAAACACAGTTGAGAAGACCACTGCACCCACAGTGATGGACTGTGTTCAAGCCATTCACTGGCTAACCACCAAGAAGGAGAAGACATCTGGGACGGTAGCGTCTTGCACCGACCTAGCATGGCAACCTCCACACAAACAAACCACCTGGGCGCTCTTGAAAGCAGATGTTTCAAAAGCACACCGCCGCATCAAGGTCCAATCCAACGAATGGCGCTACCAGGTAGCACAACTTGATGGCGAATGGTGGATAAACAAGGTGGGTACCTATGGTATGGCCAGCGCCCAACTTTATTGGGGCAGAATGGCGGCACTCCTCCTCAGACTATGCTACATGGTGTTTCCACACATAGACTGGGGCTTTGTGTTTGTGGATGATTTTTGCTGGCTCCTCAGAACGGACTCCGCCACTGAGGATACGGCAAAACTACTTCTCTTCTTAGCAGCCATGGGGTGCCCCCTCAGTTGGCACAAGACGGTGTTATCTGAGGTCAACACCTGGTTAGGTTTCCAGGTCAACCCATGCGGACCAGTGGTAGACTTCCCTCCAGATAAGAGGAAGACACTTGAGGCACTCCTCCAGACCATCGCGGCTGGCAACACCTTCACGGTAAAGGAGATTGAGAGAGCATTGGGACGATTAAATTGGGCAACGGCAGCTTGGCCCCTCAGCCGCCCTTTTCTTCAACCATTTTGGGCATGGAAATCCGCGACGACTACTTCAGGGAAGCCCGGCAAGCTCATACGATCCTTTGCGAAGCTTCTCCTCCAGCTGCTCCACAACCCCCAGATCCAACCCTGCCCTTACGACCCTGCCTCCAATTGGTGGGGTGCCAGTGATGCTAGTGCACACCCGGATGATGGGGCCTACATTGGGGGGTGGATTGCAAACTGTGAGAACCCGTCAAAGGAACAGACCTGGTGGTTCCATTACAAGATACCCCTTGAAGACCATCCATGGGCTCACAAGGATGGTGATCCAACCAGACGCATTGCGACCCTCGAGATGTTTGGCACATTGATCCTCACCCACTTCCTTTTGGCTTTGGGTGGGAAATCTCTGCTCCGTACCCGTCTCAGCCTCATTTCAGACAATCAAGGCAATGTCTTTGCCCTGTTGAACCAGAAGACGAAGCATATGCCTACCTCAGCCTTCCTAATGCAGCTCATCGCCATGCTCTATGTTGCTGGGGTTCAATTGGCGCCTTCACACATGAAGCGGGACTACAACAAGTGGGCGGACGAACTCACCCACCCGAACTTCACTGGGTTTTCATCCTGATCGACAACTACCAGTGAGTGAAGCTTTTTCTCATTTTAAATTTCTCTGGGCTCTTCTGGATGACCAGATGAGTGTCCCCACTTTTTCAGGAAATTCAAAACGTCGTAAGACCGATTCTCACGCCACCTAAGGTCCTTCGGGAGCCAGGTGGTTGCGGCTGACTTTATGGTGTACAGTGGTGTTTTCCCACCTACAACCCCTCTTTTTCCCTTCTTACTTGCGCGAGCTTCACGCTCCGGCGGGTTGGGTGGATTTTGACGTGTGACACCACCACTGCAGTTCAGAGTTTCTGTGAAACCATTTGTGATAGATGCGATTGGCATCTGACAGAGACACAGCCGCAAAGCCAACTGCATAACAAAAGGTGCTGACTGATCGATGCAGTTGCTTTGTTCCGTTTCTGTCATTTTCAATTCTATTCGGGAACACGATTGTATTTAATGTCTTTTAGTAGTCTCAACCCAGAACAATTCGATCTTATTCAGCTGGAATCAACCGGTGGCCAGGAAGGTGTTGGTCAATCTGGCGCAGCGCCCAGAAATGGTCCGGACACCCTGGAAACATCAGCCAAAGTAGCGCAGCTATCCCCGTGGCTCAAATGGTTGGCAGCTGGCCCAAGATAGACTTCGTCAAGCTGATTTGTCAAGTAAAAGTGGTCGTCAGGTCTTAGCCAGGGATTGCCATGGCTCAATTCCTGAGCTGCAGGTGCTCCTACTTCGCACCGATGCGCGGGCAGCGCCAGCTGCAACCACAGGGGGTGCACTGCGCAAGGGCAGCACTGGAAAGTGCAGTTGGTCATCATATTTTCATGAAGTATGAAGTCCTTTGCAGACTTCCCCGTGGCCTCAAAAGGGTGTGTCTACCGGTTTACCCAAAATACTCCAAAATGGATCTCTAGTGGGGAAAATGAGGCTAAACCATCAACATTTCAGGGGTTCGCCCTGGCCTTTTCCAGCACTCAGATGCCTTCCATGCGGCATGTGCGAAAGTTCCTGGCATTTATCCAGAAGGACGCGTATGGGGCTAGGATGGGACATGAAGATACGATAAAGAGATGTCATATCGAGTAGTTTATGCATGTATAGATACATACACATGTGTATGTATACACAATTATACAATATATGCACACACATACGTACATTACAGTACATTACGTAAACATTACATCAGATTCGCGCGTAGGTATGTACATATATATATATAGGTATGTACATACATACACGCACACACACACATATATATATACATATGTATATATATATATATACACATACACACCTGTATACCAGAGAGAGAGAGAGAGAGAGACACACACACACACACGCGCATATATATATATATATATATGTGTGTATATATATATATACACACAAATTTGTACATGTATGATGTAAATACACAACATATTTGCGCGTGTTCCCATATTTGTTTCACTTATTCGTTGGGCTGGCGATCCGTGTGACTTCTGTTCCCCAGGAAGTGGGCACTGAGTGTGTGCTGGTGGGCCGAGGGAGCGCCATCGTTCTGGCCGCCGGGCATCAGTTGGACGTCTTCAACTTTCATCAGCGGATAACGTTCGGTCATCAAACATGGCATTGGGAAACCCACAATAAATGCAGGTTTGAATGGAAAACTCATACTGTAAATGGGCGATTTTCCATTGCGCCGGGGGGCGGATGATATTCCCATGAAAAACGTTTCCAAAAGATTGATTAAGTTATGCAAGTTAATTCCAAATCTCTGTTTGTTAACATTGTGTTTTTGTTTTGTTTTGTTTGTTTGTTTGTTTGTTTGTTTGTTGCGTAATTGAGTCTGCATGCCTGGTTATATCCACCAATGGTTTCCTATTAGAACAACATTTTGTGGATGATCATGGGGTCCGCAAGACTTAAGAACCACTATTAATGTGGTAAAACCAACCATAAAACGATCCTCACTATCACCATAAATGTCCCCAAATGGTAGGTTTATTATTGGCATTATCCCGGTTGCTGTTCTGTTTAGTGTAACTCATCCCCTGCACTGAGGTTCCAAGTACTTTCTTGGGTACTGCGGTGCTGCGTCTGTGTTCCCAGCTTCCCTAACCGGACCTAATACGGCCCGTTGAGAGCACATTTCAGCCAAAATGATAGACATTTCCATCGGGCTGAAAGCTACAGGAATTCTTGATTTCAGGATGAACAATTTGCAGGAAACCATTCGTTTTTGTTCCCGCTCACCCCGAGAGACGGCTGATTCTCCCTTGATCCAAGTATTAAAAACCGAGGTTTAGTGCAGCTGGTGCAGCGGATGTTACCAGCGCCTTATCCACAAGCCATTGTGGCAAGCGTGGCCTGGATCTCAGAGATTTGCGGAGACAGGTGGACGAATCAACAAGATCAATAGGAAACATATTCTTAGACAGTAGATAACATATGATAAAATAGCCAAAAAATACCTGGATACCTTTGAATGTTAGGATTCAATTCAAGACCTTGCAGTGTCCTGTAACCGTTTCCAATTGAGTGTCTTATCACAAAAAAAAACCGCAGCTGTTCCTGGGCTGGAGGAGGAGGCGGATGCCTTTTTGGCCAACATTGCCAAGGAGAACGCTGTGGAAGTTGCTGGGACACGGAACATTTGAACCTCGAAGTTCCCAATTCTCCGTGGGGTTGAAATTTGGAGGCACCATGGTTTTTTTTGGACGGATTGTTAAACATTCCTTGCTTGGGAATGAACTGTTTGAACTTGGGACTTGGGGAAGTTGCGTGAAGTTCCTTGAGCAAGAAGAACTATTATAAAATATTATAAATAAATAAATTAAATAAATTAAATGAATTAAAAAAAATAAAAAAATTAAATAAATTAAATAAATTAAATAAATTAAATAAATTAAATAAATTAAATACATTAAATAAATTAAATAAATTAAATCAATTAAATAAATTAAATAAATTAAATTAAATAAATTAAATTAAATAAATTAAATAAACAAATATAAATAAATAAATGTATACTGTATATGTATATATATATATGTGTGTGCGTGTGTCCCTATTGAAACTATTGAGGGTACCTCAAAATCATTTGGGGCCTTCTGTTGCCAGGAGTATCCTGCTATGGCGCACCCTGAGGAGTATCCTGAGTCGCCGGTAGATTTGCGGAACGAGGTGCAGCATCCAATGGCCCTGACACCACATATGGGACCATAGAATGGGGTAACATCAGGATGGGAATCCGCTGCTCCAGTAACTCCAGTGTTCCCATCCCATTTTAAGTGCCAAGCACACATTAGAATCATTAGGCGATGTTTTTCGCAATGTGAATAGATTTGCGGATGTGGGTGCGATCATGTTTCAGGTTGAGCGACGAGAGGTTCCGGAAAATCAAGCTCAAGCCTCAGGGAAGCTACTCGAGGTATGGGAGGTTGCCGAAGCTCTAGCTATTGGATGCGTTTTTTTGGTCCTTGCCCATTTATTGTAGAACTACCGAAGAAGAGAGAGAGAGAGAGTGAGTCACTCCATGGCCATGCCTTTGGACTCTTGTCCGCAGCTGTTTTCTCCCAGCTGTTTTCGGCCAGCCGCGCGCGATTGCGTCGCTGCCTTGGCAAACAGCTCCAGCTGTTGTTCGAGCGAAAACCTTTGTCGGAAAGACTGCTAGTAGGAATTGGGGGCTTAACGCCCAATGTGGATATATGATGCAGATGCAGATAGATATAGCAGAGAGCGAGAGAGAGAGAGAGAGAGAGAGAGAGAGAAAGAGAGAGAGAGAGAGAGAGAGGGAGAGAGAGAGAAAGAGAGAGAGAGAGAGAAGAAAAGTCGTGTGTATATACTGCACACACACGCACATGCAGAAACACATACACATACATAATATATATATATAATATATATATATATAATATATAATATATATAATATATATATAATATACATATATGTATATATATATGTATATACAAATGCATAGATCTAGATGCCCCTTTCATATCACGGGCTCATTGGCATGGGCTCGCGAGGTTTGCGGAGTTTTCTCAGCATCAACGATTTCTCTCTCTGGACGTGTTAGTTCGCATCAGAAGATTAGGTGGATGGGATGTCCACAGAGCCTCACTGCTGATAGGCGCCCTTGCATGTATTGCAAGATGAACATCAGAACTGTGCTATTCTGGTTGAGTGAGCGGTGCTGGAACGCTCTCATTTGTGAGAATTTCAAAGTGTTGCTGTGAATGCAGGTGCGTTGGGCTAGATGAATGCCTTGAACATGTCATAAGTTGTGCGCTTAAGAAGTGTTGGAAGATTCAGGGTCTCAACAGCACAAACCAACAAACAAGTCTTGAAGCCTTGAAGTTTTGAAGTCGCAGTGCTGTGCAGCAAGACCATTGCGAGACAGCCGCCCAAAAATCCATTGCTTAATCATCATCATCATCATCCCGCCTAAAATAGCCATGACTGGGTAGTGTGTGCACCCCAAGTGGCCCAAGTGACACACCAAACCTAGCCACCCAGTTTGCTTTGACTTCTTGTACTACATGTAGAGCAGTGAAGCGCAGCGCTTCAACTGTTGCAATGTCGCTGTCGGGCAAGCGGGGCGCTAGTGCTTCAGGGTCCAGGCAGGATGTTGGTTGATGGTGAAAAATATCAGAAGGTCCAAAACCACAGAATTTTGATGAACCCGTTCAATCTGTTCAATCCCAAAGCGGGATGTTGGAATTTCAGGATTCCAAATTCATCGAATTCCATGGCTGATGCTGGTACTCTTACCGCCCATTTCATGGCAGTCCACCACCTGTTTGTTTGAATGGCGCAAAAAGGATAGCTGATCAACCCAGAGAGTGTCTTGAGCTCATGCGTAGGTATAGGCAAAATTTGATATAGCATATGACAACCATGGATAAAAGTCTGATAAAAGTAAGAGAGTGATAAATCGTGACTAACAATTGGTCGCTATTGGCTCTTGCTGGCCAACAAGTATCCCAGTAATTAGTAATTACCCATTCTTACTAACTGGGGTTTATTCATCGCAGATTAACATTAGTGATAACACCCATGAATCCCACCAATCAGCCAACATATGTTCCATTTATATCCATTTATAGATGTTCATCCCGGATTCATCCTATATATCTAAAATGGCCCATTGAGTTTATGGTGATCGACCCATAAAAAATATAAAAAATGGCGATTTTCCATAGTTGATGGCGATTTTCCATGGCGATTACCCATAAAAAATGGCGATTTTCCCCATGATATCCCCATGGTGGGGGCTGGTGCCCCTTCCTCCAGGCCCAGCAGCAGCACCAGCATCGCCTCACCTGCACGGAAACGCCCGCGGGCAGAGGAGGAGGCACCTGGCGCTGGAAAGGTTCAAGTCATGGCAGGGCTCACCCGGAACGTGCTCAACATCCCACGTTTTGCGGCGATGTATGTTTCGTATCATATATATGGCTATGGATCAATACCTATTAATACCATTTTTAGTGGGATGAACATCCATTTACCAGCTATTTTGATGTTCACCAGCTATTCTGACTGTCCCTGGTTGGTGGTTTCAAACATTTTTTATTTTCCATAATATATGGGATGTCATCCTTCCCATTGACTTTCATATTTTTCATAGGGGTTGAAATCCACCAACCAGAATATATAGAACCCATTAGAAGCCCCTGATTTATAAACCCAGCTTGATCGCGAGGGGTTCCCTAAAGAAGCTTTTCATTTGCTACTAAAATGGTTTTGGCCCCCCAATGATCAGCATCTGGGGTTGACATTAATAATCCAAGTTGTTGCTGTTCGTTGTTGTTGAATGCCCAGCGTTTGGACACATCCCTGACTCCCAGGTTCTTGTGGAACCAGAGGAAGAACCTGATGATGTCGTCCTGGTTTCTCGTTAAAATCGGAAGTTTGGGACTCCAAAAATGGTCGGACGTATGACACCAATGGTCATCCAAAACAGTGTCTCAAATCTGTTTGGCCACTTCTTTTCGTAGTCACATTGGTTGGTTGATTGTTGGTGGCAATTTCCAAAATAGCCATGGTTTTCCTAAAATTTCCATGGTTGATTCGTGGCTGTACTTTAAACATATCGTCTGAAAAGCCATGGTTTTCGTCCCCCATTGAAACACGTGTTGTGAGTCTTCGCACAGGTGCAGGAATCGCTCTCCACTGAGACAGAGCCTTGTCTGATGGGCAGGGCTGATCTCCTGGAAAGGGATCCTCCCTGCTTCGTCCATTGCTTCATGGCACAGACGCATGCATATCCTGTGTATGTATATATATAATATATACATGTATATACACACATGCATCTCTCTCTCTCTCTCTGTATATGGATCTATTTGTTTATCTATTTATCTATTTGTGAAATGATCCACCTTTTCTATCTATGTGCCACATCCCCAGGTTCCCTGCGAGTTGTGCGGTGCCAAAGTGGCGTTTTCCGAGTTTGTGGTGCACATGTCTATTTGCCAAGAGCGACCCCAGGACGCGGAGTGCACCTGTGGGACTTTGGGTTGGAACTTTGGGACTCTCTAAATACTGTAGCTGTAGATTTTTTTTTTTGGGTGGGGCAATGGAAAATCCCTCAGTTTTAGATGGACATGCGCACATTAATTTTAAATATGTTTTTTTTCCGCACATATAGATAGATATACGGTCCAATTGAATTTAGGGAGTTCAGTTCCCATTGATCGATCGCGTTTCTGGGTCAGATATTTCCAGATGACAAACATTCGTTGGAATTCTGCTAGGCTGAAGTGGCAGCCGCTGACAACTCAGAAGACATCACCTGCGATGTGTGTGGTGAGAACTGTGGCAGCACTTGACTGGCAGAATGGGTATGTTGTGTCCCTTTGGCTTTGTTGATGACACCCTAATTCTGACCTTGAAAGTCAGGAAGGGTCTTAGAGAAACAAATTGGGCATGAGATGCAACTCACACGATGCACAGCTGCCACTTGTCCCCATTTTGTTGGCCGCTCTGGCGAAGTGCTGAGGATTGTTCCCTTCAGCAGCTTCGTGGAGCATTCCAAGAAGCATAGCTTCTCAGCTCCAGCTGTAATTCCTCAGAACTGGGACTCAACCATTTTTGAACCATGATTGGATATCCATTGGATTATCACACATGTTTCCTATTTCAAATCATCCATTGGTATCTATTGGATAAGAAAATCCATTGATAATTCCCGATGATTCTGGCCGACATGCCCAGGTGCTGAGGATCAAGAGGGTGCCGCCTGCCAGCTTTGTGGTGTTTGGCCGCCTCGGCTAAAAAAAAGGGGTCGTGTACACGACCACTGGAACCACTTTTGGAACCCCTTAAAAGTGCCAGACATCCAACAGGGAGCTTATCTTCCAGACCTAATTTTTTGGGGTCCAATATGAAATCCGGGGAGTGTAAGTGAAAAAATAAAGCACGGAGCAGGTTCTTTGACACTCCTGGTCCAGCTCCTAAGATCCTAAGTCTTGAGTGGTCGGAGAAACCCTAAATTCTTTAGTCAAACTCAAACAATCTTTTTGATGCTTAACTAGTACGAGCCCAGAGTCTTCACATCATGGACGACAAACGTGGGGTGGACCTTTTCAAACAGTGTGAAGCATCACCATCCAGGCTTGGAGCCAAGGCTTCTTGGCTGCACCATCGGGGAGTGGATCGTGTTTTTTTCCTCCGGGTAGACCCCATAGTTGCGATACTGTAGTAGATCCAGATGATCCATTCCAGGACGAGATTCCCTCATGATTCTTTCCCACATCTAGGAAACACTCCCGGTTGAAGGTTGGACCCATTTTCCAGCTTCCGGACTAAAATGCACGGCTTTCTCTTGGGTAGATTTTGGGATCACAATTTTTGGCAACCTCCTACATCGCCAAGATTAAGCGTAGTCGAAATGCACATTGTTGAAAACTGTTCTTGGCTACTGATGGGCCCCTTGCAATTTTGAACGGATCATGGGCACTTGAATTCCTAGACAATCTACAGTTAGGCCCCATTGACATCTGCCAACTGAATAGTCCATGGTTACAGCCTAAGGAGTTAGCAGACCACCTGGCTGCGCACAAAGTCCATGATCAGTGGCTGGATAGGGAGATGAAGAGTTCCACTTCGGCAGTGGACATCACCGTGGGGGGACCTGGGATGATTTCGCCATGGCCTTGGGGGCCAAGACCTTGGGTGGATAGGCTGATGTGAACCGAGGGCCCCAAGACGAAGTTGGGAGGGCTGGAGTTTAGCCCTGTTGGATCCATATTTGCTCCATATTTCATCCATAGTTGACCCCTTTGCGCCACGTTCAGGCGCAACTGGTCGAAATGGCCCGTGCTGGTGGTGCTGGCTTGCCGGGCAATCGAAGCCACGTGGCAGTAGGTGTGGGGCCAGGGTGGCAGATCCAAAATCTTATCAGGGTTGGTCTGAACATAGAGTACGCCGTGCGCCCCTAAATTTGATGGTTAGTCATCATTTTCTCCAAAACTGCAGTTCCGATCCATTTTGTGTGGAAATCGCCATATTTCAGACACACCCAACTAGGGAACCCCGGAGCCTTCCACAGGAGATGCGGTTCTGGTCCGCTGGTCCGATGGCCGCTGGTACGCTGGCCACGTCCGTGCCATGCCGGACGTAGGGGAGCCTGGCGGAGAGGAGAAGATCAGCGTGGCCTGGGATCCACCGTTTGCGCAATGGGCGCCAGAGCGTGTGGCAGAGCATGCTGTGATCCCGCGGATGAATCAACCCAGGGAGGTGTGCAACTTTGATGTGGCCCTGCAGTTTGTGAAGCTGGAAGCGAAAATTCAGACGATTTTTCCTGGTCAAGTTCCGTTGCGGCGCATTTTTTCTAATTGCGGCGGAGGTTTCTCATATACCTGACAGTATATATACATATGTCTGTAGAATTGAAGGCTTATTTCGTATGCATGTGCGCGGACTGATTGTATACACATGTTGATTATCATACGCATGCTGTACAAGGTGCACTCGTATATGCATTGTACTTGTGCCAGATAATTGCGTTGAAAGATGATGCAGAGACATTGATATGGAAGCAATGTAAGATGAAAGTGGATAAGGAGATGAATAGAATAGAAAATGCAATCCCCCAAATCAACATAGATCCCCCCAAATGGGGTTGGACGCTTGCTTTACACAAACGACGGCTATTTTCGGGGTCTATGTTAATTTACCGGACATCCCTTGTAGCATTGAGGAAGAAGCTGTGCTCCATGAAGGATCGCAGCAGCAAAGCGACGAAGCTGGAAGTTGTATACCATTGGACTGGGGAGGAAAATGTTCAGAAAATTGTTGAGACTTGGCTTAGACTGGGCCCAATTTTTACACTTGGCCGAGATTTGTGTACCACAGAACTGAACTTGAACGCTTTTTGCAGGTCAAACTAGGGTCTTAATGATTAAGCTAGCAGCACAGCAGATCTTGCCATGATTTGCCGAAGATTTTCAAAACGCAGCATTTTTTGACGGAGCGACACAAGGAGAACAACTTGAAGACCCCTGGATCGACCAATGCGGATGGCAGCGCCGTACCTTTTCACAGTTTTGGAAAGACAGCAGTGTTCCAACATCGACACAGGATGACACGACAAATGGACATTTTTTGGTATGGGCTAATGGAACTCGTGCCATTGGTTTTTTGGACACAGCACCATTTGTTTTTTTTACCACAACTTTGCAGCTGCTGTGCCTGTAAAATTCGCTGAGGTTCAGCGCTTGAACGGCGACGCCTATGGCAAAGGCATCTATGCTGCAACAGATCTCAACTACGGGAAAGGCTTTGGCCGCATCTTGGACGAATTCAATGGATTGGTTGAAAATGTTGAAACGAATATCTTGACGGGAAGCCATTCGGAAAAACCATGTTTTTTTTTCGAAACATCAGGGTTTCCAGGGTTTCCTGCAGATTTGGCTAAGCCAATTCTGGGAATGGATGGATTCATGCCGTCCATGCTTTCTCGTTGGTACTTTGATCTAGCAATGGATCCACCATTCCATTTCTCACTTTGATCTAGACATTTTCCTAAAAAGGCAATTCCACTTGTACCATTCGCAAATGGTACAATTGATTCCCAGAGGGTCCAATGGCTGGTTTGAGGCGGTCTCAGCTGTGCGTTTCTGTGCCTGGCGATTCCTGGACATATGAGTCAAAGTCAGACTATGAAGCTGTCAAGTCGCGATGATAGTCCCTTGGTTGCAAGGCTGGGGCAGCCCTGTTTGGCCACAGAAACTTGTTGCGTTGAACGTCGGCGCTGAGGCTTTAAGCATGGTCCCCTACGAGTGTACCGGACCTCGGAACAAGTACTTCCACTATTCTTCACGGATCCATGGCAGAGAAGCAGTGCCACTAGAAAAAACATGATTCAAGGAAAGATAGGAAAGTTTTGCGCACATCTTTTAAGCTTTTTGTTAGTCCACTTGGGGGGCCTGGAGGCCACTCCCTGCTTGTTTGCCATCGTCAATGTCGTGTCGAAATGGGTTAGTTGGACCTGGCCAAGGACTCCAACTCATCTGCAAAGCTGGCTGAGTGCGCCTGGGACATCGCCGACCTTTTGAAGGACGGCACCGATGGAATTTGGAACCCGACCATTCGGCGTTCCATCTCAAATTTCCGGGGCTTGGAGGCTACTCCTTGGATGTTACTCCTTCCACCGTTCAGCCTGTTCAGCGTGGCGTTTCATTTGCCATGTGAAATTGTGCATCACAGCCACTGCGTTGCGGAGGAACGAGCGCTGGGGCAAGTGAAAGATGAAGCGGACTCTTGTTCACAGAATTGTTGGCGTAGCCGTGTTCCCATTGATCCGTGGCATGTGGTGCCAGGAAATGGTGACTTCGCATTGACTGACCCGCCAAAGAAGTGACCCCGCTAAAATATACTGCAGCTAAGCGCTTGAAATCCTGCAGCAAACACCTGCCAAACCTTACCCTGTCAGTATGGCGTGTCATACTCTGCACAAATGGCTGGTAGCACTTGATGAAGCTCAGGAGTTCAGGAAGGGTGCCCGGGTAGAAGCTCTCTGGCAAGGAGCATTCTGGAAGGCACGGAACATCATGGGACATATATGAAAATGTGCATGTTTAGTCATACTTTGCTTCAAACTTGGGGAGTTACCCTTTGGAAATCAAACACGTCAATGGAACATCCTCAATTTATGGATGTTTTTTCCTATTGAATGCCCGAGGATTTCCCATTGCCATGTTTGATTTCCGAAGGGACCCGGGAAGAGCAGAAGTTGAATATCTTCAGCACCAATTTTCCCAGGCAGAGGTATGGCACGTGCACCGTGATGGCACGTACGACCTGAAGTGGCAGCATCCGTACCATTTCTGGCCCGCAGAGCTTCGAGTGTCTCCCGATCGGCTGCGGAGATATGATGAGTCCTAGCGCCGAATCCTAGTTGCAATGCCCAAATCTCGGCCGATGCTTACAGGGGCCATGATCCAAGGTGGTTAGTTGTTGGGCCTTAACTATGGCCCATATGGATCCATATGGATCCATATGGGTTGGTTCATTGGGGATTCTATGGGATGACCCTATTGATGGGTGTAGCTGCACCAGGATGCAGTCAATGCGAAGAAGGTTGGCTGCCAGAAGGGGTCCCCCAATGGCTTATATTTATCTTGGTGGGCTTGGACAGCTCCCTTTTTTTTTTGGACTAATGTAATACTTATATATATATCTGTGTGTGTGTATACATATATATATATATAGAGATCTCTCTCTCTCTCTCTCTATACTATTATATAGTAACAGGAAACCTGTCAGTTAACTCTTACATGGGGATTAACCTTCCTGTTGCGACACCGTGGAATGGTTTGGAGCACATGTGTGAGCGCACGGTGCGGAATTCACCCTGCCGCTCCATGAAAGCAGCAGGGTGTTCACTTTTAAGCTGCAGTTTCCCTTGGTCTGTGTGATCGGGGTTCTCACGCCAAAAAGCCGCAGCAGCAGCAACTCATGGCAATTCCCCCCAAGTCCTGAGATAACCTCGCCATGCGGGAATAGACTGGATTCACAGTTGTGCCATTCCTGATCTTTGGGGATCTATTTGCCCATCATTTTTCTGGAATGACCGCTGCAAAACCACCAAGCCAGCCATTGCAGGCGAATCTCGCCAGTAGGTGTTGCTGCCATGGTTTGACATGTCAAACGTGTGGTGACAACTCAAAGGCTAGAGGCAGACAACTCAAACGTACATACCCAGAAACCTTGGTTGCACCTGGGTACACACTGGGAGAGAGAGAGAGAGAGAAGGAACCAAGCCACTCTTTTTTGGATGTCTGGATCATGACCTTGAGTGATTGTAGACACTTGGCTCTAGCCAGACAACATCACCGCCAGACAAAGGGCATGCAAATGTGTCGTGTTCCCTCTCAGGATTTTGATGAACTTGGGGATTGCTAGTGCAGAATCACTTTCCAATTGTTGTCACTTGGCTACAGCCCCCAAAAAATTCCAGTGTCTACCTCCAAAAAGCCCATTCAGGATGTCTTATACTGAACCCTGGTCCCTTAGAACAATGATTTGTTGTTCTCGGGCTCTCGGGCATTTAGTAATCCAGAGCCGGCAAACATACTTCATTTTCTCCAGCATAACTGAGGCATCTTAGGCCTCCTCCAGCATAAGCAGCACGGGTTCTAGGTTCTGACAGCTCGAAGGAGCCAGAAGCATCTTGGTGCATGATGCCATGGTGGGTACGCTGGAGGTACAGGTGGTGGAGTGCTTCCAAGTCAAGTCGACAGGTGGGGAAACCACCTGGGGTACTGTAGGCAATGGCCCTGGTTTATTTGCAATTTTCAATGAAGAAACATGAGAAAAGCAGGGTAATTAGAAACTGATTTTTGGGGTAACACATGGTTAGACGATTTTTGGAGAACCCCATCGTCATGACAAGCTCCTCCAAAGGTTGCAAGCGGTATTCACACATCATCCTTCTGAGTTCTATACATATCCTGAAGGTTTTCCAGCAATATTCGCCCGTGCTTCCCTCAAACAGGCAGCCTGTTCAGCGGCAACAAGCTCTTTGTGAATGTGAAGTTGGATGGCGTCGAAGCCAGAAGTGCATCGCTGCCGGAGGCCATGATTAGCTGCGCCCTTTGAACCCCTTTGGGACAAACATGACCCATACATGACCCATTTGCAGATGATTATGATTTCAGATGATGATGATTTCAGGCTGCTGGTGGGGTTCGCTGGGACTTCTCCACTCAGATGGTGTGCCCACAACATGCGGCAACTTGGACGCGCAGCCGTCGTTGCATTGAACCGTTTAAATGAAACATGTCCCAATGGGAAAATGTGGGAACTTAGCCATTTAAGATAGATAAGATAGCCATTTCTGGAAAATGAGACACTGTTTTCAATGGATCATGGGGGATTTTATACACGGCCGTTTGAAACTGCCTGCCAGAGAACAACAGTCTTTCCGTTCAATTATTATAGGTTTTTCGTGCTAATTTCCCCTTGACCACATGAGGCAAACCTGGAGTTGCAGCTAAAGCGCGAAGGAGAGACGAAGAGACGCACAGCCGTTTGGTGCTGTGCAAATCTAGGGCCGTATGAAGTGCACATAAACTTATATATCATTTATGGATATTCAGATCTTCACACCTATGCAAATGGATGCATGTTTGTGTTTTTTTTGGTTGTTTTCGATTTACATGCATGAGGATTTTCACCTCTTCACAGAATCAACATATGCCACTGTATGCAGGGCAGGAGTGGGACTTGGTTTTCAACCAGGACTCTTCTCCTCACACTTTGTGGGGGGCTGTTCATTGCCGCTGCAGCAGATCTCTGGCACTTTGGAGCAGGAGCTTTGCTTTGGGAAAGGAAGTTGTCCATAACGGAACAACAAGATGGAAGTGCAAGCTTCTACCAGGTCTACCAGGATGTACCCCTACCAGGTTTGCCAGGTTCTACCAGGTTCTACCAGGGTCCACCAGGTTACCAAAGCCTTTGCCAAGCTCGTTCTAAAGGAGGTGCCATTGTGGGATGGCTCGCGCAGCGAGGTGGGACGTCTGCGGATCTGCATCTCGAAGTCAGGCCCCAAGACTGGACTCATGAACCTGGCTGGGTCGCAGATCGTGTCAGGCGCGGGGAAAACGAGACACCACTGGCTGGATGATTACATGGGGGATAGTCATGGTATAGTATCCAATAGGTAGGGGACTATCAATCATTCTCCGAGTCTCAGGATATCTCTAGTTTGTATTCCTTTTTTTGGGGTGATTGTATCATATCATATCGTCAGAATCACCCCAAGCTCTCTTTTTTTCTAGTTTTTTTTTGGGGGTTTATTTGTCCACGGGCTTGGGGGTCACCTTGGAAAACCAGCGTGGCATGGCTAGGCATACTATACATATCCTGAAATTGGTTGCACCATCTCAGTAAATATAAATCCCAATGATAATATATAGTATAGTATAGTGTAACAGTGTATAGTATATAGTATATAGTATACTGGCGTGACTATAAATCCCTACCAGTTGGTTGAGTTCCCCCAGTAGGCCACGCCTCCCACAGGTTCGGATCGCCCTGCCCTGACGCCGGCGCCTACCCAAAGCCTCGCCGGTGGCTTGGTGAATCGCGCCAGTGTCGCGGCGGGCTCGTTGGGCACGGTGGGGTCCAGCCTGGAGAACTACGTGGGGAGCCCAGTGACCGTTGTGGGACCCAAAAAAAGGGAGGCTCGGGGGGTCCAACAAAAATTGCGATAGAGAAAGCCACACAAAATGTGGGGACAGCCTTCCGCAAAAGCCACAGAAAATGTACCATAGAGGATGGGTTTGATTCATAGGACATCCAAATCTTGGGCGAGATCCCAAGGCACGCTCCGCCACCACGGATTTGGAGAGCCGTCCTGCGTTTGCCCGAGGTAGGGCTGACATGGCTACGTTTCGGGTGCCCTGGGTGAGCCCTGACATTTGGATTTTGTTGGATATATCATTCCGAATCATTCCTATTTTGGATATAATGTCGTATACCCAACAAGAACAAACCCCCAAGATTACCATGCTTATGGGTGGTATAAACTATCCCCAGGGTCATGGTAGTTTTATGGCATTGGGTTGCCCACAGTCACATTATCCTGTATATCGACCTGACCACATTTACGAACTGTTCCATTCAAAACGGCTTCATTTCTTCAAGCCCTTGGCCAATCTTGGCCAGGTTCGAGCCAGGCGTTGGCCAATCTGGCCGCTGCCACTGGCATGCAAGTGTTGAAACAATTTCTTACAACAAATCAGACCAGATGACCAGAGTCCAGATCTTTCAAGCCTTATTCCGTTATTCCCAGAGTATCTACTTCGTTGAGATGAGTTCTGAGGTGTTGTAGTGTGTTGGATCAACAATCCAATCATCCAATCAGTTGCCAAGGCCAGGGAGGACGGGAGCCGCCCAGATGCGGTGCGTCGCGCCAATGAGCTCCTGGTGGAGGCGAGGCTGGAGTAGCAATCCATGGGAAATCCATGGGAGATCCGTGGGACATCCATGGGAAATGCGTGGGAACCCATGGGAAACCATCATTTAAGATAGTGTGTTTTTCTTTTTGGGGGTGTGAATTCAGCCGTAAAATCCCAATTTGAATCCCCATATTATATATATATATTCAACAGCCCAAAGAACAGCCCAGGTAAAAACGGAATCCCTGGCTCAGGTGGATCCCTTTGACGCCAGTCGTGAGGAGCACCGCCAAAAGCTGGCGCAGGCAGTGGAGCGTTTGAGGCGGGACGTGGTGGCTTCGAGATGCCTTGGAGAAATTGATACTTTTTTTTTTGGGGGGGTGTTATTAGGATAAAACATATTGTAGATAATGATTATGTTTTTTTTTTGCTCTCTCTCTCTATATTCTCCCTCTCTCTCTCTCTCTTTATGCTGCTTCTGCTTCTGCTTCTTGTTCTTGTTGTTCTTCTTCTTGTTCTATGGGGCGGGATGGGCTTGAAACGAAATAGAGTAAGTCTGCGATCTTTTTCCTCTGGCCCCTTTTGAAGCCCATATTGGGGCTGTGCCCAAGTGCCAAAGCTATATTCACCCCGCTTCGCGTGGGGTGGCCGCCCACACCGCAGGTTTATTTCGGTCCGTGAGAGGGGCTAAGGGTGGTTTTCCCCCGTGGGGGCTCCCCAAGCTAGGGAATTTTCACTTTTCCCCCCCGTGGGGGCTTCCCAAGCTAGGGAATTTTCACTTTTCCCCGCCGTGACAGCTTCCCAAGCTATGGAATTTTCACTTTTCCCTCCCTTGGAGGCTCTCCAAGCTGCGGAATTTCAAATAGCTAGACAACGACGCCTAGATAGTCCCCCAAATCCCGTGTTCTTTGAATGTGTTTCCATGTTTTTGCAATGGTTTCCTTCAAAGCACGGTACTTTACACTTTTGTCGCCATAAAACCGGTCGAAAACATCATGTTCGACAATGCTTCCAATTCCCTTATCTCCCCAACCGTTGAAAATACCGCTATTTACAGTGTTTTCTTCAATTTTTCCATGTGCCAATGCCGGTAGCCAACTCCAACATATATATAAGAAATCCTTCCAAAACATTTTTTTTGACAGTGTTTTTCCAATGTTTCCAGTCAAACAGACGGTAATTTACACGTTTTTTGCAATAAAGGCAGTAAACCCTTCCAAAACATCTCTTTTGACAGATTTGACAGTGTTTTTGTAATGTTTCCAGTCAAGCATACGGTAATTTACACGTTTTTTGCTATAACGTCAGTCCAAAACACTTGTTTTTGCAGTGTTTTCAATGCTCTGGCATCCAAAAACCCTGCAAAATCTTGCTATGTACAATGTTTTTTTCATTTTTGGCCGTTTTTCCATTGCCGGAAAGCTACCAAAATGACCCAAAATTCCATTTCAATACCCTCTTGCGCTCAGACACCCAAAAATCCTCGAAAAATGTCGAAAACACCACCGTATTCTGGTCTCGGTGCGAAACCGTTTTTGGGCCCCCCCCCCAGCTAAAGCTGATATAGCGACTGCTATATTAACAAATGTCATTGAGCATTTAGTGTTGCTGTTGCCCCCCAATAAGCACGCCTTCACCGCCAAAGCGGTGTGGGCGGATTTTAAAAGGGGGGAGTTGCTGAACCATCCAATTTTGGGTGCTGTGGCATAGGCACGCCTCTAATGCGGACCTGTCTGGGCCCCTGGGTCAACAGACCTTAAGCAGCTGCGATGCAAGGATTGAGGCTCGCTGATTCGGATCTGGTGGAGATAACAGCATGCTACAGATGGAGATCCTTCTAGGACCAATATTAGCATCACTGTGAAAATCCCTCAATTTTATTATCTTCATTTTTGGATGATTGTGATGCTTCTCCAGTTTTGAATGACTTAATGCCGGTCTTCGACATTCGTTGCAGTTGCCGCTTCCTGATTGCAGATTCTTTTCAACGATGCAATGCAGCACCGCAATGAAAAGGCGCGGTTTCCGGGCATGGAGTTTCAACCGAAAAGCGTCAACATATGTTGGCCCCAAGAAATGTGGAAGAGTCAGTTTTAATATTTAATCAATTTAATCATTGTTTTCGCTGCAATTTTGAGGGTGACTCACCGTTCTTTCCTTTGACCCCCGAAGAAGTGATGTTTGAGACAGTTTCATGTAGTTCCTCCAGGATGATTTTCCAGAGCTCCAGGATGCGCATGGGGCCCTGTGGCTTGCGGGGCGTTTGCCCAGCCCAGAAGATGCAGAGGCGGAACGGGGCCGAAGACTGGCGGTGATGACTTTCATCGTCAACACGTCATGTTGAAACATGTTACATGTTGAAACATGTTGAACCGGAACTGGCTCGGTTTCTGCCAGCCGCGGGCCGTCTTTTTCAAAGTCTACGCGTCAACTTATCGCAAGCCCCAGGTGACTCTGCAACTCCGGCTTCGACAGAAGTGGGACCAACACTCCTCGAAGGAGGTGGCTAAAAAGGGGGCCGCTGACTTGCCATGGCAACCAACCCTTTCCTGGATGGTGTTGTAACCTTTTAATTGTGATTTTCACACTGCTTTCTACGGTTTGGGAAGAACATCCAAGGTGAACACCGGTGTGAGTTCTCTACGAATCTGCCATTCTTTCCCTCAACTAGTTTCTTAAAGCATCTTAAAACCACCAACCATGTGGGAATTTCTACCATTTTTCTCTCTTCCCACCAGCTCCAGCTGCAACAGCCGCGTTGCGCGAGGCCTTGCAACGTGCCAGCGATTTGCTCCCCGCCGCTGCGGCCGGCGGCTTGGAGTTGGAGGCCGACATGTTGATAATTTTCGATGGTTTTTCTCCGTGTTTTTTTTTTCATTTTTTGATGATCCTTAATGATTGGACTTGCATATGCTGCATATGAATGATTACACACATATATATATATATATGATATTTTGATCAAAAAGCCTCTTGCTTTTGAACAACTCATTTACACATGCAGATTCAAGACGCCCATGGGCCATCACTCTAAATGGGCCTATGGATGATTGCCATAAGATTGTGATGCTTGGTAGGACTTTATGGATGCCTTGGATTTGGCGGAGCTTCTTGGTCGGCAATGGGTTGAAGCTGACAGCCAAACCACGGACATTCCTGCTTGAAACATCTTCAAATGGAGCATGTTTTGGCGGCATGCTGATGAAACAAACTGGTAAACAATGTGGTGGTTTTAAAGGGGTCTTGAGGTTCTAGCCAACATGTTACCATGTCTTTTCTTGGGGAATTCAAGAGTAACCGCCAAGTTTTTGCGGATTTCTTGATGGGCTGATGCTAGTTTGATGCTAACACTCGCCGAGGTTTCATAGTTTGCGCTCGCAGCAGGGTTCTGCATCCGCGGCAGTGGAGAAGCTGCTGAAAGCCTTGGAGCCTTGTCTGAGAATAAGGCACCGAAAAATTATGCCCATCAAAATGTTGGGTACGGTCTGCCCTGTGTTCAGGCACACCCATACATTCTGAGTTTCGTTTTCTTTGGATAGTCATGACATTTGTGGCTTTTCCCCTGCCGAGTCGACGGCCGCGAAGCCAACCCACGGGCCTTGCTAGGAGAAGCCGTTGTTTGGCACAGTGCAACAACTTCTTCGAGACAATCCCGACAAGGTGATGAAACAATGGTGGACGCCCCATGGGAGTTTGTTTTCACAGGGGGAAACTGACGGGTTTGGGGCTGGGGGTTGAACTTCCCAGCCAGTCCAGCCAACTGTGACTTTCAAGATCCAGAATGGAATTTTCCAGCTTCAGAGCTGGGCATTGCAACTGCTTTGAGCTTGACCTCCCGCGCCGCCGTGGCCACGGCAGGCGGAGGCAATTTTCGGGACCTTGGGGGCACGGCGCACGGAGGCGTTGGGGCTGCAGAGCTTGCAGCAACAGCTGCTGCGAGAGAAGGGGCTGCAGCTTCTGAAGGTCTGGGGGATTGGGTGGTGAAAATCAGAGGAAATAGATCCCTTGAAGCGTTTGTGGTGAGAGTAAAAACCCAGGGGGTTACAGTAGGATTTTGATCACCCATTTGAGCCTTCCTGTGGTTGGAGAGGTGGTTTGGTGGATTCAGTAGCTCAGTAGTTTGACTTGCGAGAACTGGGAGTCCCGCCCGAAGTGGTTGGACCGTGCGCACTCGGAGATAGGCAGCCTTATTGCCTTCTCCCGGGCAGCCCTTGGGCTGCAGGGGGCGGGCGGACTGCTCTGATGGAGTTTGATGGGCGAGGGCTAAGCTTTTTAAAGTGTTTATTTTTTGTGCCTTACTCCATGACTACATACCTTGCAAATGGTGTAAACCAGTAGGTTGGCGCTTATGGCGAGCGTGAATGACGTTGAACAGCCTTTCTTCGCCACAAGTCTGGATATAATATAATGTGGTACGCCTCCAATCAACCTCCAATTTGGATCAATTTTGGAGGTTGCCAGTCATTTCCGGGGTTTACTGTCGGGTTTAGCATTTTAGCACATCACATTGTTTGGTTCCCAAAGCTTCGCCATGACTTCTGGGGCCCGATGGGCATCTGCTGAAACAAGGATTGGTTTTCCAGAGCTCCGACGGAGGAAGCTGCGCCACGCCATTCTGACAGCCAGCACCTGGGTGGCAGACCGTGCCGAACAAATTTTCACCCGTCGGGACTGTCCAAGAACGAAAAAGGTACAGTAAACAGATAGCTCACATTATCCATAGTATATCCCATCAGTTATCATCCCCTATTCCATCAATATTATGATGGTGATATACTATTATATAATATTAATGGAATTGGTCTATTGGCAGCCCCCCCTGGGACTTGATCCACAGCCATTTTGGGCAAAAAAATCTCAGTTGCTGGATCAGATAGGAATTTCATGAAATCTCTAAACACTGATGGTGGTGCAAAAAAGAAGGCACCACCATTTTTTCGCACCAGCACCCAGAGCCTGGTGGAGCCCAGGAGGTGCACTGGACGATCCCATGTGGCTTGGGCTACGAAGATGGTGGAGCCACATCTTTGGAACGGAACTTTTGTAGATCATGTGGGTAAAACATGGTAAAACAATAATATACCATGAATAAGCCACCGCCCAAATCACCATTTTTATAAGTAGTGTAAACCATTCTCAAGTGGCTGGATTATAATTGTTTATGTCACATTACTGATAAAATTATATCAGATTGTTAACACCGGTGCGAAGTTCAGTGCCTTTCTCGTGGTTGCCTGATGTTGACTTAACTTATATTGTCTTATGCTGTCTTGTCTGATTGCTGGAAGTCCTTGAGGCTGCCCACACAAATTGACATATTTGTGATGTGGTAAACCCAATATGTAGGTTAAACAATCATACCGAATATTGCCAGCCATGGTAGCAAAAGTCATCCCGAAATGGTAGGTGTATTACTTTTTCATACCACATCACACATATCTTTCAAGTATCCCTTCATTCTCCGTGGATCATGGCCGGTTACTGGGTGGCATCCTCCAAAAAACCCATGGCGACGTCCAAGGACACGTGTTGCACTCCATTCCATGATGCAGGAGGCCTGAGTTACATCAATAAATCAGAAATAAATGAATTGTTAAATAACAGAATGAATAGACAGACACTACAATATATAATATATATATATATTATATTATATATATGTACGTTTCGTCTATGTGCACATGTATATTTGCATATGCATGGTATTGTCTTTCAATATCCGATGCAACTTTGTTTTCCAAGTTATATATCCTAATGTCCATAAAGCGTTTCCGAAAATCTCGGACAGCCATGCCCTCCCTGAACGGGCCAACCTAAAAAAAAAAACTGATCTCGATCCAGGTGGGTCCTTCGTGCTTCGCCCACTCCACGGAAAGCAGTGTGTGGTTCCTCCGCGCCCTCATCGAGCTGCTACCGGAAGAGCAGGCTGCGCTTCAAAACCACCGGAATTTCGATGTGCTTAGACGGGGAAGCCAGTGTTTTCTGGTGTTTTGGGTGGTTTTATGTGATATTTGTTACTGATACACTCATGATTGAATGATGAATTAGGACCTTTGGACATTCACATTGGAAAACACCTCAAAAGAAATGTTGGCTGGCATCATGTGAGACTTCGTCAAGGGTTAACTGGGAGACAACCCAAGTCGGAGCACAGGTCCACCCTTCGGTGCGGAGGTGTTTGCAAGAGCGCCCAGCTGATCAGAAGCTCTGAAGCAGTCAGGGCTGCAATATCTCCAGGGTCGGGTAGCCAGGGAGCCCTAGCAACCAACAACACTGGGCGATGTTTCCTATATTTCGTGTAGAAACTCCCTTCTTGGAAGGAAACAGCCGTGTTGCGGATGAGAAACAGATCGCCACAGTTTCATGCAATTCTTCACCTCTAGGGTGGTGAAGAAGTTGGGATAGCTGGGTTTTCTCCGCAAGCGATGCGCCAGGATGGTGGCTATCCTGACCCAGAGCAAAGAACTGCTGGCAGAGATTAACCGAGAATTGCCTGATGGCCTCCTGCCCGACGAGTGGCAGCAGCTACGTCAAGAGGTCCGTCAAGCACTGGCGCGAGGCGGTTTTTTGTGGGCTTTGGGCGTTCTGAGATGGGTTAAGAAATGGGTGCATGATATGATTAGGTGGATGTGATGTGATGTATTCCCAGAATGTATGAATATATACTGTGTATATATATATATATATATGATTATATATATAACACACACACATATATATATACACAGAGGATGAGATGTCTAACCAAACCTAAGCAACAATATGATGCTTGGATGTTTGTGATAGACCACTAGGTTCCGGGTTGGCCCAGCTAGATTTTTCATGGTCTGCAAGTCCCCAGTGATGTTTGTTACGTTTGTTGGTTGAAAGAAACATTTCTGAAACTAGTTCGTTATATAGATAGATAATGATGGATGGATGGATGGATGGATGGATGGATGGATAGATGGATAGATAAATAGATGGATGGGTGGATAGATAGACTGATAGATATAGATAGATGGATAGATAGATAGATAGGTAGGTAGATAGATAGAAAGACTATGATATCTACAAAAATCCCTAGCTATCGGAGTTCATTACGATTGCCAACCTTAGCTAATGAATATCCCATAGAGTCATAGAGTCTCCATTTAGTTCAATGATTATCCCATACATTATCAATATATATATATAGTAGATGCATTTTCCCACATCATTCCCATTATCTCCAGTAATACATGGGGGTTTTCCGAGTTCTTCCCATCACTCACCTTGGAACACCGGAGACTGCACAGGCAATGAGGCCGAGCTGAAGACCGCCTGTCAGAAACTCATCGATAGCCCTGCAGGTGGGCACCCCAATGAACCTGGTACAGTGATGAGGGTGGCGAAAAAGCGAATAGCATCACAAGAATGAAGGGGAGTTCTGCCAGGCTTGTTTCCCACAAACTACTTACTGTTTGTATGCTTTCTTTTCGAAAATATCAGTTGGACGGTCCGATCCGAACCGCCAACCGCCTTGTTATGATTGTCTCATCGCAAACAAATCCAGGTCAAACAATTGTTTCAACCCACAAACAAGCGTTAATAATAACGACGATAGCAATAATGATCATGATAAGTGATAAATACACATATTGTTACAGAGTATTCTTCTTATTACTATGTCTTGTTTATTATTTATCATTTTTCGTGTTACTATTGTTTATCATCATCACTATGAGTATAGTTTTGATTCCCACCTAAAAAGGAGAACCTTAAGCCCCAAGCTTCCTGGCGCCGAGGTGTTTTCTATCAGCGGGATGTGCAACAAGTCGTGGCCAAGCTGCGCAGCGCCTTCCGTCTGCCGCCCTCCTGGTCTGTCGAGTCCATGGTGCGAGGCGCCGATGGAACGGGGGATGGGGAGCTGAAAGGAACCATGGCTATGGGATGCGAAGAGGGTTATTTTCGATTTTGATGGGTTTTTAGAGGGTTTATTAGGTTTATAGTTTTTTTTTTCCCGGTAAAAACTTGCAAACCGAAGTCTCAGATTTGGTTGATGGGAAAATTGAAAGGAAACCAAGCCATTTTGAGCAGGTATATCCATGGTTTCCTGTAGATTTCTATTCAACATGCCCAGCGAATTCATGCGGCAAACCCAAAACCATAGTGTTTGATAAGTTTGATAAACCTCAAGTAAATGGGGTTCGTGATTGGGTTACCAAGACTATCTGTGCCAGTTCACTTATATGCACACACACACAAATAAATAAACACATAAACACATAGTTTGATAAACAACAAACTAAATAAATAAATAGATAAATATATAATTATATAATATGTGTATATATATATACAGATACACATACATATCCCCAGTGGCAGGTACAAAACATGACAGAACTAGCCCCTTTCGTTTAGGCGCCCACGAAGATCCCAGGATCTGATGTGAAGTTGCTCGCCAAGAACGAAGTCACAGATAGCCGGCTGTTGAAACTCTTCGATGAGCCGCTTGGTTGAACTCCTTGGGAGGTGTCGATTTCCGCCGATTTTTTTCCCCACTTTTTTCTGGCAAAAAGGAGCCATTGAAATCCAATAAGATTTGTCAACAAAAAAGCTGGGGACATTTCTACCCGAACACCTTGACCCTCATGAGGTACTTGGAGAAGACACGTGTTCCCATCTGTTGTTATTGACATGAAGGTGTGATGTTTGGCCCCCTGATGACAAGTTGGCTGTGCGCAAACAGTGCGTGGCCAGTGCACCAGCAAAGATCAAAGAAGCATGAAGCGGCAAGAGCTCCCATGCAAATGCATCAGTTCTCATCAACTACCTGCAGTGATACCATAATGCACCCTAGCAACAGCAACAGCAACACACTTGCAGTTCCAGTTGCAAGTGGATATATCGCCAGGGTTATATCATATCCCAGTTTTTTTAAAACAAAAACCATAGTTAAAATAGTTATACATATCATATCACACACACACATATATATATATATTTATACAGTATTTATACATACATAGTTATACCGTTATACCCATTTGTAACCTCAACTGCAACTCCATGGGTAAAAAACCGGCGATTCTGAGGCTCCTCCGCAGTACAGCGCTCCCCCATGTGAGGACGCGCGACCGGCGTGGCTTGCCGCCCAGGTGCCAAATGGGGCTGGCGACCAAGTCCCAAGTTCTGCGCATGGCTCAAAATCGAAGCAACATATTAGTAAACAGCAATAAACGGCACATATTACACACACATATATATATATATACAAATATGCATATATCATATATCACATCTCCTATCCTACATATTGTGGTACTGTTTGCCATTCGTGAAATCCATGGTCCGTGAAGCGCAGGAACTATCGCGCCGTCAGGGCGGTACAGATTATGAATGCACCGACCTGGTCAAGCTACCTGCAGAGGCTGCGAAAAACACTGGGGATGTATGGAAAATCTGGAAAAATGATGAGTTTTTTTTTGGTATGAACACCTTGAATTTTCCATGATTTGTTATGGTTGGTGTGGGATTTAGGTGGTTTCAGGATGTAGATTTCCTGGGCTTGTACTGAAAGCAGACCATTCCTGAGCTGTGGTCTTTGGGAGATTTAGCTTGGTTCCAAGTTGCGTTTGTCTGTGGATGAGCATGATGATGGACGTGATTCGTCCGAAGGCTTCAGCATTGTGGATGTAGTTAACTGGGGATATGAGACAGCTGCAGATGGGATGACCCACAGATGACTCATGATGCGAAGCAGGGCCCAAAAAAATCGCTTCCATCACCCATTCCTGGGATGATCCTCCAGCAAAATCTTGAGCCATGAGACCTGCAGGCGTGACCACGTCCTTCAGCAATGCATGAAGGTCAAGGCAGGGACCACTGGGCTACTTTTCATGGCAAGTCATCGTGCGTCTGGTCATCGCGACCCGTGGTCGCCGTGGTCGCTCCCCAGGCGCGTAGCGATGCCGGCTTCTGGCGCGATCGGCTGAATGGAGAGCTGATGACAGAGCAAATCTTGGCGGATCGAATGGAGGTGCCCGCTGTTTCCATGCTAAACCTGGATGTTTCCATAGTGAAACTCCCCTGGCCAGCCCTGGCTAATTTTATTCTACCATTGGAGAAAAAACATATACTTGTTTTTGGTGTATTTTCTATATTCTAAGATTTGCTCAAGGTGAGTTTTACTTTTCTCCTTGGTTCTGGGAATCTACTGGTCATATTTTCAATTCTTCATGGCCCCCGCATATCCAGGTACTCTCTGCTACTACAGCTATGAAAAATGGTGCTTTTTCATAGCCATGTTAGATTACCAGAGAATATTCAATGAGTATTAGCAATTATTAGCATTCACATCACATATAGAACTATTTCATGTTACTGTACATTCCCAAAGATGCCAGCATTTTTGTTGGTTAGCCGAAGTCACATATTCATCTGGCGGTTTCTAAAGTCATGGGGGGTCCCCAGGTGAGTGCCTTCACCCCACTGAAGCGGGAAGCCAATGCTCCTCTGCAGAATTGGTTACAGCAATGTCGATGGTTGAAATCCGACCCTTTTTTTGATGGTAAATTCGGGCCCCTGTAATTGTACTGGGGATGATGATTGCAATCATTTTCCATAAGATGACATGTGTGTTTTTTTTCTCCCGCACTTGGTCGCGAGAATGGAATGAAAGAGGCTTTTGAACACTGCAAATGTAAAAAGTCGTTCAACCGCACTTGGAAAGCTGAAACTTTGAAACTTCGAAGGGTATATATGGAGGTTCTCCAACTGCACGTGCAGAAAACTGAATATGTCGCTGGTAGATCCATTCAAACCGACCTTTTGGAACTCGCAAAATAGGCAAACATGATTCATCCAGTTGTGATTTACATTTTAGAAGTGGCCGGTTTGGTAGAGTTAGTGATGATGATCTGGTCGCATTTGCGCATGCCTTCCCTCCTAAAACAGGTCGTTTACAGCTGAGGAAGTTTGGCTATTCCATGGCACCAGCCACGCAGCGGCAGAAGGCATCACTTCGGATGATTTCGACATGACCCGAGCCAATCCATCGGGCCTCTTAGCGCTGGATGGCTTGGATGGTGGTGTATGCAGCAGTTGTGGGTGTTTCCCAAAATTGACTCACACCAAAACCTTGGGTTTTTAATGTTGGAGGATCTTTGGGGTTCGAGAAATTGTAGAAATTCACAGTTTTGATATGTTTTGATGTGATTATGAACTGTTTTGGTGTCCTCAGGACTCTTTGGTGCAGGGGTCTATTTTGCAGAGTCAGTGAGCAAGGCAGATGAGTATGTCAAGGGGAAGGTCGTCGGTGGTGCTCTGGCCTGCAAATTGGAGACCGGGAACCTGTAGATTTTGGCCATTCTTGGTCTAAAACCTGACAACTTAAGACAATTTTGTAGTAGTTGGGATGGGTGTACATGCTAGAAACGGTCTACTCGAGTTCATGTTTGACATGGTTTCTCGCCGAATTTCAGCTTCTGAGAGGTCGTAGTTCGACCGAAGTCAGTTAGGTTGGCGAGAGTCTTTGCATGGTTGATGATCATTTTCCTGATAAACGTAGCAGTTTTGGTGCATAGCCCATTTCCAGATAACAAATCCCATTGTAGCCTATTTTACCTCCCACGCTGAGGCGTCGAACTCTTTCCGCTGCTTCTCTGTCGTGTGTGCCCCTTGGCTGACTGAACGTGGCCTGCGACTTTCTTTGTCATATGGGATCACTCAAAATCCACATAGATTTACCCAAATGGCCTATGTGCATTTACACACAGATAGATAGATAGATAGGTAGGTAGGTAGGGAGATAGATAGGTAGATAGATAGATAGATAGATTCTTGCACGCGTATACATACATACATTACATTACATTACATCACGTGACGTTACGTTACGTTACGTTACATTACGTTATATTACATTACATTACATTAAAATACAATACATACATGCATACATACATATGATATGTATACATGTATATATGTATATATATATATATATATATGTGTGTGTGTGTGTGTCTGTGTGTGCAGGTATTTTTTCTCCACTTCCGTCCGCCCAGGGCCCCTGTGTATTATAGTGGTGGAAAGCGGGAGATTGGGAACTCCCTGGCCCCTTAAAAAGACCGGGCTTTCAGGCCTCGGCTACGTTTATTATTGCGACGAGCGGCGGCCCTCTGCGCGAGCGTTGGAAGAGCATTGTCTTCTGGAGGATCGGGCCGAGTTGTGGATGACTGCAGTGGCAATAGGCGATCCCCACAGCTACTCCTGTTGCTATGCAGAGATTTGGAGGGAATTGTTTCAGCCCATCCCAATCACTGGACGACATGGTCAGACTAATTCAGGATTGAGGCAGCATCAGAAGGGAATCGAGATAAATCGTGATTGGCAGGTCAGCACCATCATTCATCAGGCCCTACAGAGAACCATATAACTAATATGAATCATATAAAAATAATGGAACCCCCAAAATCAGCACCTTAAATTAATAGAATACCATAAACGACCACCAAAAAACGATGCCCTGTTTGGCGACGTACGCGCGCGAGAGGATTGGCACAGTGTCCTTGGTGACAGCCACTTGGTCGACTCGTGGATTGCCTGAAAAAAGGGTACCTCAAACTTTTGATGGTTCATCATCATTTTCCCTCTTGAATTTGCAATTTAGGGCTATACACCATTTTGAGTCGAACCTATACATGTACACTTACATACACACACACACATGTATATATAAATAAATATAAATATAAATATAAATATAAATATAAATAAATAAATAAATAAATATATATATACAAATAGCCGTGCATGTGATTAAAACCCAGCCACTCTTTTCGCAGAAGAGTCACTTGCTTGATATAAGTGCGACATCTTTGTCGGCGCTGATGCACCCATGGCTGGAGACAGCCTTTTCAGGGAAGAAGACCTCCAATACCTTCCGGGAGTTCATCATCTACGACAATCTGCAAGCCTTCCCTGCTTACATCATCTACTATGCCCGGGAGTACTGAGCAGATCCCCAGCAGCCCCAAGGTCGAGCCGTGGGCCAAGGATGACCATCTTCCGGGGTAGAAAAGGCGGCGTCCGTTTCAGCTGATGTGTTGCCCATGGATTTTATCCTTGTCACCTCGGAGGCCTGGGATTTCTCCTGTGGCCTTTGGCGAAGATCAGCATTCGGTATCGTCGAATCATCAGAAGCACATCGCTTTACTACAAGTTTGATGCTTGCTGGCCCCTTTGATATGTTTGATTCTACAAATACAGTGCTAATACAGTCCTCTGCGATTCTACTGACTACTGTGTCACATTTTCGGTTTTGTCATGTTTTGTCCAGAGGCCAATGGTACAGTCATCCCCTGATCCAAACAGCCAGTGGCAGTGATCCTGGTTTGGCCATGGCGGACCCAGTGCTGACATGGGCGCCCAATGAGAGGTGTGGGTCCCGCAGCGGGATGCAGCGGGTATCACTGAAGCAAACTCCGCAAAAAATGTTGGGAGGGATCCCAGTCGCAACCTCTATGGCACTATTCATATCCATTGACGGTATATACATATTATATAACATCATACATATCCACATGTCATATACATGTAAAGGTATATATATATATGATACACATGTATACACACACATACAGACATACAGACATGCAGACATGCAGACATACAGACATACAGACATACAGACAGACAGACAGACATACATACACACTGTATACACACTGTATACACACTGTATACACACTGTAAACACACTGTATACACACTGTATACACACTGCACACACACTGTATACGCACTGTATACACACTGTATACACACTGTATACACACTGTACACACTGTATACACACTGTATACACACTGTATACACACTGTATACACACTGTAAACACACTGTATGCACACTGTATACACACTGTATACGCACTGTATACACACTGTATACACACTGTATTCACACTGTATTCACACTGTATTCACACTGTATTCACACTGTATTCACACTGTATTCACACTGTATTCACACTGTATACACACTGTATACACACTGTATGCACACTGTATACACACTGTATACACACTGCACACACCCTGTATACACGCTGTATTCACGCTGTATACACACTGTATACGCACTGTATACACACTGTATACACACTGTATGCACACTGTATACACACTGTATACACACTGCACACACCCTGTATACACGCTGTATTCACGCTGTATACACACTGTATACGCACTGTATACACACTGTATACACACTGTATGCACACTGTATACACACTGTATACACACTGCACACACCCTGTATACACGCTGTATTCACGCTGTATACACACTGTATACGCACTGTATACACATTGTATACACGCTGTATACATACATACGTACATACAGACAGACAGACAGACAGACATACAGACATACATACACACACATATATATATATTTACATACATATATATCTATATATACACACTGTATTTATACATAGACATGGTGCGAAGAGAGGACACATGTTGTGTGTGTATATATATATCGGGATAGTCTGGTTAAGAGCCCCCAATGAGAGCCGTCCTTTCGACAGCAGTTGAACACGAACATTATTAGGGGGGTGTGCGAAACGTGCACAGTTTCTGTGAAACGTGCACAACTTCTTGCAAACGTGGACAACTTCTATGAATTCGATGACAAGTTCTCAAACACTGCAAAAAGCTCTTAATCAGACTATACCCATATATATATAATTAAATATATTATGCATATTGACATACTACGACTGGGGCACCCCGTGCTCCATTCACCAGGGCGTGGGGCGCTGGCGCTTTTTGTCGCCGTCTATGCTGCAGACCTGCGGAAGAAAGGCGCCTCCGGGCCGGCCCCTGGGGCGGCATCGAAGATAGGCTGCCAGCTGCCAGCAATTTCTCACCGCAGGGGAAGATCATGGAAGATGTTTTGTATTTCTGACCATTCAGCTGGTGAAACGAAATGGCCTCAAAAAACCTCGTCACAGGAGCCGATTTCTGGTCCTGTGCCGAGAACGAAGTGCACTGGCACCGCTTGCGTGAGACCGTGCGCTGCTTGGCTGTTGGGATAGGTCAGCAGTGATCCTGACGATCACTTGGTGTTTCTCCCGTCTCAGGATATGTGGCTTGGAAACCTGGGCGGTTGCCCAGTGCAGAACATTTCACTCCGCTGCTGCCGTTGTGGCTGTCCCTCAAGACAGGCGAGATGGGATCACGGCGATGAAGTCTTGACGCCATGCAGGATCTGGTGCTCACGCAGATAGCTGGGTCATTTCAGCCCATGTAACTGGTAGAGAACCGTGGCTGGATTTTAGAATGTATGTATATTATTGTATATTCATAACCCCAGATGAAAGTAGCAGAGTAGCATATCAGTTTGTAGAAAATAAGCCCAATGTCCAGTTCTGAGCCGATAGATGACCATATCCCAACTTATGGCGTTTAAAATCCCATGGCAATAGCCCTAGCTAACCCCGCAACAATGGTTCATCCCCACTATTCTTCCATTACTCTCCCACTCCAAACCATTTCCCATTTTTGATTACAACATTTGGTAAAATACAATTTATGATACCCAGTATATAGATCAGCCCATCATTTTTCCCAATTAAGGTCCATCCAAAAGTCACCCAAGCTGCACCCCGTATTAAAGGCGCCCAAGTTTCACCGCCATTTTGGGAGCCTAAAAGAGGCCATGACAACCAGTCCAAGCTGACCGAAGAAGCTCCATGCCCTGCAGGGGAAGTCTTCTTCATGTGCCTCGAACTGGGGTCTGCTTCAAGGACATGTGATGACATGTGATACCATAGGTAATCCCATCCCCCTAATGTTAAACACCCCCAGAAACCATGGTCCCCAATACGTGGAATTTTTGCATGAACCATGGTTTCTTGGGATAAGTTTACCTATGATATCATATGCGATCACATGGTATATTGTATGCGGAACCGCCGGAATCGCCCAGCCACAACTGGAGGCTGCTACATTTCTTGATGTCCCAGTTGCAGCAAGTGCGAAAAGATGGCAGCATCGAGATGAATGATTTGGCCCCTGGGATCAAGCCGAAGAATATCACAGAAGCTTTGACGATTTCTGAAGGTATGACAGTTCTGATTGTGTTATATATATATATTTATACAGTATATATTTATTTAGTTATTTATTTCTCTCATTGTAAGTCACACTGTTGTTTTTTTTTAGATTCTCACTGCACCATTTCCAAAGTTGGGGCAGGTTGCTGCCTTGGCAATGCTGCGGGTGAGGACATGCCAGAGAGTTGTGGAGTGAATGATGTCGCACCAAACAAACGGGAGATACGGGAGGTGAATGTCCAATGACATGTAATATATATATATATAGCTACATATAGCATCATATATAGCTACATTACTGAAAATTGAGTGCCTCAATTTTTCTCCGCAAGATAGCTGCAATTTGTTACATCTCCGTTTTTTCCATGACGCAACATGCACAGTCCCCGTTCCATAGCATATATATATATATATCCAGCCATCCATCCATCCATCCATCCATCCATCCATCCATCCATTTTATCTAGTAGAGTCCTAGCTGACTTTCCATATACCCTCTGGTAAACAGCCACATAACTATGGAAAGATCCACCATGCTATCAATGGGTAAATCCACTATTTCTATCACCATTTTCAAGTTCGCAAACTGTTAGTCATTACCAGATGGTGATAGCCATTAAAATCACAGTTTTTGTTAGTTTTTTAAATCCCATTAAACCACCATTAAACCACCATCTATGGAAGGTAAATACCAGGATTCCATAGCTGGCTCCCAGGATTCCCTCCATGTCTGCAGCGTTGCGTTCCACGTGGCCCATCTTTGGGATCCTCGCTGTGATCCAACAGTCGCCTGGTGGACGGTTGGGGCCACTGGTTGAGGATGGAACGGTAGTTGTTAAATCTTGCTACAGTACATAGAATATATGTATGTATGATATATAATACGGATATGCGTGCACACACACAGATATATATATATACATATATATATATGGCTCCCCTCTAAGAGTTAAGAAACCTGTAGCAGGAGTAGTAGTAGGAGTCGGGACAACATCTTTTTCCCTGGCGCCATCCCCCATGCTGCTGGCCGGGGTCGGCGGATATATATATATATATATATTGTGAATCTAAATCGAAGCTGAGCTCGTCATACTGTGCAATATGATTCGTGCCATATAGACTAATATCGTACAGAACATCGGATAGTCTTGGTATACAGGGTAAATGGTCTGTAAGATCACCACCCTTCTGGTCATCGCAACCAGCAAGTGTCGACACATCATGGGATCACCATGCCACTTTGTTAGTATAGTATAGTACTGTAGATCATCCAATAGTACTTTCTTAGTATGGTATAGTACTGATGATCACATCATTGGATGATCATCCAGGATCATTCCCAAATGGTACTTTGTTAGTATTCCATAGCACCCTCTGGTAAACTAACATAACTATAGAAAATCACCATTTTTCATGGGTAAATCCACTAGAAATGGCCATTTTCAATAGCTATTTTGACATAACCAGAGGGTAATCCAAGTGATGAAGTCCCCTAAGATCCCACCAGTTTCGGTCCAGGAAGCTGCTGAAGCTGGGAGCCGGTGCCTCCGATGCGCCCGGGGCGGCGCTGAAAGATGGGGCCACTTTTTGGCGAAAGCGAGAGCTGTTCATCATGGCTATTTAAGTAACATGGGGATTTGACATGATTTGACCAACTTGGTATATACACTATATATATATAAATAGATAACCAATGATGATTGCTGATTCGGGTTGGTGGTTTCAGTTGTTTTTTCCCCAACAAATAGGGGAAAATGATCCCGAGTGACTAGTGTTGTTCGGAGGGTTGACACCACCAGCCAGTCATGACAAGACTCAGGGACATTATGTCACACTTACTATGTATATATGTAACTATATGCATATCTCTATAGATTGGTTTATGGTTGCGTCGCAAGACCTCAGAACAAACCTTTCAAACAGCACTTCCGAGGGAGAAGTCTCGGAGATGTTTGCGGCCCAGGCCGCGCCCTTCAGCGAAGCGCTGCTTCAATTTGCCAGTGGGGACTCCCAACTGAAACTGCTTTGACCTTCCTGAACCACACAGATGCAACACGGGGGGTACTGTACATGTGGACAACCCAATGCCATAAACAAACTACCATTTGGGAATGGTTTATATACTTTATACATTTTATACCACCCATGAAAATGAGGACTTTGGGGATGGTTTACAATTGGGTTTACCACATTAGGGTCTTTAGTCATAGCCAAGCCCTAGGGCTTTTCGCAGGTATTTGCGATGAAGGGCAAGTTCTCTTCCAGCATCTCAGCGCCTGGTTGGAGGCCTTTTCGGTCATCCCAGAGCAGACGAGGCTTCAGAAGGTTTCAAAGTCTGACCGGGTTGGTTTTTCATGGTTATTTATGGTTATTTATGGTTATGGTTATTGATGGTTATTGATGGTTATTGATGGTTTTTCATTATCCTGCACCCTCCCGAAGCACTGCAAAAATGACCACGGCAGGGCGAGCCACTGCCGTTCGCAGCTCGTGCCTCGGCGACTGTCGATGTATCAGCTTCATCGATTTCATCTTTTGGGCACTGAACATCTCCATACTTCCCATTAATCCCATCCCCGTCATACTATAGGCATCCCCAGTCTATGGTCCCAAATATCTCCCTTAATCCCCAAACCATGGTTTCCGGATATTTCCGCGGAGTGTTTCATATGAATTGGGGGAAGGGATTACTTCCCTACCCCCTTCGAAGATCTGAGAGCTACCATCCGCTGGCTCGAGTACCTGGACCACGGTAGCAGTGAAGCACCTCCACCATGGGGGAAAGCGATGCGACGCGTGGTGATGCCGAAACGATCTGCCAGGAAATCCGACGCGTGGGCGGCAAGGACTGCACAGCAACGTTTCCAACTTCTGTGGCCGTTTCCAGATGTTTCACATGTCCAGGAGTCCCCAGGGGGGTTTATTGGGTAATAAAATCCTTGGGAATTCCTATCATTGCGGTCAACTTGTTGGACCTTCCAAGTCCAGATGGTCTACTTGGTGTTTCCATCGCAAGTGGCTTGGTTCATGTTGGTTCACCCCGACATTGCCCCACTGAATTCACCGGTGTCAGGACCGGGTGACCTATGGCGAGTTGATGAGCGACCCGGCGGTACAGCAATCCTTGGGGACGGAGTTGAAGGAGGCGATTGCAGCACCTTGGTGTCGGACATGGGCCACGTCGGCCACGTTTTGATGGCTGGAAGATCCACCAACCACGGATTGCCGGAGGCTATTTGTTGGGAAAAATAAAGGTGCCCAATATGTACCTGAGAATATCAAGATTACCATGCTTTGTTCTGGGAATGTGATAAGTGATGGTCGGTTGATGATTTGCGGGGTGATATTTTTTGTACCATCCAATATTGGGGAGTGTCATAATGGATCTGAAGGAACCAACTAGCACAATGGAATGACACAGGATTTTGAACACGCCTCTAAAAACCCTTAAGCTGGATGAATTCTGGTTAGCAAAGGGAACCAGATCACCCCAAATGACCGACCCTTCGTGGTGAAATCTATTTATTCAGCCAGATTATTTCAAGTTGGTGATGGGGCAAAACCCTAGATAAGCATAGATAAGCTGCAAAAAATCGGTTGAATATGGGAACCACACACACAGATATATATATATATGTATGTATATTCAATAAGATCAAATGACCTCAAGAATTTTGAGTTGGGTGAAGATCACAATCTTGAGAGATCATTCTGGCCATATTCCTTCCCCCAATGCCACATAAAACTTCCCAGGTTGGTATCACAGACCATCCCTGTGCTTTGCCAAGGTCGCCCAAGAGAAGGGCCTGCTGACCTTGGAAGGCTCCCTGGATGACGATGCAGCGCTGCTGGTGTTGACTGCAGACACAGAAGTGGAAGAGCCTGCAGAGGCCGTAGCAGAGCCAGTGGCTGAAGAGCCCGCAGCAGTTCAGGAACCCCCGGCGGCTGAGGAGCCACCGGCAGTTGAAGAACCTGCGCCAGCGGAGGCACCGGCAGAGGAACCTCCAGCAGAGCCAGCAGCTGTGGAGGAGCCGCCAGCTGAGGCAGTTGAGGAGGCTCCAGCTGAGAAGCCACAGTCAGAGCTGGTGCCAGAGCCAGCACCAGCACCAGCACAAGCTGAAGAAGCCAGTGAGTCTGCAGGTGGCGAAGTGTTGTCCTCCACCACTTCTGCTACGGACTCTTGGCTGGACAGCAATGGCAGTTGGCCCTGGGGTCAACTTGGATGTTCAGAACCACACATATAATCCAGAAACATTATGGTTCATTATGGTTGCAGCACGCCCCATTGCAAATCACTGCGGGGGTCGGGCTTGCCATGGCCCCCAAAAATCTCCAAGCCGAGGTGAAGAAGACGGAGGATGGGAAGTGGAAGGTGGACACGGGCTACATCGACTACCGCACCAAAGATCCCAACAACCTGGAGCCTCGCAGGGGGACCGTCCTGGATGCTGCAGCACCTGCAGGGGCCGTAGTCGGACAGAGTAGTAGAGATGAGGATGGCAAGTTCAAGGTTGATACCTCCTACATCAATCACCGCACTGGTGAGGCCCAAAATTGCAGAACAAGTCAAACTGAATGGCACATACTTGAGGGTGTTGACCCATTTTCTTTTCTTTTCCATGTATTCAGAGGGTTTCATGTAGTCAATTGACATCAAGTAACATCATCTAAAGACAACTGACATTAACAAACATTGACTAGTAAATAGCACCAACTATATGAACTGTATAGAAGAATCATGAGTAAACTAACATCAACCAACATCAACGAATCAACGAACATATCATTGGGGTGCCAGGTGGATCGTCTCGAGGGTCGACGCTCGGTGCTGGGCGGACCTGATGCCATGATGGCGCACTCCGCAACGGTGAAGAAAGACGATGGCAAATGGAAGGTGGACACTTCGTACATCGGACCCGGGCCTCAGACGGAGAAAAACGCGACCGGGGGACCATGACGGAACAACACTTCTTACACCGAGAACATTTCTGGAAACCGGAAAAAAGAAGCACCAACTGGTGGGTGCCAGCCTTCCTATTTTAAATGGCATCACTAATAAGTTGGCTGGAAACACAATTAAATGACACAAGGATTTCTTGCAGATGCACATTTCTATGGTGCCATGTTCCCTTCGCGTGATTCTCAGGTCATCGCACGGGTGACACAGACAACCTGACCCGAAAAGAGGAGAAGCAAGACGAAGCACAGTATGCGGATCCAATGGCAAAGAAGTACAGTCATGATGAGTTGAAAGCAAGCCAAGGTGGCTTGGCTCATGCTAAGGCCTCATGTTGGCCGCAATGCGCATTGCAACATGTTCATACATGTTCAACATGCTGCACGATGCAAAAGGCCACGTTCGCTAGCGTTGCCCAGGTAGACCTGCGGATGTGGATCCTGCCCGGAGGGAGCAATACCTCTCCGAGTCGGACTTCCAGAGCCTCTTTGGGATGTCCATGGCGGACTTTCTGAAGCAGCCCAAGTGGAAGCAGCAAAATGCCAAGTCACTTGGCACGTTGGCCACTGTGGCCATGGCTTGAGCGTCTGGTTATGTCCGGTTGAGAAGATGCCAACTGGCATAAGAACATATAAGAACGCATCAAATAGCTATGCAGCTATGTTCTGAATCTGTGTGCCTTGATGATCTTGATGTGGCTTGGGGTCCAAAGAAATTTCTTCCCAGTGCTGAGATTTTCCAGACATTTTCTTCCGCTGCGCTTCGCCCAGGAAGTCCAAGGACCTCTTCTGATGGCGACCGGGTCAAGGGGCTGGGTCGGCCAGGTCGGGCCATGAAGCGTCGTTTCGGCAGGTCGAAACAGAAGCAGATCCCTCAATGGTGGGAAAAACATGGGAAAATCATCTATCTATATATTATAGTATATCTATAAATGGTGGGAGATGTTCTGAAATGTTCCAGCCATGAAGCTGACACCGGAAGATAAATGTTGATAATGTTGGCTTAAGATATCCTCAGATCTACATGGGCGTTGTTGTGCCTTGTTGTGCTGTCTCCGGCGCTTCTCGTGCCAGCTGCGAATGTCTCAACATGGAGGCTCCGTTCAAGAGTTCAGAGCTCCCACTAATGCTCATACCGCACTCTATCTAGTTCTGGAGTGAGCGACGCAGCGACGCTCTTGCTTTTGGCCTCATCCGAATTGGCATACCAATGAATCCAAAATGTTAAACGTGGGACTTGGTCCTTTTGAAGTGCACACAGCTCGTTTGCAGAGCTGTGACGTCCCTGCCACAAAATTGTCCAGATGATGAGTCGAGGAAAGGCATAGATTTAGTTTAGTGCGCATATCTATGCCCTGCCCACAACCCACATTGATGTCCCTATCTTGATGGTCCCCGTCCATTTAATTGTGTGATCTGCACGAGGGCTCGATCATATCAGGAGGTTTGTGCCGGTTTCTTATCGGCCGAAAGACAGAGTGATTCGCAAGGTCGCTCACATAGCTTCAGCCTCGCTAGGTTTCCGCCGGATGACATTGAGTTGTCTCAAAATGTAGCTGTGCAGGACTTGGAATCCTTGGAAAGAGGCCCTTTCCCCTCTTTCCAACACGCTTAAAGACTGCATGACTATCTACATTTGTTTGTGATACAGTGGTGCCCCCATGGGTGAATAATACTTTTTGACACTGGGATGACAAGTGATATATGTCAAAACATCAAACCTGGGGAACCAGGGGCATCTATCGACCCATCGGCGCATTCCCTCACCACCGCTTGATCTTTGGACACAGTGCAGGTCTATTTGGTCACTGTGCAAACCCAAAGATCGCTGCATGTGTATCATTCGCCTTCTTGGGTAATTCATCACTATACCCGAACATATCCCACACAGAAAGGTGAGTACCTTATTTTTTTGGGGGGCAGTGGGGGTATACCATAACACCCCAACATGTCAGACCAGAATCGATATGGATCTGTTTGAAAATTGGGAAAATGCCCAAACTCGGTTTTCCAACCAGTTTCAGAGAAAATAATCATTCAACATCATTCATCATCATACGTTAGGACTGGATGATGAACTATTACGATGTTGAATGGTGGGTTATCATTAACATCATACAGGATGGTGCCCCCCAGTGATAAGTTGGTTTATAAACGGTTATAAACCCCATTAACATCCATTAACTATAGTTCTCCCTGCCAGAAACCATAGATTTCACTTGTAAGGCACCTTGCCACTAGGACGATTAAAACCCCACCATTTTTTGGGCGATTTCCCCTGATGGATCTAGGCCTCGATGCTCTGCATCTCCTCCGCCGTGGACCGGGACCTTGCGATGGCCAAGCGCTGGCCGTGGCGCGGCTGATGGCTGCAGGAGTGCTGAGGCGGGCATCTGGGGGTCGGTGATACAGTGGATGGAAGAAATCTTGCACCAGTTGATAGGTGGTTTATCCCATTGTTTATAGGGTTTCAACATGTTTCAACCATCCGGTTGGTGGTGCAGGATGTATTCCATCCACTGTAGTGATGGGAATGTAGAACTGGGTTATGCAGATGTAACGTATTTTTTTAATGTTCAATATATATATATATGTATGTATGTATATAACTTTTCAGTAATATGTAGTAATAGATTGTACTGTACTCGTACCAAGCATTTCTATTCAAGAATATCCAGTCACGGCGAGTTGTTGCACAGTTTTCGCTGTCGAATTGGCACCCAAAAGGCTTGACGTAGAGCCCAGCATCCGCCGAGGTCAGACGTTTGGCCTTCCCCGAACGTCAGCCAATGGAGGAACGACTTGAATCGCCACCTAAGCTGAACGATGGAGGGAGGTGCATGACCCCCCAACAAGGCCTGCCTGGGAATGCAAGATCAGAGAAAAGGAGGGTCGAAAACTGCCAGCAATTTGGCACTTGAGGTCTTGAGGCAAATGACCAAGTGCTCATCATTGGTGAATTCAGATGGTCCAAAAAATTGAAAAAGCCGGCCCTGTTGGGTTCCTGACTCCTGGCGACCTCTGGCAACCTCTGGCGACCCGAGGCTTGCTGACCTTTTTGGACCGAAGTCTCCTAACCACAAGCTGGAATCGCATGGTCTTCAGTGGTGGGGGAGCCCAGATCTGATGGAAAGTCACTGACTTTTGATGTTTGAATTTCCCCATTTGGGACGATAGCGGCTTGTCGACTGATGGATACTGGGGCTGTTACAATTTCAAAAAATCATGGAACATTGATCCCTGGCGCAAGGATGGCCCTTACTAGCGGTTCTACATCGCTTACAAGAGGCCGCTTTTCATGTCCATGTCCTGCGCCAGCCACAGACTGTCGTCAGGATGCTAACTTCAAATTTACTGGGATCGGCTCAAGAATACCCATGCTTGCCAGTTACGCATGAAAACCTGGGTGCCTTTGAACACGTACCCAAATGCAATTTTAGCAAGTGACATCCATGCTTTTGCTGGCTCAATCACAATTTTTGCTGGTAAAACCATGTAAAACCTCATGTTTGCTGGTCAAATCAACATTTGCGTTGGTTAAGTCCCCACATGTTCCCTCCCTGATTGGGGCTTGGCTGTTTCCCTCATTCTTTCACCAGCCAGGCCCACTTCCGCGACGCCGTGTGCGAAGCGGCCGGCGGCTATGCCTTGCTGAGTCGGGCGGTGCCATCCAGTGTGACCCGCCATGCATACATCAATGACTAAGTAAGGACATAAATCAATAAACACACACACACTGCTGATTTTAAGACATGTGTGTATACTTATATAACTGACTATCCACCGATATATATATATATACACATACACATATCATTACATATCTATATAGTATACATATGTATACATATGAACATCTATACGCACTTATGTCTGCATGTGTATATTTGCATCTATACTGTATCTATTCCATGATTTAGTATGACCAAAAATGATTTGGACGACTTTCTGGGACTGGTTGAAGCCACCAAACAGTCATTTCTGGGCCCTGAAAGCATCCTGACAGCTCGCGAGGTTTGGCTTTGCGTGAGCCCTGGTGAGGATCTGGTTGCAGAGAGGCGGCATGGTGGTGGAAGGGCGGATCGCAGTTATTGAACCAAGATGCGAACGGTTTTCGATGTCAAATCTGTGGTAATTTTTAAAGGTCGCCAAGTACAGATTTCTATATATTCCTGTTTAAGTTCTTAGTTCCAAGGATTCCAATTGACAGATCTTCAGACGGTTTTCAAAAGGTTCAGGAAGCCACTCCAAAAAACGTCAATTCAACAAGGCCCTGCAATTTGGATTTTTACTTTCTATTATTTTTTGGGGATTTTCAAAAATATACCTCTACCATGTCAAGAAGCTTCTGAGCTCCAGAGTGCCCAAACGGCACGGCTAAGGTGGCGTAGCCATGGGGAGTTTGTGGACTGCTCCTACATTGCATCATTGCTGGGCTATGGCAATGGTCTCTTTTTAGATGTAGGCGCCGCGACGGGGGGACATGGCTGACATGGCTCCAGTCGTCCCCCTTTCTGAAAGCACCAGCTGCAGGTGCGAATCTGGGCGCCTGCACTCTACTTGTAGCCAATCAGGTGCCGAAAAAGCTGTTGCAATACATTCTCACTACAGATTGTAGCTGGTAATGTGACAAGCCCGACAGTAAACCGCAAGTCGGTATGGCCGGTATGGTGTACGATAACCCCAAAATGGTAAGTCATCGGCTATAGCTTGGCATTGGGTTCATCACGTTGTCACTGGTGATGACCTCTTAGAGGGTTGAACAATTCAAACCCTGTAAAAATGGATGCGTTCAACCGAATCGATTGGTTGTTAAATGCAGATTTTTGGATGCTTCTACAGTACCACATTTTTGACGCCTCAATGTAACACCTCAATGTATTCATCAAGAAAATTCGTCACGATCTCACGTCACGTGCCGTCGCTGGAGCGATGGGAATTGGATTGGGGGAATCACTCTCAAAGGGGCGAAGAGGAATCAGCTCCACGGGGAATGGGAAGTGGCCGAACATTTCAGGTCGGTTAATTATGATGAAATGTATCCCGATATATATATATTATTTCTTTTAAACATATGATGATATGATATAATTATGTACATTTTGGTAGGTAGCTGAGGCTATTGAGTTTTCCATGCTTTAGCTTGTCTGGCTTTAAGAACGGAATGTCCACTACTGGGTGTACGGGGGCGAAATCAGCAACGCTGATGGTCTTGTAGCTAAAATATGGGTCACCCTCCATATTCTGACAGTCTCTTGAGCCAAACAGAACTTGGTTGAGGCAGTTTGAGACCAATGATGGCAAACAACTTCCTTCCCTCAATTGGGAGTACCAACCCACAGTTAGAAAGCACTCCTTCCCTCAATTGGGGAGTACCAACCCACAGTTAGAAAGCACTGCACCATACAACAGCATTATTCTGCCACATGTCCGCACGGCATTTGGAGGCAGCAAAACCTTTTCTCCCAGCCTTTGATTGCAACTAAGTGGAAGAACACGAACCCAACTCTCCTGGCAGACATTCTTGCAATCACCCGAAGCCCACTGTAGAGAACGGATGCCAGAAGAACCTTGCAAGAAACCTTACAAGAAACCTTACAGATTTCGCGCTCCCCTTTGCGTACCTTTCGTTCTCCCCCGCTTGCTCTCAAACCCATTAACATATATTAGCATCCTATCAATATCCCATTCACATCCCATTAAAACCCCACTAATATCAAATTGAAATCCCATTCGCGCCCCATCAATGTCCCATTCACATCCCATCAATATCCGATTCACATCCCATTAAAACTCGACTGATATCTTATTCAAATCCCATTTGCACCCCATCAATGTCCCATTCGCATCCCATCAATATCCCATTCAATCCCATTCATATACCATTCATACCCAGAAACAAAAAATATCCCATCAATATGCCAGCATACAAAATACCATGAAAATCCCATGCACATCCCATTGATATCACCTCAATATACATGTTTACAATAGTGAATATACCTACCCTGGCTTCAATGAGATTCTAATTTACTGGGATTCTAACGTTTTCTTTTTTTTAATAAATAGGATTCCAATGTGATTTAGCCATTAAAATCCAATGTATTCAATTCTAGAAGCTATATTCCCAGTTTCATCCCATGAAACTTGAAAAAGGACATCCCATTAAGATCCAACACATATCCTATTGGAATCATTGGAACCAGTTAAAAAATGTGTCAAACTTCCACAGATACCCTCTGGTAAACAGCCACATAACTATTGAAAATCACCATGTTTCATGGGAAAATCCACTATTTCTATGGAAAATCACCATTTTTGATAGGAAAATCCACTATTTCTATGGAAAATTACAATTTTTGATAGGAAAATCCACTATTTCTATGGAAAATCACAATTTTTCATGGGAAAATCCACTATTTCAATGGCCATTTTCCATAGCTATTTTGACATAACCAGAGGGATTTTCCAGGGCTTCAACGTCCTGGCGCTGGAGCCCAACGGAAACACTGCGAAGCTGCTGAAAGCCGCGGTGCTGCGGAATGGCCTGGAGCAAAGGGTCAGAGTGCTGCAGGCGTCTGGGGCGGCAAAGTTGTTGGAGTTTTGACCAGCAGAAAGCGTGGGTCTTTAATGGTTTTGAATGGTTTTAAGTTTTAACCAAGGGAAACAATGTCGTTTCAAGTGTCTTAATGGAAAATGAAGAGTTGCAGCATAATAAAGCGATAAACATGGTGGAGTTGGCAATAAATGGGAATGTCTTTACGCAACAACGGAGCCAGGGCATGGCTGCATGGCTAAACAGAATGGCTCCCAACCAGGTGGCAGCTGGCCAGCAGAAGGGCCATGGCCAGCTGAAATGCTGGGGGCATAGCGCCACATGCCAGGTGCGGGTTGGTTCACCAATGGTTTCGATTGGAACGTAGCGCCGCATTCTAGGTATGTGCTGCAGATTTTTATTACGCATGTACAATGACATATATACATAATGTATGTGTATTTTTCATATATATATATATACATACATGTTGTGTTTTATGGAAATATACATATATATATATATATGTTTGTATGTATATGTATATGTATGTATATATATATGTATGTATATATATATACATGCCCATTTATTTACATACATCTTGTCAGGGTCATATCACAATATTCACTCCACACTTGAATGAAGGCACACAAAGCCTTTTCCACACATGCTGGAGAAACCCACGCACACACACACAAATTCTTTATGAAACAGCATCATTTACGCAGAGGTCCAACCACTTCAAGTTTTTGAGGACGTCATGCATACATGACCACTCACATATATTATATACACATACGTACACACACACATATATATATAATATTATATATATATATGCATATTTACGCATGAGTATGATGATTTGGGCATTCCAACCTGAGTTATATCCCCACTTGAAGCTCCACTGCCCAGGTCTTTGAAGGCGGCAGTGAGGTGGAGAGCGCTGGGAGGCCTAGCCTAGCACATGCCGAAACTATAACTGGGTTATAAATATGGCTATTGACCACTTAATAAATGGGATTCAAAAAATCAAGCCATCCAAGATCATCCAAGTTTTTCTTGTCCCAATTGTTTCCGAGCGATTCCCTACAACAGACATATAGATATTCAGCACATGACATGGAAAACATTTGGCTCCGGCTGTATGTGCGACCTATTTTCGTTCCGTTTTTTTTTCACGGATCGACGATCCCCAAGGTAGGTTTGGTGAGAAGAGTGTCGCCATAAACGTTGCCACTTTGGGGCATGCTGTGGATTTGCGGACAACCCAAGTGTTGTAACCCCCAAAAACCGAGTGATTCATCATGATAACTCCTGATTTTTCCCAAGACCAAAAACCATGGTAAAACCTCTGATTTCCAGTCATTTGATGGCTCCAAAATTGGGATTTTCCCATGTTTTCCCATGTTTTTCCTTGTTTTCGATCGATTTTCTCCATCACGTCTCCCCGAGGTGTCTCTGGACTCCTTGGAGATCGAGACTCCACAGCTGGCGTTGAAGATCGACGTGGAGGGCTCGGAGGAAGAGGTCCTCCTTGGAGCCACGGAAGTGCTGAAGACCCGACCCACGCGGCTCGGAAAATCTGCCACTGCCAGGGTCTATGTGAATTGAATGGAGGGTAATGCTTTACGCAACTACCATTACTCTAATTACTTATATAGTATACAGTATTATATACATTTATGTACTTGGGATGTATGTAACATATACTGTATATATATAATTATATATATATATTATACTAGTATATCGATAGATATCGTTGCCATTAGTTTATTAGTATACATTATATAATATATTTAAGGGCTGCCGCCCCTGCCGCCGACCCCGGAAAAGAATGTGAAGAAGCTGGGGAAGGCCAGAGACTTCGGACAAAGTGACATAGTCGGTGGATTACCAAGGTCACAAGATTGACCTAAATATTCTTCAGTATTTCATAAGGTATATTTAATATTTTTGAATGCAATATATTTGACAAGATATTTTGATATAGTAAGAACACCCACCCACCAAACCCCTTCACCCCCCTGAGCAGTTCCTCGACGACTTCAACCAGAGTCTGGGTCTTGAGCTCGTGAATTACTGTCCCCTGCAGCTCTTGTTTGGTGGCTCCAAGCTGCAAGCATCAGGCCTCCAGAACGGACCCTTCGCCACAGCAAAACAGCACCTAATTGCGTGCCGAAACCGTGCTCAAACTTATCCACACAAACTGCTTAACGTCCCTTGTGAATTCCTAGAAAAAAAATATTTTTCTGTCTCCTGCAGCTGTTGTGTGGTGGCTCCAAGCTGCAAGCATCAGGCTTCCAGAAGGAACCCTTCGCCACAGCAAAACAGCACCTAATTGCATGCCGAAACCGTGCTCAAACTTACCCACAAAAACCGCCTAACGCCCCTTCTGAATTCCTTGAACAAATATCTCTTTTTTATTTCATTTGTTTCCTGCAGCTGTTGTCTGGTGGCTCCAAACTGCAAGCATCAGGCTTCCAGAAGGGACCCTTCGCCACAGCAAAACAGCACCTAATTTCGTGCCGAAACCGTGCCCAAACTTATCCACAAAAACTGCCTAACGTCCCTTCTGAATTCCTAGAAAAAATGTCTGTCTTTTTCTGTCTCCTGCAGCTCTTGTTTGGTGGCTGCAAGTTGCAAGCATCAGCCCTCCAGAACGGACCCTTCGCCACAGCAAAACAGCACCTAATTGCGTGCCGAAACCGTGCTCAAACTTATCCACAAAAACTGCCTAACGTCCCTTCTGAATTCCTAGAAAAAATGTCGACTTTTTCTGTCTCCTGCAGCTCTTGTTTGGTGGCTGCAAGTTGCATGCAAGCATCAGCCCTCCAGAACGAACCCTTCGCCACAGCAAAACAGCACCTAATTGCGTGCCGAAACCGTGCTCAAACTTATCCACAAAAACTGCCTAACGCCCCTTCTCAATTCCTGGAAAAAATCTATCTTTTTTTGTTTTTTTGTTTCCTGCAGCTGTTGTCTGGTAGCTCCAAGCTGCAATCATCAGCCCTCCAGAACGAACCCTTTGCCACAGCAAAACAGCACCTAATTGCGTGCCGAAACCGTGCTCAAACTTATCCACAAAAACTGCCTAACGCCCCTTCTGAATTCCTAGAAAAAATTTCTCTTTTTTATTTTATTTGTTTCCTGCAGCTGTTGTTTGGTGGCTCCAAGCTGCAAACATCAGGCTTCCAGAAGGAACCTTTCGCCACAGCAAAACAGCACCTAATTGCGTGCCGAAACCGTGCTCAAACTTATCCACAAAAACTGCCTAACGCCCCTTCTGAATTCCTAGAAAAAATGTCTGTCTTTTTCTGTCTCCTGCAGCTTTTGTTTGGTGGCGCCAAGCTGCAAGCATCAGTCCTCCAGAACGGACCCTTCGCCACAGCAAAACAGCACCTAATTGCGTGCCGAAACCGTGCTCAAATTTATCCAGACAAATTGCCTAACGTCCCTTCTGAATTCCTAGAGAAAATCTGTTTTTCTGTCTCCTGCAGCTGCTGTTTGGTGGCTCCAAGCTGCAAGCATCAGCCCTCCAGAACGGACCCTTCGCCACAGCAAAACAGCACCTAATTGCGTGCCGAAACCGTGCTCAAACTTATCAACAAAAACTGCCTAACGTCCCTTCTGAATTCCTAGAAAAAATTCTCTTTTCTGTCTCCTGCAGCTGTTGTTTGGTGGCTCCAAGCTGCAAGCATCAGGCTTCCAGAACGGACCCTTCGCCACAGCAAAACAGCACCTAATTGTGTGCCGAAACCGTGCTCAAACTTACCCACAAAAACTGCCTAACGCCCCTTCTGAATTCCTAGAAAAAATCTCTTTTTCTGTCTCCTGCAGCTGTTGTTTGGTGGCTCCAAGCTGCAAGCATCAGGCTTCCAGAAGGAACCCTTCGCCACAGCAAAACAGCACCTAATTGCGTGCCGAAACCGTGCTCAAACTTACCCACAAAAACTGCCTAACGCCCCTTGTGAATTCCTAGAAAAAATCTATCTTTTTTTGTTTTTTAGTTTCCTGCAGCTGTTGTCTGGTAGCTCCAAACTGCAAGCATCAGGCTTCCAGAAGGGGCCCTTCGCCACAGCAAAACAGCACCTAATTGCGTGCCGAAACCGTGCTCAAACTTACCCACAAAAATGACCCTTCGCCACAGCAAAACAGCACCTAATTGCGTGCCGAAACCGTGTCAAACTTACCCACAAAAACTGCCTAACGCCCCTTCTGAATTCCTAGAAAAATCTTTTTTTCTGTCTCCTGCAGCTGTTGTTTGGTGGCTCCAAGCTGCAAGCATCAGGCTTCCAGAAGGAACCCTTCGCCACAGCAAAACAGCACCTAATTGCGTGCCGAAACCGTGCTCAAACTTACCCACAAAAACTGCCTAACGCCCCTTCTGAATTCCTAGAAAAAATTTCTCTTTTTTTGTCTCCTGCAGCTGTTGTCTGGTGGCTCCAAACTGCAAGCATCAGGCTTCCAGAAGGAACCCTTCGCCACAGCAAAACAGAACCTAATTGTGTGCTGAAACCGTGCTCAAACTTACCCACAAAAACTGCCTAACGTCCCTTCTGAATGCCTAGAAAAAATCTATCTTTATTTGTCTCCTGCAGCTCTTGTTTGGTAGCTCCAAGCTGCAAGCATCAGGCTTCCAGAAGGGACCCTTCGCCACAGCAAAACAGCACCTAATTGCGTGCCGAAACCGTGCTCAAACTTACCCACCAAAACTGCCTAACGCCCCTTCTGAATTCCTAGAAAAAATATCTCTTTTTTTGTGCATCAGGCTTCGACTGGCTGCCTGCTACCTGCTTCTTGACTGCTGGCCCTGCTGGCTACTCGCTGCTGCTGGCTGCTACCTAGAGAATCCCAAATGCTAGGGAATCTCTTCGGGAATCCTAGACTACAAAAACGCGGGCCCCGGACTGCGAAACATCATATTGCTGCTGCTGCCTGCCTGCTGCTTACCCTTATAAGTACAAGCTGCATGGCTTTGTGACTGCCTGCTGCTGCCTACTGCTGCTGCCTGCTGCTGCTGCTGCTGCTGCTGCTGTTGCTGCTGCTGTTGCAAGCTTCCAAATGGTCGGCGGAAAATGTCTTATTCCCTGGCGCGCTCCCCCTTGCGTCGGCCGGGGTCAACATGGCACACGGGTCTGCAACGCATGTCATGTGGCCACAGTCCAAGCTGCCATCCGCAAGCGTGCCGCAGCGTTGAATGCAGAACCCCAAAAAGGGCCTAACGTCACTTCTGAAACCCTACTATAAAATTGAAACTTTGCCGCTGCCTGCCGCTGCCTGCTGCTGCCTGCTGCCTGCTGCTGCCTGCTGCTGCCTGCTCCTGCCTGCTGCTGCTGCCTGCTGCTGGCTGCTGCCTGCTGCTGCCTGCTGCTGCCTGCTGCTGCCTGCTGCTGCATGCTGCTGGCAGAAGCTGCTTGCTGCCTGTTGCTGCCTGCTGCTGGTGCTGCTACTGGTGGCTGCTCCTGCTGCTGCTGTGGTGCTGCTGTGGTGCTGCTGCAATCAAACAGCCTCCAAAGCAAGAAACAAACAGCCAGACACCCTTTTCGAAACACATCCGAAAGAGCAAAAACGTAGCAATGGAACCCCAAAAAAGGGCCTAACGTCACTTCTGAAACCCTACTATAAAATTGAAACTTTGCCGCTCCTGCTGCTGCCTGCTGCTGCCTGCTCCTGCCTGCTGCTGGCTGCTGCTGGATGGGAAAACACCATGGCAGTGAAGGACGGAGAAAACCCAAAATTGCACCCCATAAATGCCTAACGAAAACGCATAGAAAATGATGATTTTGGTTGCTTTTTCCTCTTGCTGCTGCTATGAATTTTGGCTACCTTTTCCTCCTGCTGCTGCAGAGGCTTTTGCTGCTGCTGCTGGTCCCCGACCCGTTGTTGTATTTCTTGTTGTCCACAACCTCTCTTCCCTGACGCGCTCCCCCTTGCGGTCGGCCGGGGTCGGCGGATATAATATGTCTTAGTATATACTTGCAGGGAATATATATATATATATACATATATTTAACAATATATATATATATATAGACATGTGCGATTCATTATATAAAGTGTATCCCAATTAACGGCAAGCCTTAGTAAAATATTTTGTGTAACGCCACATGTCATTAGCATTTTATACCCCATATTATGATATTCATGCTTAATGTTTTAATGGTGGTGTAAAACCAACAGTAGTGGGGATATAATATGGGGAACACACATGAAAACTCACCAACAAAATGAGATTTGGGTTTGTGAAAGACGGGGGATGCCCCAATTTCTTGTGATTTTCCCGGGAAAATGAAGTTCTGAAAGGATGCAATGGCTTTACTATAATGTTTTTTTTTTAAAAAAAAACAAATTATCGTGACCGAAGATGCGGATTTGAGTAAAATCTCAACACTATTGTTTTGATATACAGTTTCAATATGTTTTAATAACTCATGGAACATTTAAACACAAGAGGAATTAATTTCCAGTGCGTTTCCGCCTTCCGAAGATGATCTACAAATGGTGGGATTTCCGTGGATTTCCCTATTGTCCATCCTTGATGATGATGGTGGTGATGATGATGACGATGAATGAGATGCAAATTGACATGTCAATGTTTTTGAGTCCCAGTTGAATCCACAAAGATGTAGACAATATGGATAGATCCAAGTCAATGTCAATATTTGTATCTCTGTAATGATGTAAACATTTTACTATTTTTTTACTAATTCATTATTACTAATTGTTTATTACTAATTATTTATTTCTAATTGTTATTATTTATTACTATTTATTGCTATGTGCACCTGTCCAGTATATTCCGCTATATCCTTTAACATGGGAATTGACAAGCCAACACATGAACAAGTCAGTGAATACAAAGAGAACACAGGCGGTACATTTGTAGAAGTGCAGGTCCTTTTCGGGCTCGTGCCGATTTAACAGTAGGAACTCATACTGACATGAAGTGGCGCTAGTCCATGACATCACATCACTGCATCACTGCTAGTCCATGACATTATTTATTTTTGTTTCCCTCCCTTTGATTCAACCACGTCTCGATTTTTGATCTTGCCAGGTTAAAGTCCTGCTGATTCGTTTGGCTCCAGGACTTTAACCTGGCAATGCAAAATCCCGATGAAAAGTTGGGAACATTTGGGAACAAATCCGGCTAGCCATGTAAAATTACCGGAGGGCACCTGGGGGTGCAGTTCCAGTTATATCCCAACTTATGGGGGGTTAAGATCCCATGGTTATTCCCAAAAATAGCCCTAACATTGTGAAAATCCCCACTATTCTTCCAAAAAAAAATCCCATGAGTTTCCCAAATTTTGATGGTAAACGACTATAGTTACTATTCCCCATGATTTTTTTTTCACCCCAACGGCACCCCGTGGTCGTGGTCACGTTGGTCACGTTTCACTGGGTTTCCCCAAGGCTCTTCTTGGAACTTCACTCCTTCGAGCTCCGTGAGCGCAAGAGCTCCAGTGGCCAAGTGGTGGACAGGTCGTCCCAGGGCATTGATGCTAGGAATACTATCAGGATCTATCAGGATCTATCAGATATATATCAGGTATACCCTCTGGTAAACTAACATAGCTATTGAAAATTGCCATTTATAGTGAGATTTCCCATAAAAAATTGTGATTTTCCATAGTCATGTTAGTTTACCAGAGGGTATATCAGGTATATATCAGGTATATATCAGGTATATATCAGGTATATATCATCCAGCCTAAAATTCCATAAACATGTTGGGATTTATCATGTTGATTGGTGTCACTAGATGGTGAGCGATTCGGAGCGGACTGGGTGTCCATATTCCCTAGTAAATGGATCTATCAGGATCTATCAGGTATCTATCAGAAATATATCAGGTATATATCAGGTATATATCAGAAATATATCAGGTATCTATCAGAAATATATCAGGTATCTATCAGAAATATATCAGGTATCTATCAGAAATGTATCAGGTATCTATCAGAAATGTATCAGGTATCTATCAGAAATATATCAGGTATCTATCAGAAATATATCAGGATCTATCAGGATCTATCAGGTATATATCAGGTATATATCAGGTATATATCAGGTATATATCAGGTATATATCAGGTATATATCAGGTATATATCAGAAATATATCAGGTATCTATCAGAAATATATCAGGTATCTATCAGAAATATATCAGGTATCTATCAGAAATATATCAGGTATCTATCAGAAATATATCAGGTATATATCAGAAATATATCAGGTATATATCAGAAATATATCAGGTATCTATCAGAAATATATCAGGTATATATCAGAAATATATCAGGTATATATCAGAAATATATCAGGTATCTATCAGAAAGTTATCAGGTATATATCAGAAATATATCAGGTATCTATCAGAAATATATCAGGTATCTATCAGAAATATATCAGGTATATATCAGAAATATATCAGGTATCTATCAGAAATATATCAGGTATATATCAGAAATATATCAGGTACCTATCAGAAATATATCAGGTATCTATCAGAAATATATCAGGTATCTATCAGAAATATATCAGGTATCTATCAGAAATATATCAGGTATATATCAGAAATATATATCAGGTATCTATCAGAAATATATATCAGGTATATATCAGAAATACATCAGGTATCTATCAGAAATATATCAGGTGTATATCAGAAATATATCAGGTGTATATCAGAAATATATCAGGTATCTATCAGAAATATATCAGGTATCTATCAGAAATATATCAGGTATCTATCAGAAATATATCAGGTATATATCAGAAATATATCAGGTACATATCAGGTATATATCAGAAATATATCAGGTATCTATCAGGTATATATCAGGTATATATCAGAAATATATCAGGTATCTATCAGAAATATATCAGGTATCTATCAGAAATATATCAGGTATATATCAGAAATATATCAGGTATATATCAGGTATATATCAGGTATCTATCAGGTGTATATCAGGTATCTATCAGAAATATATCAGGTATCTATCAGAAATATATCAGGTATCTATCAAAAATATATCAGGTATATATCAAAAATATATCAGGTATATATCAGGTATATATCAGGTATATATCAGGTATCTATCAGAAATATATCAGGTATCTATCAGACATATATCAGGTATCTATCAGAAATATATCAGGTATATATCAGAAATATATCAGGTATATATCAGAAATATATCAGAAATATATCAGGTATATATCAGAAATATATCAGGTATATATCAGAAATATATCAGGTATCTATCAGATATATATCAGGTATCTATCAGAAATATATCAGGTATATATCAGAAATATATCAGGTATATATCAGGTATATATCAGGTATATATCAGGTATCTATCAGGTATATATCAGGTATCTATCAGAAATATATCAGGTATATATCAGAAATATATCAGGTATCTATCAGAAATATATCAGGTATATATCAGGTATATATCAGGTATCTATCAGGTATATATCAGGTATCTATCAGGTATATATCAGGTATATATCAGGTATATATCAGGTATCTATCAGAAATTTTTCAGGTATATATCAGAAATATATCAGGTATATATCAGGTATATATATCAGGTATATATCAGGTATATCTATCAGGTATATATCAGAAATCTATCAGGTATATATCAGGTGTATATCAGGTATCTATCAGGTATATATCAGGTATATATCAGGTATATATCAGGTATATATCAGGTATATATCAGGTATCTATCAGGTATATATCAGGTATATATCAGGTATATATCAGGTATCTATCAGACATATATCAGGTATATATCAGAAATATATCAGGTATCTATCAGAAATATATCAGGTATATATCAGAAATATATCAGGTATCTATCAGAAATATATCAGGTATATATCAGAAATATATCAGGTATATATCAGATATATATCAGGTATCTATCATATATCAGGTATATATCAGTATCTATCAGGTATATATCAGGTATATATATCAGGTATCAATATATCAGGTATATATCAGGTATATATCAGGTATATATCAGGTATATATCAGGTATCTATCAGACATATATCAGGTATATATCAGGTATCAGAAATATATCAGGTATATATCAGGTATATATATATATCAGGTATATATATATATCAGGTATATATATATATCAGGTATCTATCAGGTATATATCAGGGTATATATCAGGTATATATATATATCAGGTATATATCAGGTATATATCAGGTATATATCAGGTATCTATCAGGTATATATCAGGTATATATCAGGTATATATCAGGTATATATATATATCAGGTATCAGTATATATCAGGTATATATCAGGTATATATCAGGTATCTATCAGGTATATATCAGGTATCTATCAGGTATATATCAGGTATATATCAGGTATATATCAGGTATATATCAGGTATATATCAGGTATATATCAGGTATATATCAGGTATATATCAGGTATCTATCAGGTATATATCAGGTATATATCAGGTATATATCAGGTATATATCAGGTATATATCAGGTATATATCAGGTATATATCAGGTATATATCAGGTATATATCAGGTATATATCAGGGTATATATCAGGTATATATCAGGTATATATCAGGTATATATCAGGTATATATCAGGTATATATCAGGTATATATCAGGTATATATCAGGTATCTATCAGGTATATATCAGGTATATATCAGGTATATATCAGGTATATATCAGGTATATATCAGGTATATATCAGGTATATATCAGGTATATATCAGGTATATATCAGGCATATATCAGGTATCTATCAGGTATATATCAGGTATCTATCAGGTATATATCAGGTATCTATCAGGTGTCTATCAGGTATCTATCAGGTGTCTATCAGGTATATATCAGGTATATATCAGGTATATATCAGGTATATATCAGGTATATATCAGGTATATATCAGGTATATATCAGGTATATATCAGGTATATATCAGAAATATATCAGGTATATATCAGAAATATATCAGGTATATATCAGGTATATATCAGGTATATACCAGGTATATATCAGAAATATATCAGGTATATATCAGAAATATATCAGGTATATATCAGAAATATATACCAGGTATATATCAGAAATATATCAGGTATATATCAGAAATATATCAGGTATCTATCAGAAATATATCAGGTATATATCAGAAATATATCAGGTATATATCAGGTATATATCAGAAATATATCAGGTATCTATCAGGTATATATCAGATATCTATCAGGTCTATATCAGGTATATATCAGATATCTATCAGGTATATATCAGGTATATATCAGGTATATATCAGGTATATATCAGAAATATATCAGGTATATATCAGGTATATATCAGAAATATATCAGGTATATATCAGGTATATATCAGATATCTATCAGGTATCTATCAGGTATATATCAGATACCTATCAGGTATATATCAGGTATCTATCAGGTATATATCAGGTATATATCAGGTATATATCAGGTATATATCAGGTATATATCAGGTATATATCAGGTATCTATCAGGTATATATCAGGTATCTATCAGGTATATATCAGGTATATATCAGGTATATATCAGGTATATATCAGGTATATATCAGGTATATATCAGGTATATATCAGGTATATATCAGGTATATATCAGGTATATATCAGATATCTATCAGGTATATATCAGGTATATATCAGATATCTATCAGGTATGTATCAGGTATATATCAGGTATATATCAGATATCTATCAGGTATGTATCAGGTATCTATCAGGTATATATCAGGTATATATCAGGTATATATCAGGTATCTATCAGGTATATATCAGGTATATATCAGAAATATATCAGGTATATATCAGGTATATATCAGAAATGTATCAGGTATATATCAGGTATATATCAGGTATATATCAGGTATATATCAGGTATATATCATCAAGCCTAAAATTCCATAAACATGTTGGGATTGATCATGTTGATTGGTGTCACTAGATGGTGAGGGAGCGATTCGGAGCGGACTGGGTGTCCATATTCCCTAGTAAATGGAGAGCCAAGGAGCTACTAAGAATTTCCCAAACACATGATTATATATATATATATAATATTATATTTGTATATCCATCATAAGGGTTCTCACTCTGGGATGCATGACCATACCACATTCATCCCATGTTTTGACCACGGCATAGGGGAACGACCTGAGAATCCAATGGTTGTACCATCACTTTCGCATTGAAATTGCATTTTGGGGTAACCACCCTATTTCGGACCAAATCCTATTAAAAAGATTGGTGCACAAATTCATGATCCATCATGATCAGGGTGCAGGTGGGTCATTCTTGTTTGTTTCAGATGGTGTGAGATGATGCACCCCCCTGGTGCCATGGCACCAGGCTGTTGGGGGACCTGGGTTACGATGCGGTTCATCCCTTGTTCGACTTCGAGTGCCAAAGGTGCTTGGCAGTGCTTGGTTGACCGGGTGTTTTCTTTGACTTTGGGATTCAAAGATAGGATCTTATTGAACAATGGAAATTGCAGAGGCGTGTGCTGCCCAAATCTTATGCCATATCCCAGTTTTCGGTTCAAAACAGCCACATGTTCCCGTGTTCGGTTTCAACACAGCCATGAAGATAGCTTCGAAGTCTGACTTCTGAATCTTCTGATTCGTCCATAAAGTTGGGGCATCTCCCTGAAATTACCTCCATTTTGGGAATCAAATGGAGGGCTTTAACATGTATAAACCATGGCCTGGGAATGGCCCCTAAACCATGGCAGGTGTGTGGCTGAGAATGGCACCTACCAAGCTGCCGCCTGGACGATGGAGTCCCCCTGGCAAACCTGGCGCGAGACACGCAACGCCTGCGCTTGCCGCAAGGCCTGTTGGCAACAGCTGCTCCAAGGCGGGTGGTAGGGCAGGGGTGGATCTATGCTATGGCTATGATAGATACATATGCAGTAATATATACATATATATATATATATACTGTGTTGCTTTTATCATAGGTGAATAGTTGTTATAGGGTTATACATAATATATATATACTATGCTATCGGGCCACCCCCACATATTTATATTTTATGTAATTATAGTATATATATAATATGTTATCCGGGTCACCCCCATATGTTTACATATGTATATATATATATTATCTTATCGGGTCACCCACACATACACACACATATATATATATACTTAAAACCCCACAACGCTTCCACTCAGCCATCACAGCAGCAACAGCCGGCTGCTGCTGCTGCTGCTGCTGGCTGCTGCTACACCTTTGAAGAGATGGAGGAGATGCAGGCCTCAGCAAACGTTCCAATTCGTGATATATATATATATATCAGGTTTATCATTTAAATGGGATATACAAGATTGGTGGGAAATATAGTCATAATATATTTGAGATATATATACCAGATTTATCATATTTAGATTGGTGGTAACATATACATCATATATTTGAGATATATACCAGATCTATCATATTTAGATTGGTGGTAAAATATATTCATTCATATATTTGAGATATATACCAGATTTATCATATGTTCGATATATATGTGTAACCGAAATTGGTGGTAAAATATATTCATCATATACTTGAGATATAAACTAGATTTACTATATTTTTGGGATATATACCAGATTGGTGGTAAAATATATTAATCATATATTTGATATATAAACTAGATTTATCATATGTTTAAGATATACCGAATATTGTTTGTATCCCTGATTGGTGGTTTGTATCCCTGATACCATGTTAAAGGGATGATCAAGGGCCCTTAGATTGATCACTACTGGCAGTAAATTGGAATTTCAATGGATTTCCTTCAAACATGAAGATAATCATGGTTCCTTTGAGCGCTCACTACCGGTAGTGAATTGGGATGTTCTTCAAGAATTGGGATGATCGGGGTTCCTTACAACATTCACTACCAATAGTGAATGGGGAATTCTTTCAAACATTGGGATGATCGGTGTTCCTTAGAACGCTCGCTACCTGATATAGGGAGCGTTCTAACAGGGAGCGACCGTCGCAACCTCTTAGAACACTCACTATAGCGGTAGCGAGCGTTCTAAGGGCCCCCGATCATCCCAATTGTAGGAAAAATCAATTCAAATCCCAATTCACTAGCGGGCGTTCTAAGGGCTCTCCATCATCCCTATTTTTGAAAAATCCATTCGAATCCCAATTCACTACCGGTAGCGAGCGTTCTAAGGAACCCCAATCGTCCCAATTTTTTAAGAAACCCATTGAAATCCCAAGTCACTACCGGTAGCGAGCGTTCTAAGGAACCCCAATCGTCCCAATTTTTGAAAGAATTCCCCATTCACTACCGGTAGCGAGCGTTCTAAGGAACCCCAATCGTCCCAATTTTTGAAAGAATTCCCCATTCACTACCGGTAGCGAGCGTTCTAAGGAACACCGATCATCCCAATGTTTGAAAGAATTCCCCATTCACTATTGGTAGTGAATGTTGTAAGGAACCCCGATCATCCCAATTCTTGAAGAACATCCCAATTCACTACCGGTAGTGAGCGCTCAAAGGAACCATGATTATCTTCATGTTTGAAGGAAATCCATTGAAATTCCAATTTACTGCCAGTAGTGATCAATCTAAGGGCCCTTGATCATCCCTTTAACATGGTATCAGGGATACAAACCACCAATCAGGGATACAAACAATATTCGGTATATCTTAAACATATGATAAATCTAGTTTATATATCAAATATATGATTAATATATTTTACCACCAATCTGGTATATATCCCAAAAATATAGTAAATCTAGTTTATATCTCAAGTATATGATGAATATATTTTACCACCAATTTCGGTTACACATATATATCGAACATATGATAAATCTGGTATATATCTCAAATATATGAATGAATATATTTTACCACCAATCTAAATATGATAAATCTGGTATATATCTCAAATATATGATGTATATTTTACCACCAATCTAAATATGATAAATCTGGTATATACATCTCAAATATATTATGACTATATTTCCCACCAATCTTGTATATCCCATTTAAATGATAAACCTGATATATATATTATATATATATATATATATATTATATCACGAATTGGAACGTTTGCTGAGGCCTGCATCTCCTCCATCTCTTCAAAGGTGTAGCAGCAGCCAGCAGCAGCAGCAGCAGCCGGCTGTTGCTGCTCTGATGGCTGAGTGGAAGCGTTGTGGGGTTTAAAGTATATATATGTATATGTGTGTGTATGTGTGGGTGACCCGATAAGATAGTATATATATATACATATGTAAACATATGGGGGTGACCCGGATAACATATTATATATACTATAATTACATAAAATATAAATATGTGGGGGTGGCCCGATAGCATAGTATATATATATTATGTATAACCCTATAACAACTATTCACCTATGATAAAAGCAACACAGTATATATATATTCCGTAGCCATTTTGGCTCAAGTCAGCTCCATAGTGGAAATTTAAAATTTGTAGTTTAAAAGTTTAAAAGTTTTTTTTTTTTGTAACGATGGCAGGACACGCAGCGTGGTGCCCCATGGCGAGGTCGGCGTCATCGACTGCAGTCTGCACCTGTGGTTTTAAGGTCCCAGAGCCAGAGCAGCCAGAGCAGCCGCAGGAGTCTCCGCAGCAAGCAGAGGAAGAAGCTGGGACTCCACACCATGAGGGCACGGCAGATCGCACAGAGTGTGATCTCCTCGGGAAGTCATTGAGCCTGGCAGTGATGGGATTCGACAAGGAGTCACAGGAAGCGGAAGCTGGCACTCCACAACGAGATGCTTCCAGAGGAAGAGGGCACGGCAGAGTGTCCAACGTTCATCCTGCTGACCTTCGCCTCTATGCGGCAAGCCTATCTAGGCTTGCCTGATGGCAATGCTGTTGGCGATGAAGGGATTGGCGCAGTGGAGGAAACAGAAGGCGCACCCATGGAACAGCTGGAGGAGGCCGGCGATGAGCGCGATGACCGTGATGACTGTAAGGTTTGGTTCAAGGGCCCCTCGAATCCCTTGACTCCACTTACCTTAGCGGGTCTACGCGTGGCCCGCGGGTTGCAGCCATTGTTGGCGGCAGCCTTGCTGAATCGCGGCACTACATCACTGCCTTCGTCTTCACAGTCGGGCTCGCTGTGTTGCGCTGGTGGTGTGGCTTGGCGCTTTATGCTGGTCTCCCTCTACCGGGTCCTCCTTGTGGTGTTCTTCATCCTGGACAATTACTCCATCGTGCAGAAGGCGGTTGCGAAGGACCAGAGCCATTGCCAGGCGTCGCTGGCATCTACATCGCTCTGGTGTGGTGGTGCTTGCACCATTCCAACTCTGGAAGCTGCAGCAGCAACTTGCCAGTCATCATTCTCGCGATCCTCACCTTCTCCGAGCTATCAGAGGTGCAATGGTATTGCCCCTGCGGACGAAAGAACCGCAAGAACGCCTGGCACTGCCCAGACTGCCGCACCTCATGGACCTACGGCACTCCGGCAGAAGACCAAGCGCCACAGTCGCCGAGGCAGGCACGGAGCGATCGTGGACACTCCTATGCTCAGACGTGGCAATGGCCACAGGAACCATGGGTGCGTTCAACAAACAGTGCACAGAGTCGACCTCCCAGTCCTCGCCAGCGGCAAGGTGGACGTGGTCACGGCCGCAAACAGCGGCGTGGGAAAAAGGTGCAGCAGCAGGCCGCAGAACAGTATGCTCCCCAGGGTTATGGGGCGCAACCGCCGCTGCCGCCTCCTGCCACACCTCCACCGCCAGCTTCTGGTGGACAGGTACCGATGCCGCCCGCTTCTGGAGTGGCCATTGCAAGTGCACCGAAAGCCCCAGTTTTGCCTGCACCGTCCGAGGAAGCGATCAAACTCAGGTCTTTGACACAGAAACTCAAGAAGCATCAAGATCTGGGTATGGAGCTCCCGGAAGATGTGCAAGACGATCTCAAAGATGTTTGCATCAAGGAGGCCAAGTCCCAGCGCAAGACGATGCATCTGGCCGTGAATGCCATGGACGATGCGAGGCAAGTGTACGACGATGCAGTACGTGCACGTGCCCAGTTGCATTTGCAGTGGAAAAGTTTCCTTGCAGAAAGCCTGAAACTCTGGCAGGGGCATACCACAAGCTTCCAATCACAGGAAGCGCAACTCACTGCCAGAATACAGGAAGCCAAGGATGCATTTGTCCAAGCAAGAGATGCGCTGAATGCAGCCAAAATCGAGGCGGCAAATATGGTCCCGGTCGACGCCAAGTCCACCGTGACGGTGTCAGACGACGAGGAGATCAAGGACCTCAAAGATGTGCCAATGGCAGCGGCAGAACGCATTGCGACAGGGCTGAGCAACCTCGTGGAGACCATGTCCGTGCTCCACCACCAGACAGAAGAGTTGGTGCAGGAAGAGCAGCGAGCAAAGCGTCCACGAGTTCAGCCAGAGCAACCAGGAGTGGCTCCTTCAGAAGCTGCTCCCGTTGGTGGCGCTTTGGCGTCCAGTGCACCGCCTTTTGGCACGCCCGGTGGCCAGTGACTGAACAGTACGACCACCAAGGGCTGATTGTGCCTGCCTTTGATGGCGCTGAGCACTACCCCATTGTTGACAAGTGGCTTCATTCTGTACCACAAGAGCCCGATTTCATGACAGAATGGAAGGCCTCAGAATCGGCTGTGTCCCTAGCATTTGAATTGGGACAGCCCACAAAGTTGCACAGAGGCAGTGGTTTGAAACGACCGACCCGTTTGAAGACGCAGAATCAGGTGCGTTTTGCGCCTTCGGCTGAAGTTTGCATTTGGGATTCGCAAACCAGGCTTGTTCCTCTTTCTGCGTTGACTTGTTGGCCTGCGAAGCCATGGTCATTGGTCTCGAATTGGGAAGGGCAACCACGCCATGTGCCCAAGAAGTATCGTCAGCCTTGCTTCCCACCTTCCTGGCATTCGATGGTGGCATTTCATTTTCCAAAGGGGACCTCCTCAAGAGGTGAAGTTCCAGTTTCCCAGCTGCGCATCATGGACGAGTTCGTCAATTTACCGCATATCCCTGATGACGATGGCAATGGGCACCTTCCTGGACATGTTCCCAATGGCCAGCCACCTCCACAGCAGCCGGATTTTACTCACAACATGTTGGCCCAGATGGACCCTGCGTTAGCTACCCTTGCTAACTTGCAGCAACAAGGAGTGCTAGTGCGTACTTGGTACATTCACCACGAGACGCACATGCGGAACGACATTCCAAGGTTAGTGAGGCTTGGAGCTGATCGGCACCAATGGATCCAGCTGATCATAGATGCTTGGGAGGGTGTCATTGATGTTGCACTACCCAAAGCATTTACCTTGCCAACACCGATGCCCTTTCGTGGACCTGTTGTCCAGTTCATTGCGCTTGACATTATTGTTTCGCAAGGGCTCCACATTCCCAGGTTTTCCGGACTCGTCTCAGTCCACTTCCAAGATGATTTGGATGGCTTGCAGGCGTTTGTCATCGCGGCTTCTTTTCCGCCATGGGTCAGTGGATACCACATCGTAAGTGCTGCTGAAGTACATGATTACTGCTCACCTATCTCTGGACGAGTTTGCAGCATTTTTCATGGATGGGAGGCTATTCCCGTTGACACACAGCGGTTGCACCACATGCGCCCAGGGAACTCCTTCATGATTCAGGTCCCACATGACCCCAATATTGAGATTGGCAACACGCAGGCCGCATCCAGCACTTTGGCCAGTGCTGATACCCATGGGATGCCTGGTGGAACTGTGCAGCAACATTTTGATACTGGACCAGATGATGATGAGCAAGATGGCTCGGGGCCCGAAGAGCCGCCCTCTCCTGGCACACCTCATGATGCGCCGGAGCCAACTGGGCCACTGTTCAATTGTCATTTCTACAGGTTGCGGCATCCACCATTGCACATCTTTATGCGCAATGCAGCAGGGGTACCTATGTTACAGGAACTTGCCCACCAAATGGGGGTTGTGCCAGCCAGCCTCCTGCATGCACATCCTCTCCGTGCCTTGATGACAGGAGAACGTACCGATGACTGGAGCTTTGTCTTACAATCAGTCACCGATTTGCCTGCGGCGTCTTCAGACATGTTGGTGGTCATCGACGTGGAGGTTCATTTCCATCCTGTTCATGGGACCCTTCAACCAGTGCCTGCTGCTGCACGCAGAGTCGTGCGTGTCCCACTGCATGTGACCAGAAGTGCTGTGCTTGGCTACGCCGGCGTTCAGACCTATTGTACTGCTCAGAACGACCGCTGCCTTGTCCAAATGAATGGAGTTGGCTGGCCCATTCTGCAACCAGGCCCACGGGTGATGCAACATGGCACGTATCTCCGTGTCATTGTACCGCCGCCAACTGATGGCACTAACTCACTTCAGGCCATCCAAGTGAGTGAATCAGAAAGACAACGAATGATTGTGCCCATGCCAGCCCACTCGCAAGCAGCCGGCACGGCACCTTCGCCTGCTCCATTGCCTGTGCCTGGTGCGCCAGCACCTCCAGCACCTGCACAAGTGCATGGACCATTGCCTTTGTCTTCGGACTGGTTTTCGGCCTTGCAAGATGTCTTTGCTGAACAATCATTGATTGAGTTTGAGGATGAAGGTCCCATCTTGTACGTTTGGACATGGATGATCAATCATGCGTCTTTCAAGCACTGTCCGGCGCCTCGAGTTGTCAGGCTTGATGAGCTTGCTCACCTCTGGCTCACTGACATTTTTGAACCATGGGCAGTTGAACTGCAAGTGGATGCTCCTACGCAGATACGCATTGTCCATGCTCGACCGCCGACAGATTCCTTCCGTATTGATACTGTCCATTTGATGATTGAGCAGCACCCGACTGAAGCACGGGCAGCAGGCGTGCTCTCTGCTGTTTTTCATGGTCCTCAAAATGATCGCTTGCTACAGGCAGGACATTCTCTGCCTTGCTGGCTGTGTACTGAGGATGTCATCGACATCATGCAGCTGAACCACATTTGTGAGGCCCAGGTTTGTAGAGCATCAATTGGAAGGGTGCCAATGGAACAGTTCATTCGCCACGATATTCCCTCGGCTGCCAGCATTGAACTTCATGTACGCATGCCGCGTTGTGAAGGACACGAGAGGGCAGGTAGCTTTGGAGAGCGTTTCGTGCCGCGAACTGTTTTGCCGACTTCAGCTCATTCCCTGATGCAAATCTCCAGGCGATGGCATCGGCGTGTGAGAACATCAGAAGCAGACACTCCCGCACCACAAGATCACTTTGCTGGGCAGCATCAAGTTGAGTCGCCTTCATTTTTGAATTGCGTGCCTCCAGTTCCAGCGGTCCAGCCAAATTTTGCTTTGCCTTGGCCTACTACATGGCGATCTTTGGATGATGTCTGGGCATTCTTTGGAGTTGAGCATGCAACCCATTTTCCCGATGGCATCAGTGTCGAAGTTTGGTACTCGGACCACCATCGACGACCATGGTCAGAGGCGGGTCGTCTGGTCCGCCTTCCAATGGACTTTGTGCAATGGGTTCCTGCCATCCTCCAAGCTTGGCACGACTGGCTCATTCCTGGCGTTGAGGTTGACATCATTGTGGTTGCGCCAACACCCATTGGAGGTGACAATTTGGCACACTTTCATGTGATAATTGTGCAGCAGCCCATGAATCACCAGTTTTCCTGCATTCTCACAGTGATGGACAGATTTGCAGACCCCTGGGTGCCCAATCATGTCTGCGTTTTGCTTCCTCATGCCGTTGACCATTGGGCTTTGCTACATGCAGCCGTGGTCGATTTCCAATGCCCGCCTTTTGATCCAGGAGCCAGATGCCGCACGCTGTACGGCAACCTTGAACTCATGGCAGGCAATCTGTTTCCTGTGCAGCATGCTATGTGCTTTACCATCACGGTGGAAACGAATGGGCCCCTTCCAATGGAGCTGCCCGGCACGATGCCCATTACCCTGGAGCAGATGCCGGAACACGACATGGTGCTTATGCTTCAGACCAGCTTGAGAATGCATGTGGCCTTTGCGGCACACTCCTCCTCTGCTGTTCCATCTCAAGATGGAGGGCTTGATCCTGTTGTTCCTCTTGATGATGGTACCTGCTTTCGGAACCAGCTTGCTCTGTTGCACTCGGCGATTGCTAGTGCACTACAAAAGATCAAGGACATATCATGCGAACCATGCCCAACAATTACATCAACCAGGATCGGTGAGATGCCAGCACATGGGCCTTTGCCCTCACGCGTTGCCGACAAGAAGACCACCGTTCCGGTCGTGCTCTCGCTTGATGCGGTGCTGATTCCTGGTGGTGATCCTGATTTACCGCGCTATGATGATCAGCTCTCCACAATTGCTTGGTTGCAAGATGACAATTGGGCTGCCACTTGTGCCAATGCAGACCCCTTTCTTTGCCTTTTGCCCACTGCCGGATGGACTGCAGATTCCGTTGGAATCATATTTTGCCTTGGAGAACTCCGATGCTGTTCCACCATGCTCTGCTGCCCAATGGGAGCTATATGTGGACGGAGCCACATCGCCCACAGCTGCAGCATGGAGTGTTGTGATTGTCAAGGCTGACCCATCAGGTACCACATTTCATGGTCAGTTGTCAGGCCATGTCAACATCAATAGGGCTTCCCCTACATGGATTGGGGCCGACACGTTGGACAACATTGCGGCAGAATTTCAAGCCTTTGCTGTCGCCCTGTTTGTCTCCTTGTCAGGACAGTAGCCAGGAAGGATAGTGATTCGACCAGATCTACAGCTTTGTCGTACCATCGCTACTTTCGAGCACTGCACAACATCAAACCCATTGCTGGCCAATATCATGAGGCTGTTGGCGTACTGGTTAGGCCCCGCTTTGGAAGTCCTTGAAGTTCGCGGGCATCAGAATCATCCTTGGAATGAGCTGGCCGACCGCATCGCTAAGTTTGCGGTGCATGCCCCTTCTGACTCAATCAATCCAGTCCCCTTCAAGCCGTTGCATGATTTGGCCACTGCTCCACTTGACTCGCAGTGGGCTTGGCTGCAGAACTGCCCGCGCTCATTGCTGCATGCATTTCCACCCCTTTGTGAGGGGCAAGTGATGCAGTTCCCGCATTCTTTGAGACGGGTTGGGGTTGGGCAATGCTCTCCGCACATGCCCACTGTCAATGATGCACAGAACATCCAGCTTCAGCTTCAGTTAGCCACAGTCAATGTTCTTGCGCTGGAAGCCACCCTTGACGCAAAGGAATTTGGTCGCCGAGTTGGAGTGCGCACCCAGCGCCTTGACGCGCAATGGCATGGCCGAGGTCTTCATTTTCTTGGTCTTCAAGAAGCCAGAACGCCTTCTGGTGTTTTCCACTCAGAACATTACAAGATATGGTCCTCTGGTCACCATGGGCCCGTGGCCGCTAGCTTGGGTTGTGAACTATGGTGCCACTTGTCCCTGCCCATCGCGGCCACAGAGCAAGGCATCAAGCTGACTCTCGCTGACTTTCAGGTTGTAGTAGCCCACGCTGATCCTCGCCGGCTGATTGTGCGCTTTGAACACAACCTCCTTTCCCTCACAATGGTGGTCCTTCATGCGCCGTGCCTTAATGGAGCTCGAGGCAATGGTCACTCACCTTTGGAGGAGATTCGCGAGTGGTGGCACGATACCTCCCAGATGATTCATCAAACTGTCCATGGTGAACTTGTTTGGTATTTTGTGGATGCCAATGCCCCGTTAGCCTCGTGTGCTACGGAATATGCAGGGCTTCATGGAGCTGAACCTATGAATCCTCAAGGGCGACTCTTTGAAGCCTTCCTGCAAGAGCAACAACTGATGGTACCCTGTACCTTTCAGCAGTTCCACACTGGACCAACTACTACATGGACCCATCCAAATGGCCATAAACTCCGACGCGACTACATCCTTGTCTCCAAAGCGGCGGCAGAGATGGTTCAGGCTTCTTTTGTGCTTGTCGATCATGACACGACCTTTGAACATGAAGATCACCTACCAGTGTGCTTACGGGTCGGTGGCTCACTGTGCCTTCAAACCAATGACACCCGGCGTATCAAGTGGGACTATGCCAAGCTACGAGAATCCCAAACCGTGGCTCAGTTTCAAGATGCCCTTGCCACGTTGCCCATCCCGACCTGGGATGTCAATGTTGACCAGCATTGCCAGCTCTATGAAGCTAATCTCCTCCAACTAGCTCGGCAGTTTTTCGAGAAGACTGGCTCAGAACGTGTTCGCCCACAGCTTTCAGCATCTACTTTGAGTTGCATTGCCTTCAAGCGGCATGTGCTTGATTGTGGTCGCACGTGGGGCCTTATGCAAGATGCAGAGTTCAAGGTTGAGCTTCGTGCTATTGAGAAAGAAGTGAAAGCCCGAGTTCATGCTGACCTGCAGATCTTCTACGACCAGTTGTTGGTGGAACTGCAAAATGCTGGAGAACTTCAGGATCTCAAGGTTGTCCATCGTATTCTGGCCCGGTTTGGATCCAAGAAAGCCAAAGCAGCTACCAAGTTCAAGCCACTACCTGCCTTGCGTAAGCCTGACGGCACCTTGGCTACTTCCTTCACTGACCAACAGATGATTTGGATGAAACAGTTTAGTGAAATTGAAGCCGGTACCCAGATCCACTGGCAAGAACTTCAACGTCTTGATCGTCCTGGCCTTGGACCGCCCATTGATGTCCAAGTTCAGCAACATTTTCCCTCGCCGTGGACCTTGCAGTGCATGATGAAGAAACTCAAGCGGGGCAAGGCCCCAGGGCTTAATCGCCTGCCTACTGAAGTGCTCAAAGCCGGAGCGGAGCCGATCTGCACCCAGCTCTGTGCCCTTACGTCCAAGGCGGTGGCGCACTGTAAGGAGCCGCTTGAGTGGAAAGGCGGAGTGTTGGTGCCCCTTTCTAAAGGGAAGCCTGATGCGGCAGACCCGCTTGGCTATCGAAGCATTTTCATCAGCAACTTCACGGCCAAGCTGTATCATATGGCACTTAGGTCTCATTTGGTTGACGTTTGGGAGCGTGGCATTGCTTCGCTGCAGCTTGGTGGGCGCCGTCATTTGGGTGCCGATTTGGCCCACCATCTTCTACAGGCCCATGGGCGCTGGGCCACGGCCAAGAAGAAGCCGTATGCACACCTGTTCTTTGACATCAAGTCGGCTTTCTATAGTGTCTTGCGACAAGCGCTGTTTCCAGCAGATGACCCACCAGCGTCCTTGGTGGCTGCTCTACATCGCTTTCGGGTCAGTGCCCTTGACATTGACTACTACATGATGAAGATTGTGCACGGGGACAACGCGACGGCCGGGGTTGATGATCACTTTCGTCGGCTGCTCAAAGATGCCTTGACCAATACCCACTTCTTCATCCAAGGGCTGGATGCCCCTTGTGTGACGAATCGTGGCACGCGGCCTGGAGATCCGCTTGGTGACCTCCTTTACAACATGATTATGGGCCTGATCCTTCAGGATGCTCGCCAGAGGATTCTCGCAGCAACGGGAGTCCAGTGGGTAGGGGACCCAGCTCCTTGCCGTGAATTTTTGGACCCCGCTGGAGTTCCTCCAGAAGCCCTGCTTGACTTGGCCTTTGTTGATGACTGTGCTATGGCCATTCATGCAGCCTCTATTCCGCGAGTGCAGGAGATTGTCACCCAGGCGGTGCATTCCATGGAAGTTGCAGCGAAAGGCAGAGGTCTCCTCCTGAACTATGCGCAGGGCAAGACGGAGGTTATGCTTCATATGGTGGGACGAGGCTCGACCGCGGCCAAAGTTGCCCTCAATGACGCCAACAATGTCATGGAGTGGACTATGGACGAGCACAAGTACCAGGTGAGGGTCGTGCATTGTTACAAGCACCTTGGCACATGGCTCCAACAAGGCGCAAAAATCAACAAAGAGGTAACAGCAAGAGGCACGGCAGCCAGGCAAAGCTGGGGAACTCTGCACCGCTCCTTCTATGCCAAAAAGTATGTAGCGGTTCCAGCAAAGATGAAAGCCTTTGCACCCTTGACCCTTTCACGTTTGCTCTACAATTGCCACACCTGGTCCCCAGTGTCTACCACGGTAGTGCAAGAGTGGCAGAACCATATCCGCAAGCCCTTGGGCCTTCTAGCCAGAGGTCAAACATTGGGGGTTTCCCCCTTGGAACTGGATGTCCCTACACTATGTGGGCTACTTCATGTTCTACCTCCTGAAGACTTGCTTCACATGGCGCGACTCCGCTATCTTAGCAGGTTGCTGCGAACTTGCCCGGTGATCCTTTGGCAGATACTGTTGGACAACGAGGCTGAGCAGCACTCGTGGATTCAGGCATGCGCAACATCGTTGGAATGGTTCCGCCGATTCTACTCGGATCACTTTGCCGTCCCCTCGACCAATGACGTGCGACAGTGGATTCCCCTCATCAGCTTGGATGCCAACTGGAAGGGTCGGATCAAAGCGGCTGGGCAAGCGTGCAAGCGGTTCCGTCAAGCTGAAGCTGAAGCATTGACCTGGCAGAAGCGCTTTGATGCTTCCTTTTGCGCTTCTGGTGGTGTGCTCCCAGATACACCGCCTACTTGCGCAGAGCGCTGGACTTGCAATCAGTGCGACAAGTGGTTTGGCTCTAAGCGTGCCCTCGCTGCGCATTCTGCTCGGCTTCATGGATGCCGACGAGAGGTTAAGCTCTTTGCGGTGGGGGATGTTTGCCAGGCCTGTTGTCGCCTTTTTCACAATCGCAGTCGCTTGACGATGCACCTTCGTGACGCAGCCCGTTGCATGGCTGTGCTGCAGAGCTGCTTTCCCCCAGTTACTGATGAGTACTTGGCGGAGTTGGACAAAATGGAGCAAGAAGAAACCGCATTGTTGCGGAAAGATGGATGGGGTTCTACGAAAGCCCTGTGCCCAATGCGGAAGCTTGCTGGCCCCTCACTGCCGCCGCCCGGTTCACAAGCTGCGCAGGAGATGTTCCAGAAGTACCGCTTGAGGCAGGGAGGCGGAAGTGTCGCTGCAACATGTCTACAAGGTCGCCGAGATGGACCCGTTGATGAAGAGCCACAAGTGCACTTGTTTGCCGCTGACTTCCCCGCCTTCATTATGAATTCTCACGAAGGATTGCAGCTTGGGAATGGACTATACGACCTTGCTGGCTTGGCGAAGGAGTACGCCATCCTCAATGTGCGTTCCATCGTATTTGTGCATTTCTTCTCCGGACACCGACGACGAGGGGATTTGCATCACCATTTGCAGCACAAGTTCCTCGAGCCTGGCCTGGAGATCCACGTCATTTCCGTGGATCTTTGTATTCAACGTGAACAGGGGAACTTGATCGCTCCGGAAGCCCATGAAAAATGGCAGAAGCACATTGCTTCAGGGCAAGTCGTAGGAGCGGGAGGTGGCCCGCCTTGCGAGACGTTTTCAGCCGCACGACATCAAGAAGGAGGTCCTCGAGCATTGCGAGATGGAGCTCACCCTTACGGGTTGCCAGCACTTCGTCAGCAAGAATGGCATCAAGTGGTTGTGGGCACGCGACTGCTGTTTTTCCTGCTCGACCAGTTGCTGTTGCTCGCGCAATGTGGCGGTTTTGGGTTTTGTGAACATCCACAATACCCAGTGTGGCTTCACTCCAAGGACCCGGCGAGCATTTGGAAGCTACCTGCGGTACGAGCTCTTTGCCTCCTGCGATGCTGCGCTGTTACGTCATTTGACCAATGCGTTTTCGGGGCTCCGGCAACCAAGCCTACGACTATCCTGCATGTGAGGATGCCTGGCTTTCGTAGGCGGGTCTTGGCCGAAGGCCATTTGGGTCGTTGTCATCATAGACCGAAGGCCCACATCCAATTAAAAGGCATGGAAGCAGACGGCCATACGTTCCGTACTGCTCGCTGCAAAGTGTACCCACCGGGCCTGAACCAGGCGCTTGCTGAAGCGATTCTTGCCCAAGCTGCTGCGGTGTATAGTGGTGTCAAGATCCCAGCGAGCATGCCTGATGATCTCACATCCTTTTGTCACGCGGATTTTGTGGAGTCCGATTTGGTACAGCCAGATTACCACCGGCTCAGTGTGCAGGCGTGACATGGGATTGCTGCAAACGCAGCGCTTTCAGCATGGACCAAGTGCAGACCGCACAGCAGCCCGAAAAAAAAAAAAATATATACTTATTTATACGTATATATATATATACATATTATATTATAGTCATAGATAGGTGCTAGCTGCTAGATGATATTTTGAGACGGTGGTGGGTGAGTTTTCTGTGTGAGATCAGCAGTTTGCCGCCTCCCGAGCCGCGGAGCCGTGGGGCTGATCAGCTGATGTCGCTGGTCCCCATCTATCAGCAACCCGGGCATCCCTTCAGGCCAAACTTGTCGTGACTCTCCAAGAAACATCCAGCGGTGTTTCTGGGTCCGTATGCACCTTTCCCAACCTTCAAGGCTGTGCAGGTGGATCTTTGCCCCGCTAAAAATTCGCCGGGATCAGAGTTGCTCTCACGCCTTGCAGAAGGGTCAGAAGGTTGAGCACTTGGTGCCATTACTTGTGGACAGCAGAGCTCCGCACAACCCGTCTCACCACTCATTTGCAGAAGGGGTAGATTGCCAATTTGAATAATAATAATAATAATGATAATAATAATAATAATAATACTTTCAAATTCAAGTGTCGTTCTTGCGTAAACGCTGAAGCCTGGGCTTGAACCGAAAAAATGCGATGTTGGAACAACAACAAAAACCATTCCATGGGTGGCCTTTTGGGTCTTCAATGTTGAACAACTTCTATATTTAGGAAGCGCAAATGTGTTCGGGTTGCATTACAACATCATGTTTGTTTGATGGGTAAATTCATGCACACCACCCATTAATTTACACAGAGAAAGAATCATCAAAATTTGATGAACTAGGTCCAATATGGCTCTGCAAGGTCCGCCTGCCAAGCAGGAGGCAAGACTCAGTCAGTTGGTTGGTGGTTTCACCGTCCTTTCTCTTTCCAAATGTCTTTATCTGCGAGAAATTGGGTGCGGCTTGAAATTTCAAGCCACCAGCAAACCACACCATGCGTTGAGACCCCGAGAGGAGTTAAAACGGAGACCAGGGTCGCAGGGTCCCATTTTGGACGGGTGCCTCTTGCCATCCTTTACCACGTGGGATGCCGGGATGCATTTCTTGTGGCAGCCTGCCATGGTGAAAAGTTGGGTGATTTTCCGATCAAAGAGGCATGGTCATCCCGATTTCTAGGGCGTCATTTGCCGATGATTTTTGGTTTCCAATTATGGGACGGACGCCCGAGCAGGATGTAGATGTTGGGACTTTGATGCAGATGGGCTTTGCAGACTCTATAGGACAGCGGCAAGCCTGGTGACTCCGGGTGAGGTGGAAGTTCTTCTAAAAAAATTGGGTTTTTAGATGTTTTAAGACCCTTTAGATTTTAGATAACTTTCAGATAGCTGAAGCGACATTTTTTCACATCCGGGCAGAGGTAGCAAACAGTACCTCCCAGAGAATCTCCTTGGCGCGGAGGAGCTGCCAGGCTCCGCCCCAGTACTGCCAGTCAGCCGACAGCTGGGCCGGCGAAATGAATGGCAATTGGGTTTTCTCCAAAAAGTGTGCCCGTTGAACGGCTGCGTCATGCTTTTTTGGGGCGTTCCCGGAGGTTTGTGGCGATATTGAAGGCGTAAAGAGTGGTGTTTTTGGCATGCAATGTGGCCGGATGAAGCTTCCTCCATGCATCTCATAGGAGAGAGATTAGACAGCCAACTATTGGCACTGGATCACTTAGTCACTAGGGTCTCCAGTTGACGTCATAATGTCATACTGTACCTGGAGAAAGTACGCCGTACGCGTGGTGTGATGTTCATACTTCACACTTGACGCGAACGGCTTATGCTACCCTTTGGGTGGGTTTTGTCACCCTTGAGGGACCATGATATCCTCTCATAAACCAACATGCGTGGAGGCGGACATGTTGGTGGAAATTGAGGGGAGGCAGAACTTTCTGAGGCCTTTTTAAGCGCCTTGGCCGGTGCTGTGTGGGTGGACCCTTGCAAGATTTTCTTCGCACCAGCCAGAATCCATTCGACCCTGCTCATGTTTTTTTGCAAACAGGAACGGGTGCCATCAAAGCAAAATTGCTACAACGATACAACATCAAACAGAAATTGGCCAAGTGTTTGACCCTTGGGCAGCACAACTTGAAAACCCAAGTTGCCACAATACCAGCAAGCGGATCACGTGCATTGAAGCGGCCAACCATTTTTACGTGAGTGGAAGTTAGCAGGAAATAAATGACACCAGGCCTAGCAGCTGCCATGTTTCATGGCGGGTGACGTGGAGCTACCAAGCCTACCAGCAGAGGGATATGAGCCCTTAGAGTCTTGGCAGATTCTGGATTTCTGTTGAACTCCATGGGCTTGGGCCTTCTTGTTGTAAGACCCAATCTACTTGAAAGCCAAGCCATTTCAAAACAACAAGTGCATTCAAAATATTCAAACAGCCTGTCAGCCTCAAGAAGGAACAACCGAGGCCAAAATCTCAGATCTAAACTCTTTCGCATGGGCTGGCCCTAAGTTGGCCTTGAGTCGACCTTGGCCCCCAAGGTGGCCCATGGCCGTGCCGTGCTGCCGGCCGAAAGCGGCCGCGAAAACGGCCTGTCGTTCAGCGGAGGGCTGCTGCAGGGGCTGTGGAGTGCTGGAACGAGATGTATCTTCTTTGATCTCACCTACATGCACGTCCGGTGGCCCAAAGAACTGGGAAGACCTGGGGTGGCGGCAGTTGGGGGAGTCGCTCTGAAGAGTTCGTGGCAGTTGTTCGAAACATCACTTGGGCATCAGCATCGTTCGAATCTGGACTTTCAGAAATTTGCGTGCTTCCATGTGTGCTGTTGATGACCATCCAAGTTCAGTGAATCAGTGAATCATATATACCAATAACATCCAATAACCAGTGGTGACCGGAAGGTGCCTGGGAAAAATTGGTTCACCTCACTGATTGTGCAGGTTTGGTCCAAGTTTTTGGCCTTCCTGTGGCTTGGTTCGCGAAGAAGCCAGGCTTCAGGATGCTTCAGGTCATTGGTCGCAGAGCAACTTCCCCAGTAAGACTTGAAGAAAGACCTGGGAGAACGTTGATTCAGAGCTGAGCGATCAAGTTTTGGCCCCTTTTGTATCCCTTTTGTATCCCTTTTGTATCCCTTTTGTATCCCTTTTGTATCCCTTTCTTTTAGATGATTTTACATTGATCCCTCACCCCGGCGTTCGAGGTGCTTTCTGAATGCCACCCTTCTCTTGGGCGAAGAGAGCTTCTATTCAGTGATGTCGCTCATCTGCGCTGAATCTGCGCTAGGCCTGTCGGAACTTGATCGTCGTTTGATGGATGTCTGATTTGCCAAGGTCGGAGCTGCCATCCTCTTCTAGCTGTGTCTTGGGCCTTATCCATTAGGGGGAAAGGGTTTTAGGACACGTTTTTGCGTGGAAAAAGACAAAAAATCTGGAAACCCCATTTCTGGCTGGTCAAAATCCAAGTCTTGTCGCTTGAAATCCAATTTCTTGTCGATCAAGGCACGCATTTAGTCCTTGACCATCTGCCTGCAACTTCCAATCTGAGGCTTGTTGAATCATCGTGTGGGCTTTTGCAACCAAGAAGGTGCTAACCTCTTCCACGACACCAACAGAGTTGAGGCCTTACGGATTCAGCTTGGTCCAGCTGTCTAGCTATTTGTTTCAGTTTTGTTCAATATACTATATATCATACCGTATTTTTTTCTAAGATTTCAAATATCAACACAGACACACTCGATATCTATGCTTGTTTATTTACTGTATTTACTGACTGATTTTTACTGTATTTATTTATTTGATTACTTATTTCTTTATTTGTGCACACGCACATCACACACATATATTACATATATGTAATATTATATATATACATACACATGTATGCATTGATGTTCATTTTTTAGGGATGAGGATCCCAGGCAACGGTTTGAGCTGCGGCCAGGTGGTTCTGAGTCCAGTGGAAAGTGAAAAGCTGCAACTGGAATCCCCCAGCGTTTGGACCCTTTGCGTGGTGCTGGTTGTGGCCTTTGCCAACTCGCGCTATGTCAACAAGATGAAGGATGGGGGTGCAGTGGTGAAGTTTTGATTACAACTAGTAGGTATCTCGCCTTTTCTTGCTTGTTTGCTTGTTTGCTTGTTTGCTTGTTTGCTTGTTTGCTTGTTTGCTTGTTTGCTTGTTTGCTTGTTTGTTTGTTTGTTTGTTTGTGTGCTTGCTTGCTTGCTTGCTTGCTTGCTTGCTTGGCTTGGCTTGGCTTGGCTTTGCTTTGCTTTGCTTTGCTTTGCTTTGCTTGCTTGCCTGCTTGCCTACTTGCCTGCTTGCCTGCCTGCTTGCCTGCCTGCCTGCGTGCGTGCTTGCTTGCTTGCTTGCTTGCTTGCCTGCTTGCTTGTTATGTTCCCTTGCTGATTTCTAGGCCGGCGAGTGGTAGGCTGTAGGATCTGCTCCGATCTGCGCCTTGGAGGCCTTCATCGTTTGGCCCTTGGCATTGCTGGGCTTGCTGCTTTGCACGTTGCATGCCGCAACTCGGCTGCAATAACTTGGCACTGGGCCCTCCGGCCAGACTCAGCAGCCACTTGCCATCAGAAGGGTTGTGATATGCTATGATCATTTGAAGCATATACCAATGAACAATCTCATTGCAAAAAGAAAGCAATGCCGGCTGGGTGAAAGTATGAGGCCCGCACAGTGGTTGACCTGGCGAGTTGTAGCTCAGCTGGATGATGCAGGGTTAGACCTGAGTCTTTTGACAAACAGCGCCATATGTCTGTAATGAGCAAGTAGCAAGATTAGGGCAGATTTTGGTCATTTCTATTTTTCGCGATTTATTAATGTTTTTTTAATACATATCTCTCTCTCGAGATGAGTTCCCCATTGAAACCTCCATTTATAGGGGATTTCCCATTGCCATGTTTGATTGCCATCGTTGGATCGACCACCCAGGCGGTGCAACGTCGCGGCATCATCCGGTGCACTGGACGCAGATGGAAGCGCATTGGGCGGACGCCCAAGTGGCGTTGGGAAAGTCCAGGCGGGTGGATGCCGTTGTCATCATCAAGTCGTATTTTTTTGGCAGTTGACACTACAAGGTGGTGCCCCTTACTGTAGCTAAGTTGGTCTATAACTACAATAGCTAGGATTTATGGTAGATATAACTATAATTAGTGGGCTTTATAGGCTAACTTATAACTGGGGGGACACCACCTTGTATTATTAGTTACGAATCATCATGGACATTGCTATTTATTAGTTGCAATATTACTATTTATTGGTACTACTGTCTAGTATGTTGGTGTTGAATGGTGTTGTAATTTTCCACCCTCTCCATTTCACCCATTGCCGGGGCCCAGGTTGACTCCCTCCTCTGGTGCACAGCGGGTGGCGGAGTATTGCTGGGTGCCGCCCCTGCCGAAGCAGGGGAAGATGACCACCGAGACGGTCTCGGCCGTGGCCGAAGATGACTTTCAAAGACAAAGTCTGGACATCAACATGACACTTTTGGTCCGGGATTCTTCGCAGCATTGGGATGCTGAATCCTGTTTTTTTTCCCAGATGAGAGCTGAATTCAATGGTGGATGATGGATGTTTATGGATATTAATTAGATTTATGGCATTTCAATGTGCATAAGTCTTGTGTACCTTCAGCTGCTAGGCTGCTAGCTTTGCCAAAACACTTTGCAGTGGGATGCAACTGTGTTCAACTCACCAGAGCCCAGGACATGTGGATCAGCTTGATGGACTCGGCCACTTTTCTCCTGGACTTTGACAATCAAAGCGCTGTGCGCATCTACTGTGGCAAGGTGGGAAAAACATCCAGACGCTCTGAATCGCTCTGAATTGGTGAAACCCAAAAAGCATGAAGTGGGTGGACACGAATGTCCAGAGGCTTCAAATCACCAAGATTCCAACCTAAAACTCATAATTTGTCCGATGTTTTGTATAATACATATGTTACATATGCTAAAATCAGGAGTTTCCTCCGGTTTTCCCAAAGAAGTCGGCCTCCAGCCGCAGGTCTTGCAGATGCGCGCGGTGTCGCAATGCCTTCGGTGGATGAACAACACTGAGCTTGGGAACCGCATCACTTGCCAGGTCAAGGGGCTGCTAAAAACCGGTTCGGCACCAAGAATGGTGACCAAAATTTGAGGAAAAGTCCATGATTTCACATGTTCCAGCTTTTTTTTGGGGGGATGTCTCTTATTTACATCAAACTTTTGGGATGACTCGAGGATGTTGGAGGCATTCAGTATCTGAATGAATGACTGCAAGTATCGTATCTTAATATATCTTAGATATATCTATAAGGACACCACAGAATAATTTTAAATACACACTGAATGCCCACATTTTTGCAGGACACGGCGCAGCCGCAGATCACGGCTATGGAACTGGAAGGTTTGATGGAAGCGGGGTCGCCACTCAGCTGAAGCGGTTGACGCACCGCATTTTTGGAAGAATTCTGATTGGGCTGAGGTTTAGAGACCAGCAGTTTAGGGGATCCAGACAACCCAGATGATCCAGCATTTTGGGACCCCTCTTTGCATTGCCAGCTGGGTGAAAGAGTCGGTGCATTCTGCTGGTTGGAATTCTGCAACCTGGGGCTCAAGCCGATCAAACTGACCTGAAACCGAAACCCTACGCGGTCATCCCGCCATTTTTGCAGCCGAAAAAACCCATGGCTGTTTTGCGTATCGTGAGCCTTTGCATGCTGCTGTGCTGCAGCGAGGCAATGTTTAAAAAAGACATGAGGACAGTTGGGGCTGCATGATGTGGGGCTTCTCCAAGAATTCCCTTCCTCTTGAAGCTGGATGTGTTGACATGATTTACCATATTCGTTTTTATATTATTGTGACGCGTTCCATGCATTCCTTGCGTTTGCGGGAGGACTGTCATGGAGGAGGAGTGGCCAGACATGAAACTTGCACGCAGAGAGGGATCTTGGGAGAGTCCTATGACCCAGGTGGGACAATGGGACGTGGTGCATGGTTTTCCCAGGTTCACCACACCTGGCTCACCTGGCCTAGGAAGCACCTGGGCGACGTGGTGTCACAGGCCACCGACAAGGCCAAGGCCATCGTGCATCAGGGGCAGGAGGCTGTTGAGGGCATCAAGGACAGCTGCCAGCCCAACCAAGTCAGCCCGTTGATGTCAGAGAGTGGGTAAAACCATGAAGGGTGTTAGTTTTCTTCCCAAATTTTGGCCTAAGGATGAGTGAAGGATATGGGATATATTGGATATATTGAAATAGGTCGTCAAATTGAAATAGGTCGTCAAATTCACTTAACGCTGCTGGGGGTCAATGACTTCACTAACTTAGTGCAGGGAATTCGTTACCTGGAGCTACTTCCTGGGGTCCAGGACCTGGCGCTGGACACCTTTGAAGCCGCCGCTGCGAAAGTGAATCAAAGCCTGAAAGTGGTGGGTCGAATGCCTTGACTTTGGCATGTTTTTCATACTGCAGATGCCAAGGGCTTCAAGGGGGAAGATGGAACAAAACTCCCAACACCTCCAGCTATCAGCTATGTATAATTCTATATGGGTGTCTGAGAATAGGGTACCCGGGTACCCCTTAAATTCCCTGGTTTATCCTAATTTTTCCGATTGACATGGCCAAAAACGGGGCATTGTGTACCCATCCAGCTGAGGTCAAGAGGTGAGGGATATGAACACCACGGCCATGAAGGAGATCATCTCCTTAGACGATAAGGTGACCTTAGCCACAGTTGGGGTTGGTGAAGCACATGGCTGAAGAGTCATGGGGAAATAGATGGGGGTTGATAAATATCTACATTGTATGTATATATATATTTACTATAATATAATATAATATAATATAATGTAATATATTACACTACAATATAATAAAATATAATATAATATAACATTTTTAAATAATACAATATAATGTATTATAATATAATATAATATAATATAATTAATATAATGTAGTTTTATTTAATACAATGCAATATACTTTACTATAATATAATATAGTATAATATAATGTAATATATTGTAATATCATAATATACTTAATGAAATATATTATAATATAATATAATATAATATGACATGCAATGTAATATTTAATATGATAATGAATATATACATATATATGTATATATAGTGTAACACATGATATATGACATATGATATAATATTTATTGAACTATTTTCACTGGTTGAACATCCTATGCCAAAGAAAGCGGTGTTCACCCTAGGCTGCATCTGTTTTTAGGTCAAGTCTGCCAAGAACAAGGCGGCCACTTTTGCGGCTGGTACCAGTGCTGTGCTTGACCCTTGGTGGTCATGCTGGGTTTATATGATGGTTGTATATCTATAATCATTTATCTATGGAATCTATGGTTGCATTGGAATACCCTCTGGTAAATTAACATAGCCATGGAAAATCATCTTAATGGCTTAATCAGCTGTTGATGGGTTGGCGCGTGGCTGGACTGTTGTATTCAATCTATGGCCAAAGCCACAGTACTCTTGACGAAGGGCACCTGAAAGTTGATGGGCCTTGGCTGTGTCTGCTGCTGGTGGTGGTGGTTGCGTTTTGTGGCAGTGGTGATGTGGTAGTGACGACCAGGACAACGAGGACAATGACGGCAATGCTCAAGTGAATCATGAATATGAGACTGAAAGCATCTGAACTTCCTCAAAACATTTTCCTTGGGTAGTAGTCTAAGCTCAAGGATCTCTTGGGGGTGCTGTCAAAGCCAAGGAACAAATCCAACCCATCTTCGAACAGTTTCTGGAGCAATTGCATTCAGTCACCAAGATGGCAACGGATGCCCTGAACAGCATCAGCCAGGAGAGGCGGTAGAAGTTTGCCTGAAATGATTCATGTGCACAGAAGTTCCCTCCCATGTAAGGCCGGTCCCAAGATTGGAAGATGGTCAGACCCAAAGACCCAAGTTCTTAGGCTTGCAAAGAGGCTGAGGAGCGGTTGTTTATCTATTTTGAACCCGCATTTTATGCCAAACAACTTCATATAAGGCACCAAGTCACTTCGTTTATGCTCGCAGGAGAAAGCCGTGATGTCCCTCGACAAGGCCATGGATAAGGTCTTCGCCACGGCCTCGTCGTGGAAGTTTGCCATGCAGGATCTGGCTGAGAAGCTTCAGCAGATGCTTGGCTCGGGAGACGTTGGTTAGCCGCTGGTTTAGTCGTATTTTTTCTTGATATCATATAGATTAGATTAATAGAGTCTTAATAGAGTAATGGTCATATGTAACATTATGAGATATGATGTAACACAATATATATGCGTTTAGATTTACATTTGTATTTGCACTTTTATTTACATCATGTTACATCTACATTTTATTTGTAATATTTTTTTTGGTTCTATGTTGGGAGGGTTCTGATGTATGATTGGGATGGTGAAGTACAGTCTGTTCTCATCATCGAATTCTCTTGGCCATGGATAAACCGTGGATGCTAAGGATGAATGAGAGCCTTTCCGGCTACACACCTGAAGAAAAGGTTGAACGTCCCGGCGCCGCCCGACGTCATGAGCGGCAAGCAGATCGGCAGGCCAGCCGTGCCGACTCCAACTTGACCAACTCGAAGCTTGGTTGCCATCGATGTTTGCACAGGCTTCAAAGTATAGCAAGGGAATTGACATAGATCAAAATGGGTTCATCCGCGAAATCCATGGCTTCAAACCATCATTGTCCCTACATGGTCATAACTGGCGGGGCATAGTCCATGTTGAGACACACCAACATTCCGGCGAACTTAGCTAAGGACGGAGCCTAAGCCTACGGTGGCTGCATTGGTGCAGTCCATGGCCATGGATCCAGTGGAGGAACTCTCCAAGACATTGAAGGGTCCAATGCTGCTTGCCTTACGAAATGTTTCGGGATGGTTGAAGTGACATGTAACATATTGTAACATCATGTAATGTCAACGATCAACAAGGGGCCTGGCAACTGCTTTGGACCTCTTTTCAGTCATTTTTAGGACTGCAAGCAACTCATCATGAGTCGGATTTTTGGAAAATCTAGGGTATCTAGGGTCGTTAAAAAAGGGGATCCTGGCATATCCTGACTTCCCGCTCACCCATCATGACCCATCATGTTGTGTTGGTGTCTAAAACCACAGAAATCTCCAAATCTCCAAGGAAAGAGCTGAAGTCGGCTGCCGCGAAGCTGAACGACATGGCAGAGGAGGTCACTGGAGCCATGGGAAGCTTCGTGGATGGCGCCTTGGAGGCCGCGAAGTCGAAGCTTCCCAAGTCCCTCATGGCCAATGTGACGGAGGTGCTGAAGGGCGTACAGCACGAGGCAATGCAGGAGCTGGAGCCTTTGGGAGAGGTGGGTCACTTGTCATTAACATCAACTGCCTTTTCCAGAGATCGCATCAACCCCTGTTTCTCCTAGAGTTGGTGCACTTGTCAAGCTGCAAATTTTGCTTAGGGTCAGATCGCGCAGGCTTTGAACATGTGGAATACCGGAATAGGCCTCAAAAGGAACGTTGCAATAGGCAAACAAACCATATATATATATATACCCATATATCATATATTCAATCATTTATGACCCCATTCCAAACCCTTTTTTATATAATGGGTATACTGGGAACATGATTTTCTCAAGCATCAAATTTTGGGGTGCGGTTCGAGACAATCCCCACACGTCCGAGGTCAGAGCATTGTCAGTGGCCTCAAAAAGGCCGGAACGGATGCTGGTCTCGTGGCGCACCTTTTTTCTTCCGACTTGTTGAAGTCTGGGAAAGGTTGAAACACTGGGTACCCTCTGGTAAACTAACATAGCTATGGAAAATCACTGGTTTTAATGGGAAAATGCACTAAATTGCCATTTTCAATAGCTATGTTAGTTTACCAGAGGGTAAACTTTAAAACCTTGGCTGGTTGATTCATCCACGTAGTTTCTCGCCCACAAATGGTGGGGAACACCAGAAATTCGTAGAAATTCAACAACACACCGGTCACTTTCGAAGGAAGATTGGCAATGGTAACACTACAGGACTACCATCGCATCAATATGCATCAATGATGCCAATGGATTTCACCGATCAGTTCTCGATTGCGAGACTCGTAAGGTTTGGACTTCGACTCCGGGGTGGCTGCGCGCTTGCCCTTGACTCTCCTCATGGGCTTGGCCATGGCATTCATCGGCTTCGCTTGATAGAGAGGCGGAAACGTCTAGAAAAAAGGATGGAGTGTGTCAGGGTCAAGGAATGTCATGGACATCAAAGTCGATCTGGTGGCCTCAAGTTAGGACAGATGGTCCATGATGGACACATTGGTGGCATTGGGCAATGCTGCTACCATCTGCAGTGAATTTGTCTAGCATTGAGATGAACCCATTGTGGCAGAAGGATGTAGAAGCAATATTTGCCAGGTTTTGGTGCGGGCACTAGTGGAGTCCTCCATTCTCTCTCTCTCTCTCTCTCTCTTTCTCTTCCCCTTCCTATATATGTACATTTGTATACGTGTCAGTTTGGGACGTTTGGGCATTGCTTTGGCAAGCCAAGTTTTGCAACCATCGGGCTCAAGCCGATCAAACTGACCTGAAACCGAAACCCTACGCGGTCATCCCGCCATTTTTGCAGCCGAAAAAACCCATGGCTGTTTTGCGTATCTTGAGCCTTTGCATGCTGCTGTGCTGCAGCGAGGCAATGTTTAAAAAAGACATGAGGACAGTTGGGGCTGCATGATGTGGGGCTTCTCCAAGAATTCCCTTCCTCTTGAAGCTGGATGTGTTGACATGATTTTCCATATTCGGTTTCTATATCATTGTGACGCGTTCCATGCGTTCCATGCGTTCCTTGCCTTCCTTGGGGAGGACTGTCATGGAGGAAGAGTGGCCAGACATGCGACCAGCTCGCAGAGTCGGGTGGTGGGTGAATGGTGGAGTATACGTTTGCACACTGTCTTGTGCTGTGTCATACTAATTACATTATACCTTTATGCATAGACGCCACACCTAGACACGCTTAAAAACAGAATAGATAGAACAGTTCGGAGAAATTATGAGGTAAACCTCAGCTCTAAGATCTTCGAACATTATCCATTTCCCCCACTAAGAAATATCTCAATATGAACGCCCCAGCTGAATAGATGCGACACTAGACCAGGGTTCCTGGGTGGGAGTATTTCATATTGGAAGGTAGGGATTGAAATCGCTTGTGCTGAGATCACAATCTATTTATCCAATCACATACAACTCATTCCAACGAGAATTATACCAGGGATTTAGTGGTTTGGGTTTGTCTGAAAAAAGGGTGCCCCAAAATCTGCTTGAAAACAATTGTCCGCATCCCCGATCTTTGGACAAACCCAAAGAACATTTTGTGGGATACCCCACATGGCCGATATTGCGTATACTCCAATTGTTGCTTGTCTTTTACCCCATTAACACATGATTATATATCATGATATGGGATGCAACATACTACTGCAGCTACATTAAGTATTGTAAAGAACATTAACGTCGTAAAAAGTATTATCCACAGTATTCCGCTGAGGACAAAATGGCATATTACACACTAATCCATTCTCCAGTTGCATGCTTACATTATGCCTGACTACGTGTTACTTGCTAATATTCTACCACATTTTTGCCAAAACATAGTTACTAAATGGATAACAATAATCATACTCATCCATTCTTATATGCTGTACTAACTATATATACATAAAATCCATGTTAGTGAAAATTGTCATAATAAGCAACTGTAATTACACTATTACTAAATATGATACCAGTAGTACCGCACAAGGCGGTGGCGGAAGTTTCAAAAATTAGACTGATGGACTGATGGACTGAAAGGTGGTTGGAATTGTCTATTTTGTGGTTGATGGTTGCAGTGGTCACCTGATCGGTCACCTCACCCACAACTGCTGGATGTAGTGTGGTGTAGTGCAGCTGTAGTTGTAGTTGTAGTGGAGTTGTAGTTGTGGTGTAGTGTAATTAGTGTAGTGTAGTTGCAGTTGCAGTTGTGGTGGTGTAATGAGTGTAGTGTAATGTAATGTAGGGTAGCGTAGTGTAGTGTAGTGTAAAGTAGCGTAGTTGTAGTTGTAGCTGTAGTTATAGCTAGTGTAGCGTAGTGTAGTGTAGTGTGGTGTAGTGTAGTGTAGTGCAATGTAATTAGTGTAGTGTAGTGTAGCGTAGCGTAGTGTTGTAGTTGTAGTTGTAATTGTAGTTGTAGTTGTAGTTGTAGTTGTAGTGTAGTGTAATGTAGCGTGGTTGTAGTTGTAGCTGTAGCTGTAGTTGTAGTTGTAGTTGTAGTTGTAGTGTTATTGGAGCGTAGTGTAGCGTAGTGATCGTAGTTGATACTGCCACAAAGCCGTCACGTTTTGCTCACTGGCAAGGTGCAGAATCCCTTGTGCCTCAAAACGGTATCCGAACGTCCAAAAGTGTTCCGAACCCCTCAGTTTTTTCCACATTTGACTTCGAAATGTGCTTCGCGCCACAACGGCGGGCACTTTTTCGACATCTCAACTTCCAAAAGTGGTCCGACTCTGACGTGTTTTGTACATTTTGACTTAGAAATGTGCTTCGCGCCAAAGTGGTCCGACACTGAGGTGCTTTGTGCATTTTGACTTGGAAATGTGCTTCGCGCCACAACGGCGTGGACTTTTTCGACATCTCAACTTCCAAAAGTGCCCCGCAACAGTGTTTCGCGACTTTCTACCTTTTCGCGCACCTGCATCTTTCTTCTGACTCTTTCTGATTCTTTCTGACTCTTTCTGACTCTTTCTGACTCTTTCTGACTCTTTCTGACTCTTTCTCTTCTCTGATCTTCTCTGATCTTCTCTGATCTTCTCTGATCTTCTCTGATCTTCTCTTCTCTTCCCTTCTCTTCTCTTCTCTTCTCTGACTCTTCCCACCTCTGCTTTTCCATTTGTCCATGTTGTCGGAAGTTTGACTTCTAATTCTAAACCCCCTTCGGCTTTAGCAATCATTATTCTCATACTATATTGTACTATATACTATATTATATATACAATACAATGGATTATGATCCATTCTTTATGCCCCATCTTCGTAAAATTTTGCCTCAGGAAGCACCTGGGCGACGTGGTGTCACAGGCCACCGACAAGGCGAAGGCCATCGTGCATCAGGGGCAGGAAGCTGTTGAGGGCATCAAGGACGGGACCGTGGCCAATCCCCCCAACTCGATGAAGGTTTACACCTGGGAAAATCATGAAAATCCGTGAGCTTTGGATGTTCAATTGCAATGTTTCATTGCCGGAGTATATATATATATGTACGGAATGTACGTTGTCATAGTTTATAGACGATTGTAGATGATAGAAAAATATAGAAAACGACTACAAACACAGACGCGCACACACACGATATATATATACATACAATTTTTTAGTAGATTGTATTCTGCATTTTGCTATTTGGCCAAATTATTTTTTCTTTTATAGGTTATGTCGGTTATCCACGCCATACCGCATGACTCATTGAAGGACATGGCGCTAGACACCTTTGAAGCCGCTGCTGCGAAAGTGAATCAAAGCTTGAAAGTGGTGGGTCATTTGCCTTGATTTTGACATTTTTTTTTTGATATTTGTTCAATCAATGAATTGACTTTCAAGGGGCAACTTAGAAAAAGGAAACGACACCATTTTTGTTTGCCATAAGGTAATCAACTATATCTAGGGTGTCCTGTGACTTTCCCTTAAACCAAACCTGGGACGGCATTTTTTCATGTTTTTCCAAACTGTAGATTCCTTCCATCGGAAAAATTTGGACATAGCCAGTGCCCAGGCCAAGAGGTGAAGGATATGAACACCACGGCTATGAAGGAGATCATCTCCTTGGATGAGAAGGTGTGTGCCAAACCCATCAACGCAAAGCTTCAAAAAGAACCAATCAGAAAAGTTGGGAGACGCCGGAGACACCCCTGAAACAGGTTACAATATGGTTAGAAAATGTTAGAAACCTTCAGAATCTTCAGCCTTTTTCATCGGTGGCGATGATAGCTCTAGATGGATGCCTCGGTTCAGGTCAAATTGGCCAAGAATAAGGCCGCCACTTTTGCAGCCGGCACCAGTGGAGTTCTCGATGCTTGGCCGTTCAGTTGACTGTGGTGTATCATGAGCATTGCCATGTGGCCTTAGAGGAAGGGCGGCCGCAACCAAGGAACAAATCCAACCCATCTTCGAACAGTTTCTGGAGCAATTGCGTTCAGTCACCAAGATGGCAACGGATGCCCTGAACAGCATCAGCCAGGAGAGGGGGGACATGCCGGAAATACTGCTCTAGTTTTGTGAACAAGTTGCACTCATACCCACAACACTTCTTCACACACTTTCACGGTGATGATGGCTCAATGAACACGGGCCATGTCAGGCACCAAGTAGCTTCTGGACCCCCAAAACTCGCAGGAGAAAGCCGTGATGTCCCTCGACAAGGCCATGGATAAGGTCTTCACCACGGCCTCGTCTTGGAAGTTTGCCATGCAGGATCTGGCTGAGAAGCTGCAGCAGATGCTTGGTTTAACTTTAACAGTTTCAGAGTTCAACAGGTCCAACCAGAGGCCCGAGCTGGCGCAACCTGTGAATGTCTTGCAATCTTTAGATTTGTGTTTGTTCTGATTTGTTCTGCTGATCAGTTGGATGCCAAGGATGAATGAGAGCCTTTCCGGCTACACACCTGAAGCACATGTTGAACGTCCCGGCGCCGCCGAACGTCACAAGCGGCAAGCAGCTCGGCAGGGCAGCCGTGCCGACTCCAATTTGACCAACTCGAAGCTTGGTTGCCAGCCTCTGGCAGGATCTGACAGATGGGTAGATGCCTTGGGGGCTGCTTCCTGAGTCATCAGCCAAGGACTGAGTCTGAAGAGGTGGCTCCTTTGCTGTCCATGGATCCAGTGGAGGAACTTTCAAAGACGCTCAAGGGTCCAATGCCGCTTGGAGAATCCAGTGTGTTTTCTCGATCACTTGCATGATTTTGACATGGACAAGTTGAAAAGTATGTTCAAAGAAAGGGCACCCTGCAAGACTTCCAAGGAAAGAGCTGAAGTCGGCTGCCGCGAAGCTGAACGACATGGCAGAGGAGGTCACTGGAGCCATGGGAAGCTTCGTGGATGGCGCCTTGGAGGCTGCAGAGTCGAAGCTTCCCAAGTCCCTCATGGCCAATGTGACGGAGGTGCTCAAGGGCGTACAGCACGAGGCAATGCAGGAGCTGGAGCCTCTGGGAGAGGTGGGTCACTTGATTTCCAAGTTATGATCTCTTTATTTTGTTAAGGGAGTTCTACGGATTTACACTCATTCAAAGTAGCATGAGTAATGAGTAGCATAGAAGAGTTTCTGATCTCAGAAAGGAGTTTTGTCTTGGTTTCAAGCTGTGTAGTACAAAGAGCGTCAAAGAATCAAAGAGCCTTCATCCTGTACCCTGAATATCACATAAATGATGATGTTGCCCCTAGTGTAGCGGGCACCTTGCTGAGGCCGGAGCATTGTGGGTGGACTGTACAAGGCTGGAACTGATGCTGGTCTCCGGCCCTTGGCTTCGGCAACATTTTTTTGGGGACATTTTACACTTTTTAAGCATCAAGCAGCCATGGTTTCAGCACTACAAAGATCATGGCCAAGAGCTTTCCGCTTCCATTTTCTCGGCCTGGCCTTTAGCCTCTGGTAAATTCACATAGACCCTGAAAATAGGCCACTATCCAGTGGAAACTCATCTTCCCACCCATATCTGCCAGGGTCTATGTTAATTTACTGGAGTGTAAATCTCGTGGACCACAACTAGTCTAAAGAGACAATAGTCAATAGTATTGATACCCTCCAAAAACCTGCAGTCAGTTATCGACTGCGAGACTCGTAAGGTTTGGACTTCGACTCCGGGGTGGCTGCGCGCTTGCCCTTGACTCTCCTCATGGGCTTGGCCATGGCATTCATCGGCTTCGCTTGATAGAGATCAGGCGAAAGGAAAAATGATGAGGATTTCGGATTGCGCCAGGGGGTTGATTTTTCAGCACCACTCCTTTGCGGTTTCACATCATTTCACATCATTTTTTCTGGCCTTTTGGTCGGGGGATCATCCAAAAAAAGACCATGACGTAACCTCCATCCATAGTCCCATTGAATTGACGCTAAATCCATGGTCCCCCTCAATAGTAGTTGATATGAATGTCCATTCCTTCCATTTCCATGGCCATCTACTGCCTTGCCTAAAAACCCTCCAAAGTGAGATCCCACAATAAACAGATCACCGCAATCTACCAATTTCGACGCTCTCTTTTCCCAGAGGCTGCCAGAGGCTTATAATCTATAACTTATATAACCCAAGACAGTTTGTTGATGTTTGTTGTGCTAAGCATTTTTTTCTCAATGATACCAACTATACCAACCCATTGATATAGTATATATATATACCAACTATATATATATATATAGATATATATATATAACCCATGATGCCAACCCACTATGCAGCGACCCTACCAGTGCCCCTCTTGGCTCTCCGAGGGAGCTGTCCGAGCGTCAGCAAATTTCGCACTTGCTGCAGCTGTCGGAGAAGTGGCAGCTGCGGCTGTTGGAAGCGCGAAACTGTAGGGCCGCCATCAGCCCCTTGGTGAATTTATGGTGGGTGTATCAAAGTTGAGAGATAGGGTATCATAAGCCAACATAACTGAGGGGCTCTTGCAGGTGACTTGGGGTGTTGGATCAGGTAGGGGCAGATAATTACTTTGATGCTTCTTTTGATGCTTCAGAACTTCAGGGTGTTTATCCGTTTATCCGGAGCTGAGTGGCAAGGCCAGAGTCATTTTTTCAGCTGCTAGCCAATGCTCAGCCCAAATCGTTAGTAGCTTGAACTCAGCACCGGTAGCTAACAGGAATTTTCGGGACATCTTTTAGGCGAGTTCTTCTTTCAAACTGCTTTGCTCAAAGTGGAGAGACATCAAAACTGATTCTGTGGATATACTCTGAGAGAGAGAGAGAGATATATATATATGGTATATATATATATATGCCATGCTGATGCATCATGTCTTGCACTCTTAAAACGAACCGCTTAGGTGGCCATAACTTTGCGCTGCGCCCACCAAGCTTAGGCGAGGCCACGACAGTTGGACATGCTTTGAAGATCTCTTGCCACGAATCCAGATTCAATTCCGAGATTTGACGTGGAGAATCAACAAAAGTTGCCGTTCCGAATCCACAAACATGGTAGTTCAACCAAGAAAGAATGGGATGCTTTTCCTCATTTCTGTAGAATCAACGCCATTCAATTCGTTTGAATCCCAATTGTGGACAGTTAGGTAATATAACATCATCTTAAAATCGATTTAAACCATTTACACATTGTTACATCCAATATTTTGATGGCAAAAAACTCCGCATTCTGAATGCTTTTGATGGTTGAATTCGTTGAACCAGCTTAAAATTCCCCATTTTTTCATGGTGAAAGCAGCCTGTTGACATCATTAGACCCCCATTTTTTTCATGTTTTCCCCATGGAAAACAGCGCCAGGTCCGGACGTGCCCGGTGGTGCAACGGCCTCGAAGCGGCACCTGCTGGCCTTGCTGCAGGGAGTTGAGACACCGCGGCTGCAGCTGGAGGGGCCAGCAGGTGCCGACTCGAAAAAAAAATCCTGGTGGAGTTCACATTTTATTTTTACATGTTTTTTTCCTATTTTTTTTTTTAAATTACATGGGTCTCGTAGATTTGTCATAGACTTTTGTTTTGATTCTAGATGTTTCGTATGCAATCTGACCTTCAGGATGATTATAGAATTATAGTCAATCATATTGCGTGTATGTAGATTTAGGAGGATTGAGGTACAGATATACTCATGAGAAAGTAGACCAGCGTTTTTGATAATGTGTCAGAATCCTCTTCGCAAACCGGCGCTTCCCCATGTACAAATATATATATAATATCATCTCATATCTAGGTATACATATGCATATATATACAGTAAGAGAACGATAGATAATCTAAGATTCTTGATTGCTTCTGCATGCAGGTTACCTAGATGAGTTTCCTGCTGCCTACTTGCGGCCCGCATTCATAGGTGCGGCACCTTTCGGAGAGTGGGCTGTGGAAGGTTCTGTTTGATGTCGATCAAGGTTCAGAATGTGACAAATCCTTGGAACACAAGTTTTTTTTTTGATGTCTAAATGGGGGATTGCCCCCCCAATGTTAAGATATTTTGGTCTATTTTCCATGGTAACTTGTGGGATATTGGGGGCGCCTTATCAAACCTAGCGGTAAGATGAGGTACCAGGCTTTGATGGTTTCATCCATTCACCGAGTAGGTCAAATAGGTACTATAGCTTATCTTCCCATTAGTATTCCCACTGTCAGTGGTATTTCCTAAAGCCTTATGAAGCAACAACCGCCACCAATAGCCACGAACATTCACTGGCATGTACAAAGGCCTTTCGGATATTCATGAGCCATTACTATATAATCAGGGCCCCTTAGCCTCCTTAAACATCAACAGCCATGTTTATAGGGGTTTATAAAATAAGCATCTATTGTAGGGGGTTCTGGGGGTGGCAGGGGATGGTTTGAATTATATAATGTTACTAATAGTAAGTTGGAAGAAATGTAGATATACATTTTTCAAGTAGACAAACATAAAATTACTTGAATCCCCATGACAATTTCATAGAAATCCCATATATAGTCATATATATAATATAGATATAGATATACATAGAAATTCTATAGACATCACAGGGAAATCCCATCGAATCCTCAGTTTCGAAGAGGCTGCGTGGCGCGCATCTTCCACGTCTGCGCCGGTCGCAGCGCCTCAGCCACGCTGACGGCCTTCCGCTCCAGTTGTCAGGCGGCAACTGGTGGCCATTTAGGGGATATTCCCAAAAAAATAGGCCTTATATATGGTAGGTACCTAGTAGGTACCTCCAATTTAGGTTCCTGAGATGGCCATGGACCATCATGGACCATGGGTCACCATATATTTGAGTGGAAATGGTGAGGATTTGAGCCGTGAGGCGTTCCAAATGGCTTTGGGTTATGGAAATGACCTTAAAACATCTTTAAACCACCCAGAAAATACTGGAAATACTGAAAGTTCTGGAGAAATCAAGAAAGAGTTGATGATGTTGATGGGGATGATTTCAGATTGGGATGTTGCGGCCCAAAAAAGAACTGGCATGCCTGGTACCAAGGGGATGGATGGTCATGGGGCTGTGACGTGGCAAGCTGTGCTAATTTCTTTCGACCCTACTTGTTTGCTGTTAGTTGCCACTGTATGATAAGCCTGATGTCAGTGATATATCTAACAAAGGCCGAATTTTCGTTAAAATTCATCTCTTAGCTTCTGTTAGCTGCAGGCTGCCTGTGCGCTGCTGATGCTTTTGGGGCACCTTCATTTGTGAATTGTGGGTCGCGTCTGACATTGGTGAGCACATCTCCACATGTCGATGGTTTCAATGAATCACTTGCACTCAGGGATGGCTCAAGATTTGATTTTCCCATGTGATTTTTCGTGAATATCCACGCGTTTCCCAACTACTTTGTGAAAATGCATGGGTACGAGGATTGACCCACGCTCATACCAGGCAATCTTCGTTGAGTGCAGTTGATTGCAGTCCAGTGTCCAATGGTGCCGAGGTATGTCCGGATGCTTTGCATTCGCATCGGCTGCTACCGCTGGTGGGCTGAGTATTGTCCTGATACTGATGCTTCAAATAGTGCCTTGACATTCCGGCATTCCTCGACCGCTTGCGTGGCCATGGGGATGGGGTGGCTAGGGTGGACTGGCCCCTGCCAGGGCCGAGCCTTCCTTCCCAGGTTTGGTTGAATGTTCCCTTTGCAGGAAGCCCCCGCATCTATATATATATATAAAGGAAAAAACTATGGTTTTGGTTGTCACTTTCCCTTCCAGCAATCCAGATCCGAATGCTTGTTGGTTGAATTTTGATTTTTGACCACAGACCAAGCCGCTGGCAAATTCCCATCCTGAGGTTTGAGGGAAAAGGTTCAAAAGGCATTGGATTTGCTCAGCTCTCGTGTGGGCGTTGGGCTGTTGATGGCAAGTCTTCTACAGGTAGGTGACTTGACTGCTGGCCAGCGGCTTGGGCGAAGGATTTGATTGGTTTGATGGTGAGTCACTAAAGGTAAGCCCAAAATGATCTTACTTCAGGTTGCTGGATTTATTTTTAAAAGCCAGGTGGTATGGTATGACACTAACTCCCAGCCATTGGTCTCAACCATTCTTTTGGGGATGTATGGTTGAGAGATGTGTCAGGTTTGGGCATCATGCCCTTGCTGAATATTTCCACCTGGGTCGCGCCCCAACAAGACTGCGAGTCAGGCTTTACCGTGCTGGCGAATGAGCTGGCCGTCAACTGGACTGGGCCTGGCAATGGCTCTGGGTTTCAAACCTTTTCGGGCGCGTGTGCAAATAGGGTGTGCCCCCCAAATTTAGCAGGGTGAAAATCATGATACATCATGAGATATATATATATATCATGATACGCCAATGGATTTTGGGGTGGTCCAACACTTTTCAGACAAACCTCGCCCTGCATCAGCATCGAGGGCTGCCAGCCCACAGCAGGATTGCAGAAGGGCATGGTGTCCGCCTGGCAGAGATGTTGAAGCGACTCACATGCAGATCAGCCTCGGACCGGAACCTCTGCTGATGTGAAGACTGTCCCAGTGAAAATGGATGAAAATTGGTGCCAGAACCAAGGCTTTATCCATTTTCCCTGATCGATGTGCTGCTGATCTTGTCCATCCGCCTGCAATTGGCGGTCTTCCTGTTAGCTGTGTGCCTTGGGCTATCCCTCCTACCTTAATGAAATTATTTCAGGGGGGGGGTTACCCTCCAAAATAATTTTTTGAAAATAATTTCAAAAATCTAACATGTTGGATGTATAGATTTATAGACTCTAACCATTGCCAAAATAATTTCTGGTTGGAAATTATTTTGATGGGTTACCCCCCCCTCAAAATAATTTTGACGAAAACACTCTCACAGCAAAAAAAATATTTCAAAATAATTTTGGTGTTTGACCTTGTTTTGATCCGATGACATATTCCACCTTTGGTCGTGCACTCAAGTTTCTGCAGGCTGTGTTCACACAGCACTTCTTCGCAGTGATGGCAGTGTTGTAACTTTCGGAGGAAACGATGTAGAACAATGCGATATCCCATCTTGCGCAATGTTGGGCTTGCAAAAGTGGCTTATTATGTTTTAGGTTTTTTGTTTTTTAGGATTGATGCGTTGCGAATCCTACAACGCAAATAAATTCAACATCATGTTTCATGTGTGCTCCCTGGTAGTCATGTCAGAATCCCCCCAAAAATTAAGTTGCAGCGAGAACGCATCAAAACTTGCAACTCGAAACCAAACTCGTTCTTTAAGAAATTATTCAAAGGATCTTGGAGATGCCCTGCATTCCTCAAAAATCAATGTGGGAAGCTGCCAGAACCATCCAACTCGCCCATATACTGGAAACAAATGAAAAACCTATCAAAACCGAACGCTTCCCAAAAAAGAGTTCGTTGGAGGGAAATGAAGGGAATATTGGAGAAAAATGGGAAATATGACAGGTTAGGAAAATCACTACAGGAAAGGGCCAGGTTGAATACTATTTTGTGGTATTTCCCACGGGGAAAAATTATTTTAGGGGTATTGGAGATACCCTGCACTCCTCAAAAACCAAAGTGAGCAGCTGCCAGAACCATCCAACTCGCCCAGAAACTGGAAAAAAACTGAAAAACCTATCAAAACCGAACGCTTCCCAAAAAAAGTTCTTTGGAGGGAAATGAAGGAAATATGGGAGAAAGAGGGAAAAACATGAAAGGCTAGAAAAACCACTATAGCAAAGAGTTAAGTTGAATACCATTTTGTGCGATTTCCCAAGCGGAGAAATTATTCTAGGGGTATTGGAGATGCCTTGCACCCAAAATTCAAAGTGAGCAGCTGCCAGAACCATCGAACTCGCCCATAAACTGGAAACAATTGAACAATCTATAAAATCCGAACGCTTCCCAAAAAAGAGTTCTTTGGAGGGAAATGAAGGGAATATGGGAGAAATAAGAGGAAATATGACAGGTTAGGAAAATCACTACAGGAAAGGAATACTATTTTGTGGGATTTCCCAAGCGGAGAAATTATTTTAGGGGTATTGGAGATACCCTGCACTCCTCAAAAATCAAAGTGAGCAGCTGCCAGAACCATCAAACCCGTCCATATACTGGAAACAAATGAAAAACCTATCAAAACCGAACGCTTCCCAAAAATGAGTTCGTTGGAGGGAAATGAAGGGAATATGGGAGAAATAATGGGAAATATGACAGGTTAGGAAAATCACTACAGGAAAGGGCCAGGTTGAATACTATTCTGTGGGATTTCCCAAGAGAAGAAATTATTCTAGGGGTAGTGGAGATATCCTGCCCTTCCCAAAAATCAAAGTGAGCAGCTGCCAGAACCATCCAACTCGCCCAGAAACTGGAAAAAAAATGAAAAACCTATCAAAACCGAACGCTTCCCAAAAATGAGTTCTTTGGAGGGAAATGAAGGGAATATGGGAGAAATAATGGGAAATATGACAGGTTAGGAAAATCACTACAGTGTCACTACAGGAAAGGGCCAGGTTGAATACCATTCCGTGGGATTTCCCAAGGGAAGAAATTATTCTAGGGGTATTGGAGATACTCTGCACTCCTCAAAAATCAAAGTGAGCAGCTGCCAGCTGAAAAAAAAAAACACCGAATGCTTTCCCTTTCACAGTCATTCCCACCGAGTGTTCTTTGGAAGGAAATGAAGGGAATGTGAGAGAAATGTGGGGAAGTATGAAAAAAAATGGAAATATGTAGGAAAGAACCCAGTGATGAAGATGATGGTTGAACATTTTTTTTTGCGGGAATCCCCAAGTGTTTTTTTTAAATCTTTTTTTGTTCAACCATTTAAAATTTAGATGAAGTTATGTCAAAACATAGTTATTCCAGGGTATATTTGAAGGCTTAGATTATAATTCGCATATTCCAATATGCACATCCGTAGGCCCACTGCTTAGGAAAATTATTCAACAACATGTTTTCTTTAAACATATTCCAAAACCTGGTTGATACCCCCGCGTTTTTCTTGAAGGGATGGAATATCCCCGGTACACCTGCGAAGGCGATCATGTCGGGTAGGGGGGGGGTCCCAAAGTATACATATGTAAAGATGGGAGTCTCCGGAGGGGGGCAAAATAATTACCTCCCCAGGGGTTGAAATAATTTTTACGAAGGTTCACCACCGTCGATGAAGGGGAGGGGGGGGTCTATCGTAAGAAATTATTTTACCCTAAAGAGGGTTGTTTCGTATAACAACCGAAGACACTATCAACCCCCTGAAAATAATTTTGGAAATTATTTTGAGGAGGGGGGAGGGGGGGGTAGTTTAGGTAGGGTAGATCTTGGGCTGCCTTGGGCCGGGGACTGGATGTGGGTCATTGCCCAGGGCTCGGAAACTGACTTTGGCATCTTTGGCCGTCTTTGGCCGTTTTTTTGTATTGATCATCCAATCTCAGGCGTTCTCAATCGGTCCTAACCCATACCTGGAGCGGCACCTGTGCAACCAACTTCACGACCTGATCCGGCAAGGAAGTGGATCCGCTTGGCTTCTGCCTGTCCTGGATGCATTGTGGCCCAAACTGTTGCCGCGCCAGAGAAAAAAGCAGTGTGTGTGTAGTTGACAAACATTGACAAACATTTTCAACACACATGTACAACATTAACAGTATTAACATTCACCGCAGTTCTTGTTTCTATTCTTTCCGTTTTCGGCCCGCGTTTTCCCTTGATCGCGATGTTGCATTTGGTGCTTTATCCTGCCGTGGAGTCCGTGTCGAAAGATTCGAGTCTGGTGGTGATCCGTCAGCTTTCAGGAGAGTTGATCTGTGCCCTGGAGCCAGAGCAACTGGAGCAGCTGGCGTCGTCTCATGGTGATTCGGTGCGAGTTCTGAAGCAACACCTGGCCGAGTTGCGCGGAGAGTCCAGGTACAAGGTCAAGCTGGTGACTCAAGGCAGAGTCCTTCAAGATCAGGAGCTGAAGTCGTTCTCAGATCCATTCAAAAACCCAAAAAACAAGCCCCCAAATTAACATAGACCCGGAAAATCCTAAGTTTTTGGTGGAAACGAATCTTCCAACCCCCTGTTCGGCATCTATTTGACAGGGTCTATGTTCATTTGGGGGAGGGTATAATTGTCGTCGTTTTATTTTTTCCCCATATTGTCTCAGGATGTTTCAGGAAAATGAGTTCATTCGCTGAATTTGCGCACAATTCACAATGGACATATTTCACCATATTTCCAGTCACATAGAGCAGTACAGAAAATGAGTAAGGGTCAAACTAGATGATTCCATGATAAACACGGCTCATTTTCTGGGTCCATTGGTGCCCTATCTTTGGTCAATCATGCCTGTTGCAGGAAAACAGGCTTATATCAGGCTCATTTTATCCATGCCTAATGCCATTCGCTTTCGATATCTTGGGATCTATTGAGACTTGGAGATGATTTTCCTGAGAGAGCACCTTTTTTTTGTGCCTCGGTTGGCTCAACATGACCAAAGAGAGGACTTGTTGTCGGAGTTGCGACCACCCTTGGACCTGCAGATGCTGCGGCTAGACTATGTCGCGCCAACGCCCACGGAGCGCCAGAGCTTGTTCACAGCTGCGAAGAATGGTGACACGGCGATGTTGGATGAGATCTTGAGCCTTGGATTTTCTGGTGATTTGTCATGTTCCCGTTAGTCATATATCAACACATTCCGGATGTGGAAATTCGATGGAAAGATGGTGATTGGTTTTTGAGGCCCCTTAAAATCGCCAAAATCAAGCAGCGGCCAGTTTGTTCAGTTGCTCCTTTAAATTCACTGTCATTCGGTTTTTTTAGCCGCTTAGCCAAGCAAAGCCAAGGAGCAAACCAGTGGATCCCAATGTCTTCATAGATTGGAGGCAACGATTGGGTTGGCCCGACTTCACCTGTACCAACCCCTCATGTCTGCAGCTGGCCTCGGCGGGTGGCCACAGAGATTGCGTCAGGCGGGCGCTTTTTGGGGTGGCGATGTCTGACTGGTCATGGGAGGTTCACACATTTTCACATACCCTCTGGTGAACTAACATAGCAATGGAAAATGGCCATTTATAGTGGATTTTCCCATTAAAAATGGTGATTTTCCATTGCTATGTTAGTTCACCAGAGGGTATTGAACATTTATTGCTATGCTATGCTATGCTATGCTTCCATCCAGGTTCCATCCAAAAAAAGGGGGACCATGGTTCACTGACTCATGAAAAATGCGACAAATTGGTGCCGTTGTGAAAGACGCGCGGCAGGATGCTGATCGATGCCAAGGCCAACGCTGCCGCGAAATGTGGTATTTCTGATGGCGAGCCCGCTTTATTTGAAGCCTCCAGGCTGGGGCACTGGGAGATCGTGCTGCTGCTGATCGAGGCACGATGTATCGGTGCGTTGAAAAAACAGCCTCTGATGTGAATGATCGGATGTTTATCTGGGAGTTGGACGAAAACTCAGCTGACCTGTTAGTGAAGGGGGAACCTTGGTCAGAGAGTGATGATTTCGAATTTCTGATTTTCTGAACATCAAGTTGAAATGGAGCATTTGGGTGTGGCTCAGGGGTTCGCCGCCCAAAATGGATAGTCTGACACACCTAAGGATAAAAAAGAAAAACATGTTTTTGACAATTTTGTTGGTGAGTTGGTGCCCTAAGAGTGAGCCTGTAATATCCGTTTCACCAGCCCTGTTATCAGTTTCCAATAGGCTATACCTCACTCTTGGGTAGTTCCCCCCCATATGTGCTGGTTTCCATAATTTCTCCCGAGAATATATATTCAGGTTTCAAGCAGTCTACTTCATGGTGGTTTCAAACATGTCTTGCAATTTTCAACCATAGACACGGGATGATGTTCTCCCGAATGGCTAATAATGATACTAACAGCTATGAGTAATAATGATAACAGTAAGAGAGATAATAACAATAATCATAGTAAGAGTAATAGTCACAATACTTAATAGGAAGAGTACCAGAATAGTGAAAAGTATGGGGCCGCCAAAAATTATAAAAAAAACTAGCCATCCACACAAAACCTACTGTCGATTGTTCGCAGGCAAAACAACCGACATTTGGAACAAATAGATTGCATCCAGATTTTTAGCAATCCAAACCCACAGACGGCATCGGCACAGATGGTTATTGCCACGATGCCTACAGACATGCAATCGAAACAAATAGATGGCATCTGCATAAATAGGTGGATATTCATGACCAAAAGAAAGAGGGGTTGCCCAAGAAACATGCCATCGAAAACCACCATTTTCACAAAGGAAGCAGTAGGAGATTGACCACTTTTGGGCGGCAATAGTTTTTTGATGTTTTTTGGCGTTTTTGCGGCGTTACCTCATGCGGCAAGAAGCCGCGATACTGCCGCGATGGCACCCAGGGCCGCAAAACCACTTCTTTCATGCAGTTGATCGCAGAGAGATTGATCGCTTTTGGGTGGCCTCAGTTTTTTGAATCTTGCGGCGCCATCTTTGTCTTGCTTCCCTTCAGAAAACTATCCCGCGTTTGGGTTTGGGAGTGGCTGCCATCCTATTAGTTGCCTTCCTTTTAGAAACTAAGCAATGCACATTTCACAAACTACAAACATATTCATATACATACATACAGACATATATTGCAACTATCAAAAAGTAAGGTTTTGTTGGTCTTAGATGGCAGTGCCATCTTCGTGGATCTTAGTCCCCTTTGACCCCAGTTTGTCGATGCCAGTGGCGGAGAAAGCCGCGATGCCAGGCCAAGGCAGACGTGGACGAACCGCCCATGAGCTTCAACACGCCCATGAGCGGCAAGACGCCCATCCAAGCCGCTTGTGAAGGCGGCCATACCGAGGCTGTGCAGGTCTTATTGAAGGCGAACGCCAAGAAGCCGGAGCTGGTGTCCGGTGACTTGTTCTCTGGGAGATTCAACATGATGCAACCAACATTCTTGGGATACAACATGACAAGCATGTAGAGTGTAGAGGCAATTCATCAATACAAGTGTTTGGTGGTTTCAAAAGAGTTCATTGTTTCCGCTCCTTAAAATGGGGTCATGATACCAATTGACTGCAATGAAACAACGAACATGTCTTGGACTTAGCTGCCACATTGGCGTGGTGAAGTTTTGAGATGCTTCGATTTTTTGATTTTGGGTGCTTGTGCATTCCTTTGCGCGATACCTGTATGTCACATCTATCTCAATCGTCTTACATATCATATCATATTATTACACAATTCCGTATTTCATCATCGGGAAATCCAGAGAGCCCCTAATACTCAAAGACCTAACGAAACTCATCAGTTTAGTATTGAATCCATTCATCATAGGGGCCCTGGGGCCTGGGGCCCTTATCATCTCCATCTCCCAGGGTCTCAGGTTGCAGCAATCGGCAAATCGTACGCCTCTTGCTGAATGCCGGCGTGGAAAGAAGTGAGGACACCGCTGCCTCAGTCAATCTGTAGATCTGTCGAAAAGCGCAGACACAGAAACGCACATGTTTGGGGTTTCCATAAATGGGGTAAGCAATGTGTTGTAATGTAATGTACTGCATTGTACTGTAATGTAAAGTGCTGTGCTCTCATGTCTTGTGCTGCACCGCAATGGACTGTAATGTAAAATGCTGTAATCTGGGATAACCTGGGTCAACCTTGGTTCGATAGTCTAGTACTTTTATCTTTTGCTATCAATGGCAAAATGTACTAACCGGCGAATATATATATATACATATCATGTATATATATATAGAGATTTTCTGACAGGTAATCTAAGATTCACCATGTATTGTACTGCACTGTAATGTACTGTACTGCAATGTACATGTAAATGTAATGTGCAGTGCAGTACAGTACTCTAATGCAATGTAGTGTAGTGTAATGTAATGTAACGTATATAATGTAATGTAATTTATATAATATAGTGCAAATGCAAATGTAAAGGTAAACACCAACGTAAATGCAATGTATATAGTGCAATGTAGCGATGACACGCAATGTCAGTATGTATACTGTATAATATTTTTTTACATGTATGAGTGAGATATATTGTCCATCTATGTCCATCTATGTCCATCTCTTGTATCTACTGTATCCATTCATCCAACTTTTTTTTTGCTTTTCTAGTCTTTTGCTTATACCTAGAATCATTTGTTTGGCCTCCGGACTGATGGAGAGGAGACGATGTCGGCCGCCATGTGGCATGCGGTGGGCGGAGGAAAAGCAGAGGTGCTGCAGGTGTTGCTCGAAGCAGGTGGGGCTGCAATCAAACCTGGCAAGCGGGGGAAATGCCCATAGATGTTTCTAGTAGTTGTAATGGGAAAATATTGGAAAATGTGGACCGGACCATCCAGATTTCCGCAGACCCATTTGCACTTGAGCATCGTTTCCTGTTTGTCTGGGCAAGTCTTTTGAACAACGGTGGAACTCCCCAAGTTTTGTTGCAAAAACCTGTTGAAAACCTGTTGTTTTTCCACCAATGCGTTGGCATGTTTCAACCTGATATACGCGGTTTTTCAGGGTGACAAGAGGCACCCTTGCACTTAGGTTTCATAGGCCCCATGACCCAATATTACATGGTTTCATTGGTATCGGTATCTAACTAACTAATCGCATCACATCAATTTTTAAACATTCACCTCTCCGAATCATCCGAATCATCCGAATCTGAATGGAAAGGAACATCTAATCACTCCATTTGGGGGTAAAAGCCAGGGTTTCGATGGGTTTCGGGGTTCCATTTTATCATTGATCAATTGCTCACCTTAAATCAGGTGCCAATCCAAACGTGCTGAATAAAGAAGGGAAATCTCCTCTCTGGTACGCAGCTGACTTGGGACGTTCCGGCTACATTGCGCAGCTCTTACTTGAAGCCGGTGCTGACAAGGAGGGGAAAGGGGCCGAAGATGTGGGAATATTGAGGGAAAATATAGGTATTGGAAAATGGCAAGGACATCCAAAATGATGAGCAGGACCAACAAAACTTACCATTAGGGTCTTTATTGGGGTTGCAACTCAAACCCTGCAACAGCAAACTCTCCGGTTTGGTAGGTAACACTCAGAACAAAGCAGATATCAGCAAACAATGCCAAGGGGAAACATCAACATGGGTCCAATTTTGGAGCCCTCCGGTAATTTCCACCCGGGAACATCAATAATAAATGGGGAATTGTTCATTGCGATGTCTGATTTTTCGGAAGGTGTCTTTGTGTCTTTCATTCAACCTGTGGTCCCACGTGGTCCCCGCAGAACTGGGTGGATGAGCAAGGGACATCTCCACTGTGGACCGCCGCGGACCATGGCAACTTAGAGATTGTCAAAATTTTGGTCAAGGCAGGAGCCGACTGTGACAAGGTGAACAAGAGGCTTGGTGGTTTGAACTTGAAGATATGGCTGATAGTCAGGTTTGTCCTGAGATGGGGGCAGCCCCAAAATGGGTCTTTTTATTGTGGTACATGATGATCAGCCGTGTTGGGGGCACTATGTTTTCAGACAAACCCGTATTTTGGTTGTGTAAAGATATGGGGAGATGAAGCTGGTTATGGTGCAGGCTACGAGGTTTTTTGTGCCGGGAGATGCATGGTTTCCAGATAGAAACTGCCTCTTTTGTGCAGTGATGTTTAGTGGAAACAGTGGAAACTATTCCTTTGCGATTGCCTCAATCCAAGGAGAGGGGTGTCCCCGCTTCAAATTGCCAAGTATCGCGGCCATCCAGATGTCGTTGAATCTTTGCTACTGCCTGAGCGGGACCGGGACCTGAGAAGGCGTCGAACCTGAACAGGTTTGGGAGAAACATCCCCTGCTTGATTCATGACTGCAAAGCAGTGCAACCATGCTTGGCTGGGCAACCAAAAGCTGTAAAGATATAGGACCGTATAGGACCTATTTTTTGGTCACAAGATGACAAACAATTTTGGAAGAGATAGTAGTCTGCGCAACATGTCTACACCAGCAGTTGCAATTTGAAGCTCCTTGCATTCCACAAAAGGATTGAACACGCATTTGAACTCTCCTTTGCGTTTGGTTTCCCAATTTATGTATGGTTGCCAATTTGTTGCCTGTGCCCTGTGCAGCTGGAGCATATGACAACTTTTTGTCCAAAGTTTGGTATACGGTCAGAAGTGCCGCAGCTGACGGACAGCCGAAATCAGGTCCGAATGGGTCTGAAATCCCGCGCGGCACCAGATGAAACAAAAAGTCGTAAGAATATATCCCTTCCCCTCAACAATCAACAATGCCCCCACACAGAAAACATCAGAAAACCTGGCCATATATATAGGGAGACGTATTTTTTGTTGGGGATAGGATGTACCTTGATGAACATGGGTCCTATGGCCGCTGTCGCCCCAAAAAATACCACTGTGCACTGATCATCCAAAAGTGGACCATTGGACCCACACATGTAAATGTAAACAATGCCTTAAGTTGCGGTCCGAATCTGCACCCTCCCACAGCAATAAAGGATTTAATTGTTTTTGAAACGGTTGAGAGACAATCCCCATACAACTTTGGAATAGGAGATTTGTTGCTTTGAACCTCCATGCTTGTGAAGCAGAACCATATTTTAGTTGCTTCGAGTTTCCCAGTTCTTAGGCGCTGAAATCACATCCTCATATTTTTTTCCAGCCCAGCCCAGCCGCCAACAATGCCCAAGAATCCCGCTGGTGAAATCCGTTCAATCCCTGGTTAAATCACTTCAAAACCCCCCAGTTCATAATTTTTTCTGTTGAACTCCCCAGTTTTCCAGTGGATCTTGGTGAAATCCCCAGGTTCCCATGGTTCCACCATGTTCCACCCATGGTTTTCCCATGGTATCCGCCGGGAGCCCCCGGTGCGGGTGCCCCAGGTGCTACAACATGCTGCGCCACGTGAAGCTCCGACGGCAGATCCTGGCGCTGCCGAGGAATGTGCTCTTTGGGCACGGCAGCAGCGAGGTCCCAGCGCCTCGATGATGGCATTTTTTTGTGAAGTCATCATTGACATCATATGGTTAATATGGTATATACATAGTATATATGGTATATATATCGTATATATATGGTATATATATGGTATTAACATATCATTTTTTGTTGTTAATATGGTATATTAACATATGGTATATTAATGTATATTAATCATGAACATGGTATATTATACAACAGTATATCTAGATATATCTAGATATACTGTTGTATATAATAATGGTTTATATCTCTCTTAAAAAAGTATATCTATGTATATCTAGTATATAATATAATACAACATAAAGTCATATCATATAATATGGTAAAATATAATATACCAACATATGTATATATGTATGTATGTGGGCTGTATGTTATATATGTATATATGTGGTACACCCGGTACCTACCTTTTCTATACTTTTATTGGTTTTCATTGGTATTTACTTGGGTTTGTGACTGATTTACATTGTTGGAGTTTGGCAGTAGTTTCGAGAGGGGGTACCATACATATGTATGTATATATATAATATAACATGCCTCCACCATCAGCATACACTGCTCAAAGAACAACAATTTCCGCCATTGTATACATTGTCTGCAAAAACATAGTCATATCTTGAAAACCTAAGTTTTAACTTAACTAAAAGGTAGGTACCGGGTGTAGCCCCCACCCGGTACCTACCTTTTAGTTAAAACTTAGGTGTTCAAGATATACATACACACACATATATATAAACATATGCTATGTATCAGTATGTATCTAAAAGTCTACAATTATCTAATTATTATATCTGTACCTGTAAACAAACAAATAAATAAATAATATATATTCTCACAAATCTATAACTATCGATGTCTATATGTTCTGAATGTATGACACACCTTTCGATGCCGAAATCGTTGGCGGCCACCAAGGAGTCGTATTGCGGGCCCGACTTGAATGACTTGAAGCGCATGGGCCGCACCAGCCGCTCGGCGGAGCTCTTGGTGGCTTTGGTACCTGGGGATGCCCCAAGTTGGGGCCCTTTACCATATCTTATTAGGGGATATTAGGGGCAACTAATCATAGAGCATGATAAATCACGGGATTTTGATGGATTTTGGAGGTGCCCTATTTTAAACCCACGGGAACAGTCTGGGTTTGTTTCCAGTGATCTGCGTGGTCCACGGTTTCGTGAAAAAATGGCATATCGTGTGGTCAGTGAGTTAGATTTGCTCAGGTTTGGTCTATGCCATGTACTTCCCTGGCATTGCCGTGGTCTCAGCATTAAACAGAGACGTTGCTGGCTGCAAGTCTTCATTTTTTGTGCCTGAGCTATGGATTTTTCTAAGGTTTTCTGGCATTTCTTTTACGCATCCTGGATCCTGGTCTTGCACCTTGTCACATAGGGACTGGTCAAAACCAGGGATGAAAGCCCACAACAACCAGCTGCTTTGATGTTGCTCATTGCAAGCTAGGAACTGTCAGGGGTCATGGGTCCGCTATAGTTGCGCGTGAAAAAGGGGGTACCCCAAAATGTATGCACGCACAGACACACACACACACATATATATATATATATATGTATATGTACACATTGCAGTATATACATATTATATCATATTATATATGATAGATCTAAAGTGATCCAAATTCATCCACAATCTGTGCCCTGTTGAGCCTGAGCCGTTTGACACCGTTTGACATCGTTTGACTCACGGAAGGCCTGGATGTTCTGAGGATGTTCTCTTTCACCTGCGGGTGTTTGGTCATTGTGAGTCAACCAGTCGCTGGGCTCCATGATGCTCGATGGCTTGATGGGGTCCAAGATTTTCCATCGTTTTTCACATGATACCCTCTGGTAAACTAACATAACTATGGAAAATCACAATTTTTAATGGGAAAATCGGAAAATCCACTATAAATGTCAAATTTCCAGAGGGTAAACCGTTGTAGACCCACATCTGCCAACTGCTCGGAGTCACCAAAATCCATCCGAGCAGTGGATATCAGGTGGATATCACTGGCACTTCCACGAGAGAAAAAGGGTCGCCAGCAGTTCACTAAGGCCGAGGTTCGCAGTGTCCACGCGCAACGCATTTGGCCCGTGCTGACCTATGCCAGCTTTCTCTGCTCAGTCCTTCTGGCACACTTTGTGACCCGATGCTTGGGCATGCCATGTGATCAGCCGATAAGGCACAAAAAATTGAGGGGGGATGCTTGAGGCATCATGTATTAGCCTTTGGTGGATTTGTGGTAGTCTAACCTGATGACGGAACATTCTCCATTTTTTTAATAGATGTATTTCATGGATGAGTGTTTCATTGTTTTCCTATAGCGTTCACAAATGATTTCATTGATTTTCATTGGGGCATCCTAGCTCAGGACTCTTTACACAGCGTTGCTTGCTGAACCAACATGGGGAAGGAGTCCAAATCAGATGTGGCTTGGCAAAACTTCCACAAGATGGTGGCGTTCAACGAGGCAAACAAATCCCACTTAGCAAGTGGATAAGGACCAGATTAATGTGGCAAACCTAACAGACCTACCGTTTGGGGATGATAGTTAACTTACCACCCATATATATATATATTGTCGGGGATAGCTTATTGTTGGTAATAACCACATTAACCCCGTCATATATGGAATATCCCCAGGTGCACGGGCAAAAGCAGACTTCCCAAGTGGTTTGCACCTCCTTCAGTTGGAACAATGAAAGCTACACCACCAAGATTTGGCTTCTCAGGGCGCTGAAAAGCCACAGATGGCTAGCATTCTTGGTACCAATCTCATCCAACCTCTAATCCAAAAAGGAGAGTTAGTGTAGGTGATGCAGTAAGCGGATTTATCATATGGTTATTCACTCTATGGCTCATTTAATAGGTAAATCGGTAAATATAAGTAAATCATCTAGAAATGGTGCTTTTTCCATAGCTATGTTAAATAGAGGGGGTCTTTCCGTAGCTCTTCTTTGGGAACCCAAACACCGTCACATTTCGCCCGAGAAACCGCCGCGGATGAGGTCTTTGCCTATTCTCCTGGTATGAGGCACTGCATTTGTTGACACCAGAAGACACCGCAATGTATGTAATATAATGTACGCAGTGTTATGTGTGCAATGTCATGTATGTAATGGCCTGTGATGATATGATGGGTATATATATATACATACGTGTTTATGTATAATATGATGTAAATGTGACGTGTCGTGATCTTTTTTGTGTTGTCTTGTCATGTTTTCTCGGAGACGTGTCATCCAAAGATGACGATGTCATCAACCGATTGGAGGTGATGCTTTTCCTTCTGTCCTTTGCAGTTGGGCCCACTGCGGCGCTCTGGGACTACTTCAAAGGCGGTTCCGCTGGGAAGTTACCCTCGGGTAAATTAACATAGCTATGGAAAATCACCATTTTTAAATGGGAAAATCCACTATAAATGGCCATTTTCAATAGCTATGTTAAATTACCAGAGGGTAATTCAAATGTCAAATCTCAATCCCAAGTTGAAATTGCTTAGCCGAACAAATCTCCATAGTTCGGATGATGTTTGGAATGGACCACCCACGAAATGTATTAACATGTTAGAATCACCCAGATTTTTAAGATACCCCACATCCAATGGCAGGTTTCTTATGCACCGTCCTGGCATCTTTGATCATCGAAAAACCAAACTTCACTCAGACGCTTGGAGCAAGTTAGCTTCGTCATGGTTTTTCCGTGGGTCAAACATGGTCAAACTGCCAAAATCTGCCCATTTTTTGACCAGTCGCAGCAAACCCAAATCCATCGCATGTCAAGATGGTTCCACTCCGGCGACGATGGCTAGCCATGGCTGGTAAAAAACAAGGGAGGCCTATTTTTTTTTGGATTTTTTTTCTTTTACGTTTTTGGATTTTTTTTTGGGTTTCTTGTGTTATCTTGCTTTCTCCTTTTTTTTTTGCTTTTTTGCTTTTGTGCTTTTTTGTTTGTTTTTTTTTGTTTTTGTTTTGCTTGTTTGCTTTTTTTGCTTTTTTGCGTTTTTGCTTTTTTTTGCTTTTTTTGCTTTTTTGCTTGTTTGCTTTTTTGCTTGTTTGCTTTTTTGCTTTTTGCTTTTTTTGTTTTTTTGCGTTTTTGCTTTTTTGCTTTTTTGCTTGTTTGCTTTTTGTTTTTTTGCTTTTTGTTATTTTTGCCTTTTTTGCTTTTTGCTTGTTTGCTTTTGGCTTTTGGCTTGCTTTCCATGGCTTTTGGTGGTATTTTTAGTATGTCAAACTTGCACATTTTTCAATACACTAGTTTGAATCGACTATATTCATATATATATATATATTTATGTTTAAATTAAAATCATAATATATATATATATATTTACATATATATATATATGTATATGTATATATATATATATGTATATATATATATGCATTTATATACACACTTGTATATTTATATCTAGATATATTTATATTATTTATATTTTCTACTTATATATATATATTTTATATATATTTACATATTATTACTATTTATGTTCAAATTCAAATATATATATATATATTTACATATATATATATATTTACATATATATATTTACATATATATATATATATTTACATATATATACATATATATATATATTTACCTATATATATATATATATTTACATATATATTTATATATATATTTATATATATATACATATATATATGTAAATATATTTATATATTTATATTTATGCATGTATATATACACTTAAATATATATTATATTGATATATTTATATTTACATATTCATATTGATATTTTATATATTTATATTTATATTTATATATTTATTTTTATATATTTATATTTACATATAAATATATATTTATGTACCTATATATATATACATTCATATGTATATACATATAAATCATATAAATGTATATATATATAAAGAAGTATGTATCTATAAGTATATGTACTGTATTCCACATGTTTCCAGGGTGCATGTCGTGTAGTCTATACACCTTGAGTATCACATTCAACCCAGCACCTTGCATGTAAAATAGGTGTTTCCAATCTGCTTTGGCGGGGAGGCGCTGCGCCCTCCCCCCAATCCCCCCCCTCCCGCTTTTTTTAATTATTTAAATTCAAACTTGCACACTTTTCAATACACTTGTTTGATTCGACTATATTAATATTTTGTTAAAAATTATATATATCTAGACATATATATATAGACACACGTATACATATATATATATATATGTATGTATATATTTGCATTTATATATACACTTATATATATATATATTAATGTACTTATATAAATGTATATATATATACATACATATTAATATGTATATACATATCAATGTATGTATATTTATATAATTATATAACTATAAGTATATATATATATATATTATAAATACACATACATATTTACTTATAGATATACAGACGTATACATATATATATATATGACATATTTGTGGTTGTTTTTATACACAACTTTGATCCCAACATAAACAACAAATAATCATGTAATTATACCTAAGTACATGTTGTATCCCTGAACCCTAAACCACACCCTGCATATACATACATGCATGCATACATACATACCTACCTACCTACCTACGTACATACATACATACATACATACATACACACATACATATATATATAGATTGATTGATTGAAGAAAACCAAAGAAACCTTGCAGAAAACGATGGAAAATTGAAGAAAACCATGGAACAATTGAAGAACACTATGGAAAAATTGAAGAAAACCATGGAAAACTTGCAGAAAACCATTGGAAAACCATGGAAAATTGAAGAAAACCCGGGAAAAATTGAAGAAACCAATGGAAAAATTGAAGAACACCATGGAAAACTTGCAGAAAACAATGGAAAATTGAAGAAAACCATGGAACAATTGAAGAAAACCATGGAACAATTGAAGAAAACTATGGAAACATTGAAGAAAACCATGGAAAAATTGAAGAAAACCATGGAAAAATTGAAGAGGCACGAACCCCAAAAAAAATTCCAAAACTGTAAAAAAATAAAATACCAAAAACAATTCTGCACCCGAAAAACAAGCCCCAACATGACTTTCGGCTGAAAACAGGGCGCTTTTTGGAGGCTTCATTCATGTTGACTCTCAATTCTTGCGGGGTAGACTTTCAATTAATAGTGGATTTTCCCATTAATAATGGTGATTTTCCAGTTCGCTATGTTAGTTTACCAGAGGGTAGAGGTTTTTTTTGCCCAATTTCTTGGTGAAATCTGTGAAATCCAGCTGCTTTTTCAGCAGGTTCGGCGAGCTGGCGGACTATGTCTACTGCACCTACTGTGCTGCCCTCTTGTTGGAGCGTATGGACCGGGACCGAAAGGAGCCCTCGTTTTGACATCGTTGTGTTTAACGGTGTTTTTGTGGGTGTTTACATGATAAATAGTGGGAGTCATTGAACATTTTTACAGCAAATGATAGAGAAATGGAGAGACATCAATATAAATCAGTACTATGTCAGATGTGACGTATAGTAAACATGATAAGTCTAGAGGATTGGGGTGAAAGCCACAAACCTTTGGAACTTTAGTCGATTCTGTGGTTTCTTGACCAGTTTTTAAATCTTCCTGCTTATGATTGTGGGGTACCCCCGTCATCCCACAAACCTGTTGGTCAAGGTAAACCGGATCCATTGAATCCCCGGTTCAAGGTCAGTTTTTTCCATTTTTTTCCCCATTTTCCAATCATGTTTGATGGTTAAAACCTGTGAAATCCCAATGTTTCTTTGGTGAAATCCCCCAGTAAACTGGGTGTTTTTTCCATGCATCCTGGGCTCCAGGACGACTCGCCACGTCATCACTTCGAGGCCCAGTTGGAAACGTGTCAGGAGCGCGGGCTTTTTTTTGGGCAACAATGAATGCCTGGATGGTTGCAGGAAAGATCGGCAATAGGATGGATGGATGGATGGATTGATGGATGGATGGATGGATAGATAATGAGAATAGAATGGTGATGGGGAATATATCTTATAACTAACGATGCGGGGATAGAATTGGACATACTGTAATTGGGATATTGTCTGGAAAGATTAACCACCAGTTTTGGCCATGTGCACGCGGAACATTGCGATGAACATGATTAAACATCAAATTCGAGGGTAGCCTTTCCAGGCAATCCCAGATTGTACGGAAAAATGTGTATCAAACACAAGAAAACCCCAAACATTGGGGGGGTTGAACGCCTGGAACCGACTTGAGACTAAGAGACTAAGAAGGGGTCACGTCGATGAGATGAGAATGGAGAAGATGGGAGGCTGGGGCTATTGCGTCATGGCTGCCAGATTTGCACAGAAGGGAAATTGCATCAAAACAGTAGGGCAAGCAATTTGTATTGGGATGTGGCTACATGTTTTGGATCATCAACGCATATCAACGCCATTTTTTTTATTCTTCCGGGATTTGTCGGTCAAGTTTTTGTTCTCGCACCGGGAAGCTCCAAATCTGTCTGGAACTGATCGGTAGCCAGGAAGAGGAAGTGCAACATGTCAAGGAAGAATACGTTTGATGTGATATGATATCCAGCCAATATGATTGATATTGTGTCCGAGTGGACGTATGATTGTTTGGATATTGCCCATTCGAAATTTATTTTGCATATGCACTGGATGATTGTATCATGGATTGCCCCCATTTCAGAGCTATTCAGAATGGAAAGTGAATGGTTTTTTCCACTGAGGGCATCACCCAATATTCCGTTCACATCCAAGTACTATTCCACTATATCCACACTCTATACCAGCATTTTTGTTGGTTAGATACCCTTTGGTAAGCCAACATAGCTATTAGAAAATCACCACTTTAATAGCACAATCAACTATAAATGGGCCATTTTCAATAGCTATGTTCAATTACCAGAGGGTAGCCATTCCACATATTCATATCATATCACATAGCACATATCACATATCACATGTCATGTCATGTCATGTCATGTCATGTCATGTCATCGTATCATCTTTTTTTTGCCGCGCAGGATTTGCAGCGAAACTGCGACCGCTGGGACTCGAAGGCTGAGCCTTCTCTGTTGGATCAGAGCAGCTTGGATGGCGATGATCGGAGTTTTTTTTTTGGCCACCTGCCAGGTGAGGGTCTCTAGATTCTGGATCTTCAGTTTTCCTTTTGTTTTGGGGCTGGGGGGGAAATTGTCTGGTTATGTGGTGAAGCTATAATTTCGGGTTTGCCATATTGCCGCTATTGAAAGGGGACTCATCAAAGCCGTTTGGTGTGTTTCAACGGGGATTTCCCTTCAGCCGTGACATCATCCAAGTCATGGACGACCGTGGTTTTGTTGGATCCCCCAGTTAAAGAACCCCCCTGTATCAATGAAATGTCCCTTGGTACCAGGGGAGGCTTCCTTCATTTTGTTTTTTGTTCAGCTTCAACCACTGGTCCCAAACTTCAGAGTATGCTGACAGTTAGGGGTGCAGTGAACGTGACGCTCGGGATGGTGACGACGACGACGACGACGACGACGACGAGGACGACGACGACGAGGAAGAAGAAGAAGAAGAAGAAGAAGGAGAAGGAGGAGAAGATGAAGATGAAGATGAAGATGAATTATCAAAAGGGATGAGGTGACGACAAACTGATAGATAAAGTCCTAAAGTTTGTCAACCCCACCCTGGGATCATTTGATCCACAGGCTACGAGTCCAAGTCAGTCTGTTTCCGCCGGACAGCGGCATTTTGGCTGCTGGGCTTCAGGGGCAAGGGCTGTCGGGCATGATCACTCCATACTCATCATTCATCCCAACATGGATCAAGCAACTTGACCATGTAGTCTTGACCATTCAAAGTGGTTAATGATAGTTAATTAATACTTAATAGTAACTATCATTAGTAACTATCATTAGTAACTATCATTAGTAACTATCATTAACTGGTCACCAAATGAACCAATTTCGCCAAATTCTACAGCCAATGGTCAACTATTGGCTTTTGATTCTTTTTAAATACAGTAGCAACGCCATGGCCGAAAAGCCCACAGGTTGTTGTTCCTGGGGCTGCCACTATTAGCAGCTGCCACGGTGGACCGGAGCAGCTTCGCTTTGGGTGCCTTGGAGCAACTTCCGCCGATCACCGCTGTGGAGCATCATGGAGATACATGATACACACACACATTTACTATACATACATTTACTATATACACATCATATATGTATATATACATGTATACATTTATACATATACATATATATGTTATGATGTAGGTATATATGCATATGTATATAGATAGATAGATAGATAGATAGATAGATAGAGATATAGATAGATAGATAGATAGAGATATAGATATAGATATAGATATAGATATCTGGAGATGATTTGCAGTATATCATATGTGTTTGATTCTATTTTTGCCGACATGAAATGACATGACGCATACAAAGTACAAATGACATGCCTATAGATATGGAAAGATGCGGATTCAGGTGGTGAGTGCCGTAATTTGAGCTTCGACGGTGACGCAGCGTGCTTTTGAGGTTATTCTTGCCCAACATTTCTGCAGACCATCCTGCCAATCAGAAGATGCAGCCTGCCAGAGACAAAGAGGATCGAGCGCCTGCAGCCACAAGCTGCTATGCCCTGCTTGACCTGGTAGAAGCGGAATTGATTATATAATTAAGAAAGACCACCAGTATGTTGGTATATATATATACACACTGTATATATATACACATAGTATAGTATCATATATAATGTAGGCACATATGTATGCGTTTTCTTTCAGAGAGAGAGAGAGAGAGAGAGAGAGAGGGAGGGAGAGAGGGAGGGAGGGAGGGAGGGAGGGAGGGAGAGAGAGACAGGGGAGAGAGACGTATAATATCATGTAATCGTAAAATCTTTTTTTTTGGGTCTTGTAGTTGAAGGAGTTTAGCTATTCTGCCCATGAACCCACAGCGATACGATCGCTTTTCTGCACCAAACGTTCCAATTCGGTCCCTGAGTTCTTCGGTTCAGGATGATCCAATGCAAAAACCAGGTTTCGTGGAGGGCATTTTATGTTAATGTATAAGGTTACTTATGAATCCATTCCTAATTATTAAATACCACCGATATGGCCCAGTAAAATGGACAAAATTTAAGGCAAAACCACGGTTTCCGGGGAAGTATTTTATTTGCATACTGACATTCGAATCTATGATGGTATGTATCCTATTTATCCAACCATTTACAACCCCTTATACCCATTATAGTATAACAGAGATTTAATAGCCGTTATAAGGGTACCGATTCGATCCTTATGAATCCCATGGTTGGAGGATGGATTTGACATGATTCGACCATGGCAAAATCTAGTGGCCAGGTGAACCATCTTTGCGCCGAGTGAGCGAAGACGTCTAGCCTGGTAGGGGTGAATAGTTGGTACAATCCTGTTTATAGTTGACATATGTTGATATATTAATCAACAAAGATTGTTGATATATGTCGATATATATGTTGATATTAATACAATCCCGATATATTCCTCTAATTTTCTTACTTCGGTTCTCCGTTCGTTGATCAGGTTTTGAATGATAAGTTCGTGTTTGTTGATCCCAGTTATTGAAACAACATACGCTGTGCTGATCATCCAGGCTGGATGTCCTGGACGCAAACAGGTCCATGTTGACCACTGAGCATACTGAATATCAACGAGAGATCTTTAGTACCCAATGTAATTGGGTGGTATCACTTAGTTCTTGATCACAACATGTAAATAGCCCATTTCCTAAGACTTCATAAGTAGTCAGGGTCCATCATTGTAGTTTTGGCGACCTCGAAACTCGCCGTTTTCCGACATGCCAAAGCTAATGGCCAGCGGCGTGGCAAAGGCCCTTTGACTGCTGGGTATCACGTGTGCCACAAGGTGTCACGATGTGCTTGTTGGGTTTTTGACGGTTTTTGTCACGACGTCCTGATGTGGGTATGACTCAAAACCAATGGAATTCCCTGGTTGTCGCTAGTATAACATAGCACAAGAGAGCTGGAATTTATGATGCTTTATGGATCTTCACCCGCAAGATATGATACAAGGTGGCCCCACCAGTTATAAGTTGCTTTCACCCCCATGAACTATGATTATATATCTGCCCTTTTTAGCCTAGTTCCGTTAGATATGTTCACCAACTTAGATATCTAGGGGCCACCTGGATGATGATGATGATGATGATGATGATGATGATGATGATGATGATGATGATCCCATGTGGTCCCTATCGCCGAGGCCCCGAAGGCCCGGAAGGTTGAGGACCTTCCCATAGGGTCCCCCACCAGCTTTGGGGCGGCTGCTTGACAGATGGCAGATGGTTGAGAGAGAGAGAAGAGAGAGAGAGAGAGAAATTCTTAGAAGGTTGATCCAACTTTCACGCCTGCAGCCATCTTGGCTCCTGCGGCGGCTGGGCCACCAGCCGCCAGTTATTGCCAGCTGCTCCGGCACGCCAGGCAGCCAATGCCGGTGTTTAATACCAAGGGGATGGGCTTATTGTATTGGGATGTACTGGGGGGCTCAGCTTCACGGACTTTCCAGACCTGGGAGGTGCTGCAATGGCGTTGGCGAAGGCTGTGACTTTCACTGGCCTTTGCCAGGCGGGAGAGGATGGGATTCAACGACCCGGTGATCCACGTTTAGAAGGGCTTCTCAACCAGCGGGGAGGATCACCTGGGGCTGAATCCCGAATTCCCATGATATTGTACCATAATCTTGGGGGATCAACGTCCGTCGGGCCTGAACCCAGGGTAGCAGGGTTCTACCCATACCAATGTTTTTCTGAAATTGACAGGTTGGTGGAGTCCGTTTATCGTTTCAATTGCAGAACATATGGGGAGGATTTGAGGTTTGCCACAACATCTAATTCAGTTTCCATCCTCGCCTCCTGTGTTGAGGTGCTCAAATGTGACCAACATGTACCAAACAATTCTGAATACGACGATGCTCCAACCTGTCTTTATTCATGTTTAGTTTCCAAACCCTTTGCCCCCCCCATGTCCTTTGGAACCTGTCCCATTGAGTCGGTATTTAGTTCGGGTCAATGTTCCCCCCTTTTTGGGTTATGGAACACCCAAAAATAACATAAACAGTCTTGCTGATATCTATCATTCCCCGCTGTTCATGCTTATTCCTACCCTTTAACTATGATAGTGTAATAGAGTCAATAGAGTACCATATGACATAATGTAACACAAGATGACATAATAGAATACAATAACACATAGATACATACACACACACAGACACATATTACGCACACGGATATCTATCTATCTATCTATCTATCTATATATATAATATAATCTCCCTCCAGTAAATCAAGATAGATATGGAAAAAAACATGAAAAAACACCTGGTTTCCCAATGAAAACGATCTACATTTCTGGTGGGGAAACTCTCGATGTTCGCGCCAGGTCGTGTCTGGCTTGATTGGTACCTGTCCGACTCTCTCCAGGTCACCATACCTTGAGGAGGCGCCAAAAAATCAGACTTTGGCTAAGCGGCTAAGCTTTAATTGGGACATTTAAGAGTCGCTACCAGCTTGCCTTTGTTGGTTGCCTTTGATTATGACAGTTCCATTTCTCCCAGCAGTGGAGGCGTCTCCCTTTGGTTGGCCCCTGTCACCCAATGATTGGACCTTCCTGAAGCAAGAGGAATGGAGTGAGAGGTGCGCAACGCGGGAGCGGGGACTGACCCAAAACCATCTCCTTCCACTGTTTGACTCATGGACACAGTCCAGCAATTTTCCGGGTTGAGGGTTGGCGGATGGATTTTTTCCCAAAAAAGGTGGGGCTCCTGCCCTGGGCTTGGCCCCAGGTACATGGTTTGTGGAGGTGAACTGCAATCTCCCATGGACATCGCCACCAGCGGCTCCTGTGTGATGAACGGGGGCCAGGACGTCGCTGCGGGAACAGATCCACCCGTATCCACCACTCGGCAAACCCTCTGGTAGTTTTGCATACATTAGCTATTGAAATGGCCACATAAGACTTATTGTTGATTTAATTTAGCATGATTTAGCCATTAAAATTAGTGATTTGCACTGGTTATGTTAGTGTTCCAGAGGGTACAAGGACTTCCGGGGGCTGTTTATTGTAGTTTATCGGCAGCCTCAGGCCAGGCACCTGATGGCATAAGACATCCCTTTTTCTAATGGCTTGGCCGACGATAATAACAGCGGGGTGAACCATAACCCCCCTTCGCAAGTTGAATTACCGACTGCTCTATTTTACCAATTTGTTTTTTCTTTTTTGTAATGATATACCGTGGTATGCCACCTATTGGTATAGCTGAGAAGCTGTCGCGGACTGGTTTTTTACATTTATTTACCATTCTGATGATACATGGCTTTGTGTTAAAATGGGGGATGCATCAATATTGCAATTTCAGATAAGAAGAGGGGTCAAAAAACACAAGCTGCCCCGGTGTTAAACCATGGCATTTCGGGAGCTTTTCCCATGTTTTCCCCCACAAAAATCAGGTCCCAAACGCAGCCGTTGCCTGACACCAGGACGGTCTGATCTCAGATGCCTCCGACTATGGCACCGTGGGAAAAGGCACCGTTGGGAGCCTCAGGCATCTTGGAACCTAAAATGATGATACTATGAATGCTAATAGCAATAATAATGAGAAACATGAGAACGCTACATGCATGAAAAAACACATGCATGCGTTTCTATGCGTTTGTATTGGTTTCCTTACTGTTCACTCAGTTGAAACCTCTTCACTATCTACTCTATCTATCTAGTTTGATGTAAAGATTCTGATGAATCTGTCCAGTGATAATCCAGGAGCTCCAAGATGTTGGCACGAGGGAACTTCCGAACTACCTCACTCCAGCATAAGTTTTGATTTCAATCATGTTGCTGCCTTTTTTTAATGGAACAATATGATAAATCATGGGTCAACATGGGACACGCACATGTGTTTATGTATATATATATATATGTATGCATTATTACAGCTATGTATCTATATACAGTGATTACACGCGCACACACACACACACTAACTGTACATATATACACACTATACACACATATGCACATTTGGAGAAACGAAAGACGGTAACTCTGCTAATTATCAGGGTTGCTCCAACCTACAAAAAGGTAAATGATAGCCAGACGGGTGTGAAATTGGTGAGTTTCCCTCCATTCAGCGAGGTCCACTTGAGCTCATACATGCGCTCGGCGTCTGTAAAAGGGGACTTTGGCTCCTTGTATCTCAAGGCACTGGCAGTTGCGGAGGGACCTATTGGATGGGCGGAAAGTCATAGAAAGAGGCTCTGAATCGACAGTTTGAGGCTCTTGGTAGTACTTGCTGTATTTTCCTGTTATTTCCCCCCCATAGTTTTCAGATATTTTCGGTTCAACCATCCAATTCTTGAGAGCTGCTGGCAGACGTGCTGTCACATGCGCCGGCTTCCTGCAGGATACAGAGGGCCACACCGTGCAGTATACAGCGCATGAGGCAGAGGGCTCTGGGCTGGTGGTATCATCGGGGTTTTACTTTGCCCCCATTGCAGGGGGTGTACCGGGTGTACCAACAAATTCAACAAAAATAAGGATTTAATATCTCTAACCAACGAAAAAGTAGGATTTGAACAGCCAAATTGCATTGGTTTACGGGCAAATTCAGGGTGGAAACGATGCTTTTTACCACTCAATCACCAAATAGGGCTTCCTGTAATTTGTTCCTTTAATTCTGGGATGGTACTCTGATGACGGAGACAGGAAGGAATGAGAATGCATTTCATCACAAAAATATCATAAACAGCATATTTTTTTTTTGCAGACCTTGGGAGGGTTTGCTCTTTGGTACTCAAACCATGGCTTGCCGGAAAATCCGTCCCCATTTTTAGTTCGAGGTGTGTTTTTCCCAGCTATAATAACCTCATAACATCATATATATCCTCCATTTTTCATGGATGTTCTCCCGCCACGAGCGAGGTACACCTCTCTACAGATAGCTGGCATACTTTGGATGGCCAAAGCAGAGTGGTGCCTGGACACCGGTCAGCTGAAATGAGGAGCAGGGCCATTTGAAGATGTACATCTAGTAGGGATCTAATCCCACTGATAATATGGATGTATATGAGTTATTGTGGATCTAATTATGATATATATATATATATATCCAATATGCTTATATGTATTTTTTAACCGTTCTAAGTTATGCATGTTGATGTTTATCTACGTTGGAGATGAACACGTGTATAGATATGGATATATATATATCTCATTGGTCTATGAACAACGTCCGAACAAGACAATGTAACCCAAATAGGAATGCAGATGAATGCAAAATTCAATCCCAAACACCAAACTTCGAATCCATGTAACCCAAATAGGAATGCAGATGAATGCAGAATTCAATCCCAAACACCAAACTTCGAATCCTCATGTCGGATGACGTTGATTGGTAATCCTCACCGCCTTTCCTGACACATGGGGCCCCAGCAAGGCGGAACTGATGATCTTCCACAAACCCAAAGATCATCGCGACATGCTCAAAGATGGCGTGGCGCCATGCCCAGTGCGTTTTTCTGGCCAGAAACGGTGGGTGGGAGGTGTTCTTAGCAATCAGTCCATCCCCTGAAAACACCTGCAGCTAGTTGCGAGGTTGAAGATTGCTAAGGTACATAGCCTCTATAGCCTCAAATGTGGCTTGCTGGAAAATCCCTTATTTAGTTCGATGATTTTCCCATTGAAAGAGCCTTGATTGAGCACATCCCATGAGGTCGTGAGCGTGCTTTTCGAGCACAACGAGTCTGCAGACAATGCCATCTTCAGCTACATGGGCTTTCCACAGGAGCGTAACTGACTCCGGTGAGGTGATCTTGGTTTGTCTTGGAAATCTGGGGAAAACACCCAAACTCCTAGGATTTGTCATCTATTGATATCTATTGAACCTGTCATTTGCAGGGTCTACATGGTTATACATGGTTGTTTTTTTAACCATTTTTAAGTCACATTTTCAGACAGCCATATTTGCAACCATCAATTGCTCCGTTTCAGGAATTCACCAAGGGGCAGCATGGGGCAGCGGCCCACCTGGGTCAACACAGAAGTAGATTTGTAGAGAAACGATGAGAAACGAAGAGACGTGAAGAACAACAGAATAACGAAGAAACACACACACATATATATATGTATACATGTTTATATTGTATACATATTAGTATAGTATGTTAACATATGTTAACATATTAATAGATTAATGCATTAATATATTAACATATTATTAAATATCCGTTGTTGGTATATATATATATATGTATTTATTTGTTTATTTATTTATTTATGATAACTTATGACCATGCATAGTCACAGACAATCACATATAATCATGTAGAACCACATATATACATATACACACATTACACACACATATATATATATATTATATTATATATATACATATCGGTATAAAAAATAAGTGTAGATACCTAGGTTCTTTTCAATGCACAAGTGGAGATTCCCCAGCGTATCGGAGGGACATGAAGAGCTGGAAGTGGATGAAGACGCCACCTGGCCGACGCTGACTGAGCAGTTGAACCTGAAGGAAGCCGTGAAGGACGGATGCCGGAGATATAGCTGGTGAGCTGGGCTGGTGGTGCAGGTATCTCCAATATAGCTATGGTTTATAGTAGATATGTGGTTGATATATGGTTGATATATGGCAGATATGGCAAAAATATATGGTAGATATATCATGATATGTCTATAGTTAATGGAGTTATAAACCAACTTACAACTGGGGACGCACAACCTTGTACCTCATGGCTGGGATGTAGCTGGAGATGCCAATGGGATGTGATATCCCAGTCTTGAATGGGATGAATGGGATGAATGGGATGAATGGGATGAATTGTAGCTGATTGTGGGAGGAATGGGATATCAAATTTTGAGTTGAGACATGTTCCAACTTATCGGGGTAGCTTCATTCGACCATGGAAATCACACACTTTTGGTGATTGAAGCATCACTTAAAATGACAGCGGAAAAATCCGTTGCCATCTTGGTTTCCGGTACATCAGGTATATTCCATAAACATCCCAGTTGCCCTCTGGTAATTTAACATAACTATGGAAAATCACAATGTTTCATGGGAAAATTCACTATAAATGGTGATTTTCCATAGTCATGTTAGTCATTACCAGAGGGTAGAGGTTACAGTACGGTCATAGACTCAGATCATCTTAGTCCATCTCAACCCTGGGACCGAAGGAAGCGACAGCTGGAGCATCGTACATGTACCAGGGCTCAGTGCCGGTGCTAGCCTCGGGGTTTTCCCACTGCCTAGCGCCCCTGGCCAAAAAGGGAAGTCAAGGATGGTGACATGTGACGTCTTGATGAATAGAATTAAAAAGATGCATTATCCGTAAATCGACATGACATGATATGAATGAATTCTATTGAGTTCTTAGTTCCCATGTTTGATTACTGGAGGTTAGCCTCCATGAAATCCACAGGGTTTTCATGGGGTTTCCCAATGTTGACCATCACCAGGTGCCCCCTTGCTCAGAGACGGTGAAGTATCTCGTGCTTGGCAAGGCGGCTGAAGGGTTAAGGGCCAGATGAGTAAAACTCGCGAAACGGCCGATGTCCGAAGGCACGGCTAAAGTCACTTTGACCAAGATGCCAATTCAAAAGCTGCCGAGATCATGGAACAAGACTTTTCGCAAGCTGGTTGGCCAAATATCCTGCATGACGCAGCATTTGTTGGATGGATTTTGGGACAACTGCGTTAAGGTAGATATTGGTAGCCATGGCGAGCAGCATTGGTGAGCTGGCCATCGTGGCGCACAAGTTCATCACAGCTCCGCAGGCAAACCCTCAGACCTTCTGCAACTTGACCCAAAATTGATCAAAATTGGATATAAATGGGAATATCTCATATCATCACCTTGTATATCCTTGTATCTTTGAGGAATAAGCAGAACGGGAACTATGTAGCTAAGACTGACATCCCGGGTGTTGGTTGAACATGGGCCAAGGCAACGTGATCAAGTTGGGTACCTTCGTGCGAACCGTTGTGTGGCCCTGCCTGCCGCCATTGATGATGTACCAGTACATTCGGGGCAAGGACGAAGACATGTATGCCATTGAGGTCCTGTATCACAAGTCCGGCTCTTCTGAGCCCAAGGCCTTCTGGGATGCTTCCCGGCTGAAGGGATCGGGCCACTGGCGCATGATGCAGGACTTGGAGACGATCCGAGCGGCGGCCAACGCTGAGTGAGCAGGCATAGCTCTTACTCTTTATAAAAAGATTGACCTTTTTGACATAGATTGCCTTGGAGAAAGCCAGCGCCCCAACTTGAGCTTTTCATTTGAATCCATCAGAGCATGTCAGCCCTTTGAAGGCGCAGGGGATTGAGGCCATCCCTGACTTTCTCTTGACTGTCTATGTAGATGGGCCGCCTTAGACATTCGTGGTGAGACACCAGATCTTGAAGAGAATTCCACCGAGCGCCAGTTGAGGTTGTTGCAAAAGGGGTGTGGTGCTTTTCATGACAGTTGAGCACAAGAATCCAGCCTCAAGAAACTTGAGGTTGAGAGAGAAAGATGAGAAAGAGGGCACATGAGGTGATGAAATGGTTCAACAGCAAACATAAAAATGATTCAACATGATAAAATGAATAGGAGAGATTTTGGCAGCCAGGTGAGGTTGCTTGCGTATTGCCTAAACTTTATAGATATTTGGTTGCCATGGGCGCGAGATGTGTTTCACCAGACCCTGTCGGCTCAGAGCATTTGGAGTTGTTCTGTGGCATCAGCAGTGGTAGTCATGGCGAGCAGCATTGGTGAGCTGGCCATCGTGGCGCACAAGTTCATCACAGCTCCTCAGGCAAACCCTCAGACCTTCTGCAACTTGACCCAAAATTGATCAAAATTGATCAAAATTGGATATAAATGGGAATATCTCATATCATCACCTTGTATATCCTTGTATCTTTGAGGAATAAGCAGAACGGGAACTATATTATATAGCTAAGACTGACATCCCGGGTGTTGGTTGAACATGGGCCAAGGCAACGTGATCAAGTTGGGCACCTTCGTGCGAACCGTTGTGTGGCCCTGCCTGCCGCCATTGATGATGTACCAGTACATTCGGGGCAAGGACGAAGACATGTATGCCATTGAGGTCCTGTATCACAAGTCCGGCTCTTCTGAGCCCAAGGCCTTCTGGGATGCTTCCCGGCTGAAGGGATCGGGCCACTGGCGCATGATGCAGGACTTGGAGACGATCCGAGCGGCAGCCAACGCTGAGTGAGAGGTTTGTCCGTGACATATGCAGAGCTGATCCAGCTTGATGGTTGAAAACGCAAACATGATGCAGTGGGACTTGGGTTGGTCGGGACAGGGTGTTGTACTATGAAGCTCGAGCGTGGCAGCCGGTTGGTTTTGGGTGTTACTGTAGAAAAGCTGATGTTTACGTCCCAGACGTTGGAAACTTACTGGATCTTTTCCCAGTGGACGTTCTGTCGCTTTCTGCATTTCTGTTCCATGACCACACTTGTGCGCACATGTATGCGCCGGTACCGACCCCGGCATGTTCCCCAGACGCACATACATACATCCGCCTACACACTGATTTTGCAAGCTACTAGTAGTAATGCACAATGCACACATCTACTCTCTTTCTGTCTCACACATGCATTGTCATGCTTTTTCATAGATGTTCTGTTTCTGAGTGCAAAGAGACCAGCTAGTCCTGGCATGGATGCTATCAGATATTATCAACTCATTCACTGGTGCAGCTTGCTGGCCTGCTTGGCTCACTTGGCTCCCGTGGCTCACTTGGCTCCAGGGTTCACTGCTTGGTTCTTGACAGAGAGGAGTCAGCTATTTGGCCATGGCGAGCAGCATTGGTGAGCTGGCCATCGTGGCGCACAAGTTCATCACAGCTCCTCAGGCAAACCCTCAGACCTTCTGCAACTTGACCCAAAATTGATCAAAATTGGATATAAATGGGAATATCTCATATCATCACCTTGTATATCCTTGTATCTTTGAGGAATAAGCAGAACGGGAACTATATTATATAGCTAAGACTGACATCCCGGGTGTTGGTTGAACATGGTTGAACATGGGCCAAGGCAACGTGATCAAGTTGGGCACCTTCGTGCGAACCGTTGTGTGGCCCTGCCTGCCGCCATTGATGATGTACCAGTACATTCGGGGCAAGGACGAAGACATGTATGCCATTGAGGTCCTGTATCACAAGTCCGGCTCTTCTGAGCCCAAGGCCTTCTGGGATGCTTCCCGGCTGAAGGGATCGGGCCACTGGCGCATGATGCAGGACTTGGAGACGATCCGAGCGGCGGCCAACGCTGAGTGAGAGAGTGTGCGGGGACTAGGGCCCGCATGTGGATTTGCACCGAATAGATTGGTTCTGAGAGCACCTGAGAAGCATGAGAAGCCCGCTGAGAGACGTCATTTTTGAAACGTGTGGCTGCAGCTGCAGCTGCAGGGCAGCAGATTTGGCTGCACGTCGGGCAGGGAGACGAGCCTCAAGAGAGAAGTGCAACATGAGTCACGCGAATTCATGAGAGAAAGTCTAGCTTTTGGGCAGAAGAAGTCTTCCTCCTTTGTTCCAGACCAACATTATGCACAGTTTTCATGACTTTGATGTCACCAATTTTGGAACACTCATATTCATGTCACCACTGGTGAAGATGGTGAAGGATTTTGTGAAGGTGCAGCACGTGTAGCCCTGCCCGAGCTGATATATTCCGTTCACGAGAGCTGCCTTGGGTTGAAAAAGATGTTGGCTCTTGATAACCTCAGCCTGGTAGGCTGCATCCCTGGAAACCCCATGATCCCCCATGCACCAAACTGACGCAGGCTATCGTTGAAAGATGTTGAAAGCCACTAATGATACTATATCCATCATTATCCTACTCAAAAGGCAAGCGAATGTGTTTGGACTCAAAAGTTCGGAATCCCAACAAATACATCAAGGTCACATTTGAATCCATGATTTGAATTGATTTGATGATATCATTTGGTGATACCTAGGGTAAACTAACATAGATGTGGAAAACCCACCATTTATATATAGATCATTTTCCCTGGAGTTTCCCCATGCATTTTCCACATCTATGTAAACGTTTACCCTAGGGTATTCCATGAAATCCGTATTAAATCCATATTAAATCCATATAGAATGCACATAGATTCCCATGACATACCATAAAAATCCCTATGAAATCCCTATGAAACCCCTATGAAATCCCTATGAAATCACCCTTAAATCTTGCACCACATCCAGGCGCTTCACGTCCACCCCGCGCAAACTGAGAAGCTGCGCAAGGCACTGGCCTGTTTCGCGGGGGGCTACAAGAAGCGTGGGGACCTCGGCCTTGGAGCTGGGTGCCCATTGAATCTGATTTTCAGATAGGGATAAGAGTGACTCATGTGTATACAACTATGCATTCACACACACACACACACACTATTATATATATATATACATATATATATATATATATTATAAAAGGAGCTTTCACAAAAGTTAGTGTTTTTAACATGTTTGGTGTTTTCAGATATTCACACACACACATATATATATATGTACGTATGTATACTGTATATGTATGTGATCTATCTCAATAGATGTGGATGATGTGGCGCATCAATAGCGATGGTGGCATCATTAGGAATCAGCAAAGTTTGGTTGATGGATGTATATGTAAGATCCACCAGGCTGCCATGATTGGTGCATCCTGAGGCCTTCCAGTGCCCAATCCTCCCTACAATTGCCGTAACGTTTTGAAGAACAGCATGCAGGCAGGTGGTTGTTGCGAATCTTCCATCCGTTCCATTTGCTGATTTTGCTGGGGACTCTGATTGAGACAGATTCAAGGAATTGGGATGCGAAATTCATCCTAAGTCACAAGTAATCACGTGTTCAGTTTCTTTTTTAGTAAGGGAATATGTTATTCCTTGTTTGACCTGGTGGGCACTGTTTGGAACGAACCCCTTCAATACCTTCTGGTAATTTGCTAGTAGCTATGAGGACAACCACCATCGTCAACATGTATTTTTAGTAGGTCCATGTTAGTGGTCTTCATCGATTTTGAACATTCAATGTCCAACTACTATCTTGGAATAGTATCATATATTTAATAGCTATTGTGGAAACTTAGAAAATCACATTTTCCAGTGTATCTATTACTACCTTGGAAAATAACATTATCATATATGAAGTAGATCAATTTTCCATAGCTCTTCTGGTCCCAGTTCGCCCGTCAGTAGGGAAAAAACGCCTGCAGGTGGATGGGCATCATCAGGACCGTACCTGCAAGGCGCCAGCGGTGATTGCGTTCGTGCACATAGACAAGCAGCATTCACACACATATAGGATATCTATCTATCTACATACCTATCTATCTATTTGTTTGTCTATCTATCTCTATATGTCTCTATGTCTCTGATTCTCTATATCTCTATAGATACATATCGATATATATATATATATACACATATGCATATATATATATATCAATCTCTATCTCTATATCTATCTACCTACCTATTCTACCTATTCTACGTATTTTACCTATCTATATATCTATCTATCTACCTATCTGACCTATCTATCTGTTTGTCTATCTATTTATCCAATCTATCTTTCTATCTATCTGTCTGTCTGTCTGTGTCTGTCTGTCTGTCTATCTATCTTATCTTATCCTATCTTATCCTTCTTATCTATCTCATCTATCTCATCTATCTCATCTATCTCGTCTATCTCATCTATCTCATTTATCTCATCTATCTCATCTATCTTGTCTATCTTATCTATCTTATCTATCTTATCTATCTTATCTACCTTATCTACCTATCTACCTGTCTACCTGTCTACCTGTCTACCTGTCTATCTATCTATCTACCTATCTACCTATCTACCTATCTACCTATCTACCTATCTACCTATCTACCTATCTACCTATCTACCTATCTACCTATCTACCTATCTACCTATCTACCTATCTACCTATCTACCTACCTACCTACCTATCTACCTATCTATCTATCTATCTATCTATCTATCTATGTGTGAGTTTATGGTTCATGTTTTGAGCCCCCAGGAAAAATCAGTACGGGGAACCTCCTTGGAACTTCGAAATATGCTTCGGCTTGGCTATCCGTAGATCTTTCCTGTCCAGGAAGCGCATGAGAGTGGCACCTGGTACCGTGCAGCAGCATGCTGGGATTATGGTGCCAGTGCAACCTGGCGACGCGGGGAAGTCTTGGGATTGAAGACCTGGGAAGTTTCAGAGGTCCAGGGGGGTCCAGGGGAAGTTATGTCCCTAATCAGTGATGAAAATAGGGTACTGTACCACACATGTTTGATGGTTTATATGTTTTTTTCCCATTAAATGACCATTTGAAGGGTATACATCATTTTCAGACACACCCAGCATGTCAAAGATTTTGGACCATTGGATTTCAGTTGATTACAATACATCTTGGGACCTGGTATGTAAAAGGTGCTTGCCGTCCCAGCCCTTGTGGACCCAATTTTGAGGTATGTTGACCCATCGTATAGTCCAGTTCTCACACATTTGCTGTAGATCTTTATCCTACAGGGTGGCATCCGCCTATCATCCTCATTGACTATAGATATAACCTCCATAAACCCTAGTTCTTGGACTTATAAATAAACATTTATAAACCCGACCTGGGTCATCACCCTGCACTTCCAATAAACAACCATGGCGCTGGTAAATCAATCGACCGGACAAAGCTCCACTCGGGGTCAAAGTTGGGAACGATTAAAATCTATATCCCAACAAGACAATATTGAAGCATACATGTACAGTTACATATAAAAAGACGCGTGTATATATATATGATTATATATGTATAAAGGTATCGGCTGTAAGTGTACTGTCCAGGAAGAACTTCCAACAATGGGCCGAATTGGAAAATACATATATATATATATGTATATATATATATATATCAGATATTACATGATACTCACTAAATTTAGATCTTACTGATATGACATTATAATGACACTGATATGACACGCCAGGCGGCCCATCGCGCGCAATGCGTCAAGAGCCCCATCGACCTGGATGCTTCCCTTGCCGCCGGGAGCAGCGGGAGAGACAGCGAGGCGTCGCTGCAGTTTGTGATGAAAGCTGTGCCACGGCCACGATGGGGCCCGGGGTCAGAAAAGAACATTTTTTGAGGGAACAATAGGTGGTTTGGAACATTTTTTAATTTTCAGAGGGAATAATAGGCCGATTTGACTACCTTTCAGAGGGGTTGAAACCACCAACAAGTTATAGTTGAAGTTTATATGGCTTTATATGGGTTATATGGCTTTATATGGGTTTATATGGCTTGATATGGCTTTGTATGGCTTTACATGGCTTTGTATGGGTTTATATGGCTGGATATGGGCTTATATGGGGTTATATGGCTTTATACGGCTTTATATGGGTATATATCGCTTTATATGGGTATATATCGCTTTATATAGGTTTATATGGCTTTATGGCTTTCTATGGCTTGAAATGGCTTTATATGGGTTTATATGGCTTTATATATGGCCTTATATGGCTTTATATGGCTATATATGGCTTTATATGGGTTTATATGGCTTTATATAGGTTTATATGGCTTGATATGGATTTATATTGCTTTATATGGGTTTATTATTGGGTATAATTGCCCCCCCAAATGGTTGCTCAATAAGATTGTTCTTTTCTTGGGTTTACCTCACTACATAGCTACTTTGGGATATTTTTGGATAGTTGATTCTGAATCATGAACCACTTATGTGCACCCTAAGGCCCAGCAAGACGTTGTGTGCGAGTTTTGTTTTCAGTACCTGAAGGCTAGTTTTCTTCCTTAATCCCCCTGGTGTGCGCTGAGGGTTTAACTTGTTTACGAAACAAAGATTGATCATTTCCCACATTCAATGACGAAGAGAAAGGCCAGATGACCAGCAAGACTAGCTGGGGAGGGTTGAACAACAAACATGTGGGGATAGAACTGTGAAGAAATGCCCTGGTTTCCGGCGGTGTTTAGAACAAAATGGGAAGTTTGATGAATTTTACAATTTGGTTCACACATCGAGGGTTGTAAGCGGCAAAGATATAGAACTTGTTGTTCAACCCACAAGATGGGGAGAGAACGAGCGCTGGTGGATTGTGATTCGAGTGATGTGTGAGAAATGATTGGTGTTCAAACAGGCCCAACTATAAATTGACGACAGGCCATTAAAATCCATTAAGTATACCATCTGGTTATTTAACACAGCCAAATGGGCAATTTTCCATGGCTATGTTAAATAACCAGAGGGTATATGGGGATATGACCAACAGCATAAGTACTGGAGGTGTAAGAATCTGCTTTGTGGTGTCAACTGTGTTTTTTTTTTGGCCTGCTGCATCATGCAATATACTCTATTTTTTCGGGATTGGTTGCTCAACTCAACCACTAACCAGAGAGATAGATATGTAGTTTGGCCGAACCCAAATCTAGGAACCCTTGGATTTTGGATGATTTTGGTAAGATCTTTGGGCCAAAAAACTTGGAGCAACCATGGAAGATCTGGGTCTTGACGGAATCCCACCATGGCAGCTGGCGTTTCCTAAGGTGAATAACGTCACAGTGCAGGCAACCAACTACACTTTAGACTCTTGGATTGAGATTGCACGGTTTCAGCAACTGGTTGCGTTTTTTCAGAAACTTAATCGTTATGTAATGTTAATTGAGTTTGATCTTGGTTGGATAATAAAGGACGAACCTATAATCTAATGTGTTTGTTTGGATTTTACTCTATAAAATCCATTTCTTGGATTTTGGGAGGTTGCTAGCTGCTAGAGATGGCTGTGGCTGCTATGGGAAATCTTCAGAGTTTCTCAGGACGCTCTGCCCAACAGCTTCGGCGTCAGGGCGGGCATGCCAAACTTCGGGAGTGTCATTGTCACTGGACAGGAAGTGCCAGAAGGATTTTCAGATGCACACAGACCAAAAAATAACGTAGATACATCATGCACAAAAAGACATGTATTTGAACATGCATATGCATATGCACATGCAGATCATGCAGATAGATAGTTAACATACATATATGTTGTAATTATAATGGACGGGCACTATGTATTCAACGTATATATATATATATACATGAAATGCATATTATCTATGCATATTTTTGGATAATTATCTATATTTTCATTCGCATAGATATGCACAACTATAAGCACTCCTGCGCTTGCAGGATTTTTTTTCGTGACCCATGACTTCATATCCACATAGTACACGGGGCACATCAAAATAACATCGCCGTCCAAGCATTGAGGTGAGTGGCCGAAGCTTTCTGGCGGCGATAACTGGGATGAGGGCTGCTCCGATAACCAGCCTCTTCTGGCCATACTGTGGTGAAATCCGCTCATTTGTAGGGAATTGCTTGAAATATATAATAACTACAATTAATAATCATAATAATAATAATGATCATAATGATAATGATGATAATGATAATAATGATAACAATAATATAACAATAATAATGATGATAATAATGATAACCAAAAATAATAACAACAATAATGAACATAATGATATAGAAGAATAATAATGATAATGATGATGATAATGATAACCAATAATAATAACAACAATAATAATTATAAGTATATAGAATAATAATAATGATAATGATAATAATAATGGTAATAATGTTTTTACTAATAAACATATTACTAACAATAATGATAATAAGAACAACGACAATAATAGTAATAACAATAGTGTAATAACAATTATTATTATTTATTATTTATTATTTATTATTTACTATTTATTATGCATATATTATACATATATCCGCCCATGTCCTTTATTATTGTCGGTTTTGCCGCTATCATCGTTATACCATATATTGATGCATGTTGATACCCCATTTTTATAGACTATGATGATGGTTTGGGAACCAAGTGGCCGCCCCCTCCAACGCCTGACACCAAGATTTCCTTCTGCACAAGCTCTCTGTATCCTGGCAGCATTGGAGGCAGCACCATCAGCATCACCAGATGTCAGCTGTGCAGCGGCCCTGACTGAGGTGAAACCCATCTCATCTCATAGCTATGAGGGCAAGCACCACGTGGCGGAGATTCAGGTGGAAGGCATCATGGACGGTGATGGCTTAAGAAAGTTGGCGGAAATTTCTGGAGTAGCTGGGCACCGTTGGGGAGCGGGACTTGGAGGTCTTCTGCAAATGAACACGTACAGGTTTTCAAGGAAGACCGCGTTTGACCTGGTGAGGCAAGATTGATTTTTTAAAAAGATTTTTAGGAAAAAAACATGTCTTTTCCTGGTGTGCTAGTTTATCGTTTTTCCCAAGGTCCACAGCGGCCGACATGCGGAGCGCCCTTTCGGGGTGGTGGTTGGCACGATGATCACGGGTGGCGGTAGAAACTGGTACTCGTAGGAACTGACGATTCTATGGGCTAATTAGGAACACCCATGGTAGCAATCCTCCAAAGGTTTGTAATTAAACTCCCAACATGGCTGAGTATGTTTTAGTCTTGGATTTGCCGTATTGACTATTTGAACATTTGCCAGATCGACGGATATCGACGGTGCATTTTTCAGCAGATCGTGGATGACTATGGAAGTGGCATGGGAAGCTAGTGAAGATTATTTCTTGGGCTCCAGAATGAATACAGTAGGTCACTGAACTGCGGCTTCTCAATAACCCACACTTGGGACTACACTCTGGTAAACTAACATAGCTATGGAAAATGGCCCATTTATAGATGGTTTACCTATTAAAAATGGTGATTTTTAATAGCTATGTTAAATTCCCAGAGGGTAATTACTTGGGTTTACTTGGGTTCTCCGATTTTTCCAGATTTTTGAGCTGTTCAAACACTTGGGTTTAAGAATTGCGATGTTTGACTACGGCAACTGAGCCATGAATCAGCTCCCTTCTTATTGGAGGACACGCATCGACGTCTGTCAACCGAGGGGGCTCAGGCCGGAACTCAGGACAGATGGGTCAATTTTTTGGGGTTTATGTTTTGTTTTAAAGCTTAAGTGGATATAAGTGGTTGATGTGGGATAATTTGGACTTATTAGATATTTTGGATATCATTAAAACATATGGACTATATTACAGTTTCATTAGGGGCAACAATTTACTAATATACTAAGCTGCTATGATATAATCTGAATGGCTGTTTCATGGGATAGGGCTGATACATGGCTCACTTGGGATGATAAATTGAGCAGAAATCTGTTGGCGTTGCAAGGAGTATCACAGGCTGATTCTCAGCTTTCCTTTGGAAGCTGGAGCCGACAACAGCTTGCTTGACCAGCTGGGCCTACCAGTGGCCAAGTCGCTTGGAAGTGTAACACTGGTGACACCTCCCAGGATCTGATTAGGATGAAAGTTTGATCATTTGACAGGATGGCCCCCAATGAAACGAACGAGATCCTATTTTAGAATATCTTAGATATCTTCTGGCATAGGGGATTTGTCAACTTCACGGGTTCTTATGCCATAATCTCGTTGGTTGTGGAAGCATTTCCCAGAATGGAAGGGAACATCTACAGAAAACCATAGGAACCCCTTAGATGTTGAGGTGGAAACTATGCTCATTGACCATTGACACCATGGTGTCCCTTGACATCTCAGGTACCGGGACCTCATTGCACATGGAAAGAAATATACGGTGGAGCACGTGGACCTGCAAGCAGGGCTCCATCAGGCATGGATGTCGCTATGTTTGTTGGGATTCTGCACTGCTCAGCCAACGAATTTCTCAATTAACTAGCATTAATTGGAATAGCCAAGCATCAGTCATCAAGCAACATCAGCCACCCAATATCTGGGTCACTTGTACGTCTCCCGACCTCACAGTAAATGATGCTAAAAATATGAGTGACTATCCGATGATCCCCAGATTGCGGAACTGAGTTTGGTGACTTTCTGCATCCAGAAAAGTCCAGCAATACGATATTGCCATGGTTGACTTTCTGCATTCAGGCGATGAGCGGAAATTGGTTTTGGTATCGTGGTGGCATGACAGTGCCGGGCTGCCCCGATTGGGGTGTGCGCTGGATTGTCTTTGAGATGCTTGGCGAAATGGCTGCTTTGAAGCGGGACTCTTACAGCTTCTGGCCATTTTCTTGGAATTATACATATTTTGAACATCATTATACTCGTATCAAGTAGTCCTGGAAGCTTTCGGTTTTGGCCTTCCCAATTTTCGAACTGCAAACTTGGGATTTGAAGTGTTAGAATAGCAATTTGCCAACCTTCCAGCACACCAGAATCCACACCAAAACCGGCCAAAACTATAACCCAAACAACTGAAACAAAGCAAACATAGTATCACGCCCGCAACCAGTACAATGCAATATTCTAATATATAAGTCCGGCAACGGATATACGGAAGAATCTCGCACACATACAGCAGGGCAATGTAGATGGGCACTTGAAAGCTTCAGCCAGACCGGACCCTCCACAGAAGTTTATGGTATTACGGTATTCTTCAGCCAGCCAGTCGGTAACATGTTCGCTTTTCTTCACATTTCACCATCCACTTCAACGTCTACATATGTCTACATTCTACGTCCAATACACAAGTATTTGTGACTTCCGCCTCCAGATTTTGCTCAAAGATCCATTCGCCATGTTGTTTATTCTTAGTTGGCCATGCCATGTCATTCTGAGGAAACCGTTGCCCATCAGCATGGCCCAGCTGAACTATTTGGACCTCAAGGTATCTGGAATGGACTCCACCAGATTGGATGGTCCCAAGCTGGATGCCGCCGCGTACAAGGCCAGTCTGGATGACCTACTGGTTTCACAATTCCTCTGCTTTCAAACCATTTTAAACGGCAAACATGAGCCAACGAATCCAATCCCCATCAGTTGCATGGTGTAATCTCCCCTGATACGAGGCTGTTCAGTATTGGATCTGAACTTGGGTCCCTTGTTGGTAGTCAATCTGAGAGGGATGAGGCTTATAGATTCTCCTGCCATGAGGCCACTGTCTTCTTGAAGAATTTGCCACCCCTGGCGGTGGACAAACACACGACCTGTATTGACGAGGACGACTCTCTCATGAAAAGCCGGAGATGGGTCAAAATGTCAAAATTGTTTTGCAGCCTAAGAGCCACGGCCGTATATGAATGTATTTGATATATTTGATCAAACATGATGAAAACATATGAAAACCCTATCAACCATCGCAGTTTTGTCCTGAGTTTTGGGGGGTGGGGTTAGGTAGCCTTATAATCCTTTCCCCTATTACTAAACGTTCCCCAAATACTAAAAACTAGGGTCCATCTCCCAGTTTGGAAAAATTCAGGTTGGCTAATTTGACTTTTAATTGATCCCCTTTAGAAAACAATTTTAAAATAAAGCTACCATTTGTGGGTTTCGCCCCCTAATAATAAAAACTAGTTAACCCCGGGGTGTTTATTATTAGGGTCCGTACGATTTTTTTATTTTTTTTTATTTGGGTTTTTAATTTATTATTAGGGCCCTCTTCGAAAAACAATTTGTGGCAATATTTTAATTGCGTTATATAAGGAAATTTAATTGATTTTGAAATCGGAAAACATAGTTTATACTATTAAGGTTCTAAATTTATTAATAGGGTCCGCTTCGAAATCCAATTTTTGGCAATATTTCAATTGCGTTATATAAGGAAATTTAATTGATTTTGAAATCGGAAAACATAGTTTATATTATTAAGGTTCTAAATTTATTAATAGGGTCCGCTTCGAAATCCAATTTTTGGCAATATTTCAATTGCGTTATATAAGGAAATTTAATTGATTTTGAAATCGGAAAACATAGTTTATATTATTAAGGTTTTAAATTTATTAATAGGGTCCGCTTCGAAATCCAATTTTTGGCAATATTTCAATTGCGTTATATAAGGAAATTTAATTGATTTTGAAATCGGAAAACATAGTTTTTAATATTAAGGTTTTAAATTTATTAATAGGGTTTCCTAATAATAAATACCCCCCTAATAAAAAAAAACTACCTGAGGTTTTTATTGATAGGGGAGGGGGGGGACGTTTAGTATTAGGGGGACCCCTCCAGATCCTCCAGGAGTGGAACTATGACAATCCAAGCTGTTGGGCCGAGAAGTTCCCCCTATGTAGTGAAGGACAACGCCAGTCACCCATCCAAATCCACAGGCAGGACAAAAGGGAGGTGAGCGATTGCTAACAAGTGCTGCACTGGAATCTTTTGGATGTTTTGAACATCCACAGATATTAGCCTTATTCCGGCTTTAGAGTGTGTTTCTCTTTGAATTCTCTTCCCAGGAAATCGGATCTCGGAAGTTTGGGATATCTTGCTTTGAAATACCACATGTACCTTGTGATGTCCCACCCCCAAAAAAATCAGAGGTGATGAACCAGCAAGTTTGGTTGATGCCAGTGGATGCCGGCGCTAGCCATCCCATAAGACACCTGCAGGTCTCATATCAAGACGGTGGGGAAGGAGCGGGAGAAGCCTGCAGTGTAGGATTTACATCATACTTGCAGAACATTTATAGCAAAGATTCAACTGAGAGAACTGGTTTCAATTCACTTTTCTGACTAAAGACCAAGTCCCTAAACATCGGATGAGGCTCCCACTTTCCAGGATCATCCCACTTAGAAAGTGGTTAACCAATATATAACCAAATTATAAATGTTATAAATATCTGGTTCTCAGTTAGGATTCGTGGGATGACCCCCCCCACAGGATACCACAGCATTTTGCAGCGGGCAAGGACAACTTCTTGGCAGCCTGCAGCTGGCGTCCAGTGGCAAATTTGCACGTAGTGTGCCTTGGCTGGCATGAAGGGGCACAGCCGTCAGTAGATCTTATAGCCTCCGGTCATCCCTATTTCAATAGAGGTTTTAATGGGACAATGATATATGTACTCTGATAGATGGTTGAATAGATAGTTTCGTTCTTTAAATATCTTTAATCGCATTTTTGACCCATAGTTCAATATATGAAATGTCTCAGCAATTCAGTGGGTCCATGATGATGGTCTATCGGCAATTGCCCCGAGTTTGATACCAGTGGGTAGCGGACAAACTCAAGTATTCAGGGTATCACCTGAGGCTCAAGTGTGCTAAAACACGCCGGATCTAAGAGCTATGAGGGTTTCAACTACTGCAAATATTATATGTACAGTATTGTATACATAATATAACACAAACATACACAAAGCAAGGTATGTAGACATGGAACAGTGATTGATGTGATGAATGTAATTGTGATTGGGTGAACGTGAGATCCTCGTGAGGTTTCATGCCCATCATTGGCCAATCAGCCAGTGCCAGGAATTTCGGCAAGGGCTTGGCGGTCCCGGGCGACCAATTGGGTTTCCTGGCTGCAAGCGGCTGCAAGTGAGCAAGTTGGACCCTGAAAATGGGGTACAGGACCGCCGAATCTGTTGGTTTTTTAAATGTTTTTTTCGGTACTGTTGGCCTGACAATATTCAGACCCTTGCTGGGTAGGCCATTTACTTGGATTCAATCCACTAGATCAGCTAGATCGTCATGACAGAACACATGTCCAGTTTCATTTGTTTCTGCTTGTGCCATCTAGTGCCCCAAAATTGTGAATCCTGGAACCATTACGAACCCCCCCATTCTTTGACTGCCGAGAGAAGTCCATGTGGCCGCACTTCATCACTTTACGTTGTTGGAGGATCTGGAGGTTTCAGCAGTACAAGTAGCAGCTGCCATAGCTGCCATAGCTGCCACGGGTACAGCTTTTTCGACCTTGCCTTGACTGCCAGGTTACATTACAATGATCGGAGAGGCCCTGCCCTGGCTGAGTCCGTTTAGCCGTTTAGCCTTCCCCAACGGGCCCACGGGGAATCCTGACATGTCATCGCCGGCCAGGATGGCTTTCCGCAGTTCTGGCAGGTGCACAACTGCTTCCCTTGGAGGATCAGCCCATAAGTAAAGTCTTGCTACAGAAAATATGCGAAAATGTGGGGCGTATAATTTTCTAAAGCTGGATTTGGGGGTGCCCTGGGTACCAAAACCAACAATTACTTAATCGCACTACAAAACAGTCCCATTGCTGCCCATTTACAGCGTCCAGTGATTGAATCCCGGTGACTTACAAGGTGTTCCCTAATTACATGGTTTGGTTTACTAACCCACCCAACTATAGTATACTCATGTATACTCTAGTTTTCATCATAAATCTAACAGTTAACCCAGTTATGTTCATCAACTTAGCGATTTAGCTCCCTGTTTTTTGGGGGGCACCACCTTTGTAGTTCCATGATGGCACAGCTATGTCGCTTTGTTTCAGGTGGCTCAGCTCCAGTTGAAAATGCCTTCGGAGCACTTCATCGATGGCCATGCCTATGCGGCGGAGCTTCAAGTGGTTCACAGGCGTGGAGCGAAGAACGCCAGACTTTTTTCAAGAATGGCGAGCTGCGGAGCTACAACGAGTGTCCCAAACGCATAATAGAAGCGATATATATATATATATAATATGTATATAATATAATATGTGTATAATATATATGTATATATAATATATATATATAATATATAATATATATATAATATATAATATATATATAATATGTATGTATGTTTATCGCTGGATCTTTAATCTTTTGTTGCTCCTTGCTACATCTTGCTAGTAGGTATGTTTGCATGGGATGGGCAGGAGGTGATGAGAATGGTGAGATTAGCAGGCAGATGAGCTGCCCTTTCGGAGGCAGTTCTCCCAGACCCCTTGGGATGGGATGATGCACGACCTGCCTTGGGACCTTGGGGTCCGGTCCAGGAATCAACAGACAGTCACACAGAACGTGAACAGCGAGAAATCCTTTCCCTTCGTATCTGAGCTGGAACTGTTGGCAAGTTGCAAGTTGGTGGCTTTAGTGATTCATAGTGATTCAACACGCCGCCCATTTGATGCGCTGGTGAGTCTGGTGAGTTGCGGGAGATCCACTGCCGTAGGTCACGACGTCATTCTTCTTCGAGATTGGCGACCGGGAGAGCAACTTGCCAGCATTGAGGAGGAGTGGAAGCAATGTCATCTCAGTCAGGTCCCAGGTGATGGCTGCACAGAGTCATCTCGTTTCTGAGGCACGCTGCTCAAACAGTGACTCGGCTGGCGGGCCACAAAAAACATCAGAAACAACTCCATGAAAGTCAGATGTTTTATGCATTTTTATTTTTATGCAACAACCTGTACGTTTGATTTCCAGAGAGTATCTTCCAAGTTTAGTTGCTGCAACATTCAATTTGTTGCTGTTGATGAACAGCTCTGTGTTGATATTATTGTTTTGTTATGTTTTGTCCCTCTGGATCACAATGATTGATCACCCAAAATGGATGATTGAACACTTCCAATGATCAGCCGTTTTCTTGGTTCCATTGGCACCCCACACCCCATTCTTGACCCACCAGATGCCACCGATTCCTCAACAACGCCCATGCTGCCCCGAGGCTCTTCTTGCCAGGTATTCTGGAGCCAGAGACCTATCGAAGCTTGGCACGGTTTATATTCAACAACAAAAAGAAAGAAAGAAAGAAAGAAAGAAAGAAAGAAAAGAAAGAAAGAAAGAAAGAAAAGAAAGAAAGAAAGAAAGAAAGAAAAGAAAGAAAGAAAGAAAGAAAGAAAAGAAAGAAAGAAAGAAAGAAAGGAAAGAAAGAAAGAAAGAGAGAGAGAAAGAAAGAAAGAAAAGAAAGAAAGAAAGAGAGAAAGAAAGAAAGAAAGAAAGGAAAGAAAGAAAGAAAGAAAAGAAAGAAAGAAAGAAAGAAAGAAAGAGAGAGAGAGAACTGAAACTTGCGAGTTTGAACCAGGAAAGCCGGGAACTTCTGGCTATTTCTGCATGAATCATGGGATGAGTAGAATTGGTGGGCCCTGAGGTGTGATTCCTCTCTCCTTGGATCTGATGCGGCATTTGGGTCCAGCCTTGGATGGCGGGGCTGGGCTGCCGGGGAAGTCATCTCGAAATTCTAGAAATCTCAGTCCGGATGGTGCCAAGGTGCAAGCTGGTTGAAAAAAACATGCCTAGTACTAGTTCCACATCAGTTTCTAGGTATTTCGGAACCACGACCATTGCCAAGTTGCATCCAGGAGCAGTCTGCTGCCATTTGCTCAGGGTGTTTGATCCAGGCTTCAATCAACAGCTCTTCTAAAGGAAGCAGCGCTGCGTGGCGGGCCATCGCCATGGCAGAAGACCTGGAAGAAGAGACCGAGATCTTGGAGGACGTGGAGGAAGAGACGGAAGACGTGCAGGTGCCGCGTTGCGGGTGGTGCGGTGCTGTCCCGTTCCCTGCAACGTTCCCTTCCAAAAGCACATGCAGATCCGCATGTGTTTACACAATGCATATATTCTTGATATTTCTTGATTATTGTTTTACTATGTGTAATTCTATATACTGTAATAAGTATGTGCACACACACACAGACACACACACACATATATATATATATATATTTGCCTGGGGGCACTGTCACTTGCGGCCTTGACACGTGATGTTTACTATCAACCTAGTAGGTGGTTTCAGACTTGCTTCAAAAAATCAAACATATTCGATAATGCAAAAAGCTCAACCAATATATATCTATATGATCTATAATATACATCAACCAATGACTGATATCTTTGGGATGGGTTGAAAGAAATAAATGAAGGGGGTTCACTGTGCTTCTCAGTTCTTGCAAGTTTTTCCTCATCCTTCGTGGCCTTGGGTTTTTCTCCGGCAGGGGGGGTGTTTCCTAGCTCGGTGGTTTCAAGTAGATTTCACGCACTGTATATATATATATATCAATTCATTTAACATTATATCCATTTGCGTCCATTTAAAGATTATATCTCCATTTGTATCCATATAATTATATATATATATATATGTATGTATACACCTACATCCATCCCCAAAAGTATCTACACTCCAGTCACATGTCCAGGCCGAAGAGGATGGAGAAGGGTCCGACGCTGGAGACGGGGAAAACAGCATGCAGGGAGAGACGGTGGCACAGGAGCATCACGGGAGGGCACCATGGGACGGACCACATGAACTCGATGACTTGGTGGGGAACTGCTGCGAGAAAGATCCTTCTGAAAGATTGATCATTTGGGTCAATGAGCCAAACTTCAATGGATGTTGGCACAGTTCTTTTTTTCCCGGTGGTTTTTCCCCAACAGCGTAAGCTAATGGGGTCTTCAGCCCAGAATAGCTCCGGTGTGCACTGGTGCAGGCGCCGGGTCAGGTTAAACAGGGTTGCGGAGAAGGTTCCGGACAAGGTCTGGGAGGCTTTGGTGCAGAGCCAGGTCAGGTTCAACAGGTTCCGGAGAAGGTTCCAGAGAAGGTTCCGGAGAAGGTTCCGGAGAAGGCCTGGGAGGCTTTGGTGCAGAGCCAGGTCAGGTTCAAGATGGTTTCGGAGAAGGTTCCGAGAAGGTGTGGGAGGCTTTGGCGAAGAACCAGGTCAGGATCAACAGGGTTCCGGAGAAGGTTCCGGAGAAGTTTCCAGCCCCGCAGCACGCTTCAGAAAGATTTGTAAAAATAAAACGCTGCAGCTGAAGGGGATACCGCCGAAGCTTATTTTTTTCAACAGTGAGTATCGGAGTATCGGGAGTATCGTGTGTCGAGTGTAGTCACTGTCGAAATCGCCAGGACGAGGTGCTGGACAAGTACAAGATGGTCTATGACCAAGGACTTGATCGGGTGAAGTTCCCATCGGATATATCTGCGGAGGCTGATGGGATCTGGATCACGCCCCGTGAAACGATAGCTAAGTTGGTGAACATAACGAAGTTACTATGGTCAACTATGATTAACTATGGTCAACTATGGTTAACTATGGTCAACTATGGTTAACTATGGTCAACTATGGTTAACTATGGTAACTATGGTTAACTATGGTCAACTATGGTTAACTATGGTTAACTATGGTAACTATGGTTAACTATGGGTTAACTATGGTCAACTATGGTTAACTATGGTTAACTATGGTCAACTATGGTTAACTATGGTCAACTATGGTTAACTATGGTCAACTATGGTTAACTATGGTCAACTATGGTTAACTATGGTTAACTATGGTTAACTATGGTTAACTATGGGTTAACTATGGTCAACTATGGTTAACTATGGGTTAACTATGGTCAACTATGGTTAACTATGGTTAACTATGGTCAACTATGGTTAACTATGGGTTAACTATGGTCAACTATGGTTAACTATGGTTATCTATGGTCAACTATGGTTAACTCTGGGATAACTATGGCCAACTATGGTTCACTATGGGTTAACTATGGTCAACTATGGTTAACTTTGGTTAACTATGGTCAACTACGGTTAACTATGGGTTAACTATGGTAAACTATGGTTAACTCTGGGATAACTATGGCCAACTATGGTTCACTATGGGTTAACTATGGTCAACTATGGTTAACTTTGGTTAACTATGGTCAACTATGATTAACTATGGGTCAACTATGGGTTAACTATGGTCAACTATGGTTAACTATGGTCAACTATGGTTAACTATGGTTAACTATGGTTAACTATGGTCAACTATGGTTAACTATGGGTTAACTATGGTCAACTATGGTTAACTATGGTTAACTATGGTCAACTATGGTTAACTATGGTCAACTATGGTTAACTATGGTCAACTATGGTTAACTATGGTCAACTATGGTTAACTATGGTTAACTATGGTTAACTATGGTTAACTATGGGTTAACTATGGTCAACTATGGTTAACTATGGTTAACTATGGTTAACTATGGTCAACTATGGTTAACTATGGTCAACTATGGTTAACTATGGTCAACTATGGTTAACTATGGTCAACTATGGTTAACTATGGTAACAACTATGGTTAACTATGGTGGTCAACTATGGTCAACTAGGGTTAACTATGGTTAACTATGGTCAACTATGGTTAACTATGGGTTAACTATAGTTTTGATTGTAGATATATCAATAGAGGTTTTTTCAGTCTATCAACAGGGCACCCTTTTGAAATCCATCGGCTCGGCCGCACTTCAGATTCAGCGCACCTGGAAGCGGTTTCTGGAACATGCAGGCGGGGCCCAAACTGTGAAAAAGAGGGGTCTTGATGGCTGGCAACATAGAAGTATGGCTGGGTTCCAGCAAGTGATTTATTTTGGAGGCTATCCAAAAATGATGAGCTTGGTTGACACCAATTTTCCAGTTGCTGTCCATTTACTTTTTCCATCTACCCTGCAGCCTTGGGTTTCCATGTCACATCGATCAGGCACACCCGAACACGCGGGCGAGTTGATCTTCGGCGCGTGGTGGGAAGCAGCACCTTCCCTTCATTCGCAACTTGGCAGGTCATATGTGCATCAGTGCATCTTTACTTTGGACCCTGAAGATTAGAAGATAGAGTGTTAAGTTTTAACTGTGCTACATCGCACAAGACAGGTGGGTGCAGGTGAAAACCGTGCATTCTTAAATTGATTGACATTAGGAAAGCAATAGTAAACCATCCCCAATTTTATCATGAAGGATATGAAGGGGTGGTATAAACCATAATTCTCGGCGGTTTACTTGTGTACTGACATTACAATGATTTGGCCGTGAAAATCTGAAAATGCCGCCCCTCGTCCGACTCGTCCAGCTGCTAAGCAGCCTAGGTATTTTCTCACGCCCAAGACGGTGCTGCACCTCCGAATTGTCCAGGGCATCAGCCCCATCGTCGCTGCCTTGGGCCACCCAAATGACTTGAGAACCCAGGCGCGGCGGATTTTCCAAGGTCTCCACTTCGCTAGATGTAAAAATCATGTATAAATCCAAGGGACATCTAGGAATCACATCTATTCACATGTATCTCTCTAGCCGTCATTTTATGAATTTTAATATCATCATAAGCGCGGCTTTCGCCAGACGAAAAAATCATACTAGTATGCTATAGATGCTATAGTATGCCATGATGTAGTAATATGCTATAGTATATGGTATCAAATACAGCAACCCCCGGAAAGATGGAAACGTAAAATCCGACTTTTTTTTTTGGCAAATTAATCCTAATTAATGCACATTTCATCAAATTGATCATTTTTTAATTCTCTTTTTTTTTGGGGTGACTAACCTCGTCCCCCCAATATTAAACACCCCAATTCTATCGTTCCAAATATGTCGTTTCATCCCCCTACATCCACCATGGTTTCTGGCGGCGTGTTCAATATTAGGGGAAAGGGATTATTATAATTGGTAACTTGTAAAGAATTACATGCCGATTAGCATCCCATTAAATAACAATTTTTGATGGTCCATTAAATCATATGAAAATCAGCATTTTGATGGTTAAAATCCATTAAATTATATTAAATCACCATGTTTGATGATTAAAATCCCATTAAAATATTTTTTCATGATTATCCTACGAAAATCACTGGTTTATCATTTTTGATGCTTAAAACCCCCGAAAATCCAGGTGGAGATCATTTGCTTTCGCCATCTCGACCGACCGGTGAGTGTTCAGGCCACGGGGCGATGAGATAGTCATGGTGGATGTTAGATGTCAACGGTTCCTTATGATGGACGAATGGTTGAGAAAATATGGTGAATTCACGGTGAACTACCGGAGTTTTTTTTTTTTGGGTGGTGATATATATGGTGAATTGTTGGCATTTTTGCGCCATCATGGATAGAACCAAATAATGGAGGTCGTAGACCCAACAATAAAATACAATTAAAGCTATCATGTGGGGATTTCATACCACCCACATACATACATAATTAATTACATACATACATAATTAATTACATACATACATAATTAATTACACACATACAAAATTAATTACTTACATACATACATACATGCATGCATGCATACATACATACATGCATGCATACATACACACATACACATACATACACATACATACACATACATACACATACATACACATACATACACATGCATACACATACATACGCATACATACACATACATACGCATACATACACATACATATACATACATATACATACATTTACATACATATACATACATATACATACATATACATACATATACATACATATACATACATACACATACATACACATACATATACATGCATATACATGCATACACATGCATACACATGCATACACATGCATACCCATGCATACACATGCATATACATGCATACACATGCATACACATGCATACACATGCATACACATGCATACACATGCATACACATGCATACACATGCATACACATGCATATACATGCATATACATGCATATACATGCATATACATGCATATACATGCATATACATGCATATACATGCATATACATGCATATACATGCATATACATATACATGCATATACATGCATATACATGCATATACATGCATATACATGCATATACATGCATATACATGCATATACATGCATGCATGCATACATGCATACATACATACATACATACATACATACATACATACATAGATGGTGATTTTTTTGGGGATGATCTATGGCATTGGGTTTACAATGATATGAAAAATAGCGGATTCAATTTCAGAACAAGATCAACGAAAACAAACATTCCCTTGTCATCAACTCTGAAACCGATACGAAAGCTAGGGGAGGGGCATGCCTGAGTCCAACACAGTGATGTTTCACTCGAACCCCCAAGCTCCCTGGGCATTTTGAAGTGTTGGAAGCAGATGGTCACGGGCTCAAATCCTGCCAAGTCTCTAGGCAATCTGTATTCAGCAATATTCAGCAGATTCAGCATATCAAAATCACATCATGTTTCCAGGCTCATATGAACCTTAGCTTTCGTTCACCCCCCTTGGGCCTCAAGTATAAACACCGTCTTCAAATGTCCAGATCTATATAGATCTCCAACAAATTCCAAAACTCATCCCCAAAAACCCTATGACTCATTGGATTGGTTTAAAAGAAAATCTGCAGGAAAAACCTATATTTTGGGAAGAGCATGGTTTCCCATTGATTTTCCATGATTTCCCTTCAACCAATGACTCGTTCATGACCCATCACTTGATGCCACGGCAGGGTGCTGAAGTGGTCCGCGACTCCATGTTGGACATGTGGGAAGCCGAGCTGGGCGCAGATTTCACTCCCAAGGCGCGGCAAACCGAAGCACGGTGCTGTGCAAAGAGATGGAAAGATGGGTCAATAATTTTGGGCCAGCAACGTAATACACTTGATTATATACTAGTATAATATAATATATAATATAATACAATATAATATAATGTAATATCATATAATACGATATAAGATATAATATTATATATTAATAATATAATATAATTTAATATAATATATTATATTTATAATATATATTATATTTATAATATATATTATATATAATATATAAAACATAATATAATACAGTATCATGTACTATAATATAATATAATATGATACAATATCATACCATATATTAACATATAAAGTAATTATTGCATAGTAGAATACGATATGATGTAAAGTAATGTGTATGTTTTGACATTTGACAACACAAAAAAATAATGTGATAAGATTTATTGTAATTAAACATTACTATCATATAAGATAAATAGATCATATAATGTTGTATGCTTTGATGCAATAAAAATATAAATAACACAGTACAGTATCATATAATGTAGCATATGCAATAAAATGCAATATACTCTACTATTTCATACCGTAATAATGATGAATATATAATAGTAACCAGGTGGCACATAACTTTCTAAATGTTTGTAATGATTTTAATGTGGTACACCCAACAATGGTGCACATGACCCCAAATGGTTCGTTAATGGGATGAGTTTATGATTGGGGTTACCACATTAGCAATGATGGATATAATTTAATATAGCTGGAATCATTTTAGCAAACCATAATATAGCAAAACACAATAGATTCACATAATGAAATATATGATACCAAAATATGGTAATGAGTCAATAATGTATATAATAAGCAATTGCAAGGGTCACCCATTTTCTGGAGATATAATGATGGGATATGATGATGGGATATGATACAGCAATTTGGATACGGTATTGGAATAGAATCAGCAAATCCTTATTTTGTTGGCTATGTAATCAGAACATATGATAGTGGGGTTTTGTCCAACAACGGACGAATTTATATACTTGCAATTTCAGGAAAAATCAGTAGGGGAACTGATGATCTAAGTATCCGCCATTCTTGGGCAATTCCCTCACTTCTGTCTGGGGATGGTAACACAATGTCTGAACCACATGTTTGCCAGCAACATTGGGCGGTTATATGGAAGCATTCTATGGAGGCATGCCTGTACAGTTGATTTCAATTGAACCCTTAGATCAGCGACAGTATGGCAATATAACACATAACATGGCTCTGGAAAGCAACCACCCGTCAGGTGAGGGTTGTTAGATTTTATGTCAGCCTGCCCGCCTCCTTCCTCCACCTCCTTCCTCCTCCTTCCTCCGCCGGACCTCAACTGCAAGCTCTAGATCGCAGTGTTCCCCCTCTGGATCAAAGTGTTCCCTGCCGGACCTCCACCGCAAGCTCCGGATCAGAGTGTTCCCCGCCGGACCTCCACCGCAAGGTCAGGATCAGAGTGTTCCCCGCCGGACCTCCACCGCAAGCTCCGGATCAAAGTGTTCCCCGCCGGACCTCCAACCGCAAAAGAATCTCGGAAGATATACCAGATAGAATGCCAGAAAGAAAGTCAGAAGATATGCCAGATACATATGCCAGAAAGATTGTCATAATATCATAAGGTATGGCATGTATCAGGTTTCTTTCTTGCCAAAATAGAATGCCAGACAGAATCCCAGAATAGATGCCAGAATGAATGCCGGATAGAATGCCGGAGAAAATGTCAGAATAAACGCCACAAAGGATGCCAGATATGATGTCAGAATCGATGCCAGGTAGAATGTCAGAATAGAATGTCAGATAGAATGCCAAAATAGAATGTCAGAAAACATGTGCCATTTGTACTTCCAGGTGAGATGTCAGAAGCTAAGAAAAATAATGTCACGGTGGGGATGGCTCGAAGTAAAGTAATTGATAGGTAAATCGTCTATTGCATACCTATAGGTTTGCAATTTCCATAACTATGTAAAATGATCGGATAGTATTCAAAGATGTGCAAACTTTGGAAAGTTTGCGCGCGCATTGGCTCAAATGGTGGTTTTGTCTGGTTGTTGAGACGATGTGTGGGTCCAACAGCTTACCCTACCACAGGTGACCTTTTCAGGGATTTGCCCCACGGGGTTTCCCAACCAGGCGCGGATTGGTTGGTTCTCTTTCCTCAACTATTGGGGTGGTGCATTGGTCTACTTCCAGCGCGAGTTGCCTGGCTTCACCAGCTGGGAAAATGGAGAAACCGAAGCCGCCCCCACAAATGATGGATTGATGGGGAGCAACCGCATTGTTACTTCTTTTCTCTAAGTTTTGGGAATTATAGAGTAAACATGCCCAGATGGCTCTCTCTATTGATCTTTGCAAAATGGAGACATTCACATACGAAAGGTTGATGTCGGATTAGTCGGATTGTATGTTTTCCTGTGTCAATGTCGCAAAATTTGGGATGACCCAGGTGCTGTAAACGGATGTAGAATGTGCGGTACTGTATACACACACACATAATCACACACACACATATTATATATATATTATACATTTGTCATTCCAGTATCTCAAGAGTAAAACAAACATGGATAAACACAGAGCTTCTATGACTGTCTCAGTGACTGAAACCAGCCGCCTCTGATTCGGATGACTCCCTGGCAATTCAACAGTTCGCCGTGTAAAATTTTCCATTTGTAGATGATTTACTTTTGGTTTAACTTAAAAAACTATGTCATAGCCATAGCTATGATTTACCTCAGTTTACCCGATGATTTCGGCATTTTATCCATGGCAACATCACCAGCAACGAGCATTTCCGTGTGGAAACGCTGCCAGGTATGCCGGCCGCATCAAAATCATCCACCGAAGCTGGCGCGAGGCCAACAAATCGGTGGCCTTACCCGAGGAAGAGGAGGTCAGCAGCCGCTGTTGAGGATGTTACGGCTGGAGGTCCCGGGAACCCTCGGGAACCCAACTGTTGTGGGTTAGCGAAACTCTGGAATTTCGTAGATGAATGGATCAATGATCATGTTTGGAGATATTTACGGATCATTTGGAAGGAAAAAACCAATGGTTCGGTGAATTTTCCATTGCAATCTGTGAGTTCTAGAGCATGAATTAAACATCAAATGGGTATGGGTATACTGATTCGGTTGTACATCTCCTCCCGCTGTGTTTTGATGACCTTGCTGTTTTTTGTTCAAAGGTCTCCGCATGAACAAACCTCGAATCAGAAACTAAAACCCGCGAATCAGAAACTAAAATCCGCGAATCAGAAACCAAAAGCCCACGAATCAGAAACCAAAAACCGCGCGAATCAGAAACTAAAATACAGGAATCAGATACAAAACCCGGCGAATCAGACACTGAGAATCAGAAACTAAAACCCGCGAATCAGAAACTAAAATCCGCGAATCAGAAACCAAAAGCCCACGAATCAGAAACAAAAAAAACCGAATCTGACACCAAATCTGCCACTCCCTCTGAACAGTATGTTGAATGAGATATTACCGCCAACTTATCCTCAGAAGGGATCAAACCCGCCACCCCCTCTGAACAGAATGTTGGAAAGGATATTGCATTTATTTATTTTTTCCCCGTGAGGGATAAAATCCGCCACGCCCTTTGGCCATTATGTTGAATGATATATTACCGTCAATTTATCCTCATAAGCGATCAAATCCGCCACCCCCTCTGGCCATTATGTTGAATGAGATATTGATATTGCCTTCAACATATCCCCATACCGGACCAAATCCGCCACCCCTCTGATCACTATGTTGAATGGGAAATTACCTTCAACTTATCCACATATGGGATCAAATCCGGCACCCCCTCTGACCATTATTTTTAATGAGATATTACTTTCAACTTCCTTTTGTAAGGTATCAAAACCCCCCCACCCCGTCTGAACACTTTGTTGAATGGGATATTGCCTTCAACTTGTCTCCATACGAAATCAAATCCGGCCACTTTGTTGAATAATATATTACCGTCAACTTGTCTTCATAAGAAATCAAATCCACCACCCCCTCTGGCCACTATGTTGAATACATTTGAATAGGATTTTACCTTCAACTTCTCTTGTAAGGTATCAAAATCCGCCACCCCCTTTGATCACTATGTTGAATGGGATATTACCTTTGACTTATCTTCATAAGACATCAAACCTGCCACCCCCTCTGGCCATTATGTTGACTGAGATATTACCTTCAACCTATCCACATATGGGATCAAATCCGGCACCCCCTCTGACCATTATGTTGAATGAGACATTACCTTCAACTTATCCGCATAAGAAATCAATTCCTCCACCCCCTCTGGCCATTTTTTTGCACAGGATATTAATTACCTCCAACTTCTCTTTCCGATTGAAGGAGACAAGTTGCCCATTCTGATTGGTTCAGCTGGTTTAATTTCCGATTCTCCGGTTTTAGTTTCCGATTCACCTGCTTTAGTTTCCGATTCACTTGCTTTAGTTTACGATTCAGCTGTGGTTGCCCATTCAGGGGTTTTGGTTTACGATTCAAGGTTCTTAGTTTTCGATTCATGGGTTTTAGTTTCCGATTCTTTTGGTTTCCGATTAACAGGTTTTAGTTTCCGATTACTGTAACGGGTTTTGGTTTCCGATTCACGGGTTTTTGTTTCCGATTCACGGGTTTTAGTTTTTTTTTTTTTAATAGCTTGACCGTCTCCACATGTCTTGCAGCTCTTCAGGAGGTGCCAGCAACCAGCGAGATTAAAGAAGATGAGGAGGCTCAGGCTCGGAAACCCCACATCCACCATGACACTCCCATGAAACCATAACACGCTGAGCATCTATTGGTTCCGTTGGGTCATCCGTGTATCGGCCAAGACAAGAAATACTCCTTGTGTGCCTCTGAAGATCTCTCGGTTTTAATGGCTTCGTTGTGCATCAGGCTTCTATGGCAGATGACACCAAGAAAGAGGCGGCGAAGGTCAAAGAATATGAGGCGCAGCAGTTGGGTCACTAATTAGAATAAACTATGGCACTTGTTAGTGGCTGGAAAATTGATGGATAATTATGGATAATTAATGATTCTAAACTATGGCAATTTGGTAGCCTTCAGGAATCAAACATGGGCTAATTGTTCTAGCTGGGAAATTCCTGAACGAGATGGAGGGCGAGGGCATAGGCCTGGGGACAATTTGGGAAGATAAGGGCGATAAGCTGACAACTGCTTTTCACGTTTTCAGGGGGAGATGATCTTGGTGGATCCATTGCATCCAATTCTCATCCAAAAGATCCCTTTGAGATTCCAGTTTACCCTCTGCTAATTTAACATAGCTATGGAAAATCACCATTTTTAATGGGAAAATCCACTATAACTGGCCATTTTCAATAGCTATGTTTGTCATTACCAGAGGGTATGCTTCTCATCAAGCTCTGCAGCATCCACAATTTTTCGTCGCTGATTTCCAGATTTTCCAGGGCCAGGTGGCTGAAGGCGAGGGCGAGAGGAAGGAGAAGAGTGGCTCACAGATGAAGGCACGAAAGATCCAATGTGTTGGGCTTTTCGGAGTGGGCCTGTCACCGATGACTCCCATGTGAAGCATAAACAGGTCATACCTTTGATGGGTGAAATTTTGAGGAGTTACACTAAGTGGCTTATTGGGGATCACGATAAGCCATGATAAGCCAGAAGAATCAGAAGAGGAGGCGGTGTTTTCACCATGGTTGTTATTGTGGTTATTGTGATGCTGCGTTACTATAGTAGGATATTGTAATACCAATAGTCAGTACATGTCAGTACTATTACGATTGTATTCGCAATTGTTGGTACATGTTTGTACTATATAACCATTACCTATTATAATGGGCACTATTACTATCATTATAGTATTCATGGTGTATTGGCACTTTGTAATATCACGAAAGCCAGCCGCTAGGCTAGGCGAAGTTCTTTTTGCGAACAAAGTGAGTTAAGGGGGTCTGGGGGCAGAGCGGTCCTAACTGGCCAAAAATCGGGAAAATAGGTGGTAAAAAAGGTGGCCACAGGTAAAGTTTTTTAGGGTTATGTACCAGGTGGCAATTGGGTGACGGTGGGGTATCGATTCCCCCCTGGTCCGCCCTCCGAGGTGGACTTGGGGAGATTGCAATGGAGGGGAAAATGATGAGAAAAACAATGGAAAAAATGAGGGAATATGATATAAAACAATGGGAAAAAAATGGGAAAGGAGGGGAAAATGATGGAAAATGATGAGAAAAACAATGGAAAAATGAGGGAATATGACATAAAACAATGGGAAAAAATGGGAAAGGAGGGGAAAATGATGAGAAAAACAATGGAAAAAATGAGAGACTATGATATAAAACAATGGGAAAAAATGGGAAAGCAATGGAAAATTTGAGTAGAACGCTTGGAAAATTGATACGCGAGGAAAAACGGTGGAAAGAATAGGGAGAGGGTAAAATGATGCCAAGTAAAATTGAGGCTCCGATGTGGGACCATTATCGCGTAATGGAAAAGCAATGGAAAAATTGCAGTTTCGATATGAGGAGATGACGCACATGTGATGTGCAGAAGTTCAGTTTTTGCCCAAATTTTGTAAGCAATGCAATCTTCATTCTGAAATTTGGGATAAACAATGAACAATGGGAAAAGAATGGGAAAGCAATGGCAAATTTGAGTAGAACGCTTGGAAAATTGATTACAACGGTGGAAACAATGAGGAGAGGGTAAAATGATGCCAAGTCACGTAAAGCACGCGTGAAACATTGGAAAAGCAATGGAAAAATGGCCGTTTTGATTAACACCATGTGATGTGCAGAAGTTCCATGATGGTACTTTTTAGCAAGATGGGCAGCATACCTTATTCGCTCAAGATTTAGTGCATTCTTATGGTCCTTTGCTGCCTCGCCGATTGACCTAACTTCAAATACTGAGAAATCATATTTTTGACCATCTATTATAAATCTCATTCTTTTAGTTTGTTGTGGTATCCAAGAAGAGATGACACACATGTGATGTGCAGAAGTTCAGTTTTTGCCACAATTTTGTAAGCAATGCAATCTTCATGCCATAATAAACAATGAACAAATGAGGGAATATGACGTAAAACAATGGGAACACGAAAGCCAGCCGCTAGGCTAGGCGAAGTTCTTTTTGCGAACAAAGTGAGTTAAGGGGGTCTGGGGGCAGAGCGCCCCCAACTGGCCAAAAATCGGGAAATTAGGTGGTAAAAAAGGTGGCCACAGGTAAAGTTTTTTAGGCTTATGTACCAGGTGGCAATTGGGTGACGGTGGGGTATCGATTCCCCCCTGGTCCGCCCTCCGAGGTGGACTTGGGGAGATTGCAATGGAGGGGAAAATGATGAGAAAAACAATGGAAAAAATGAGGGAATATGATATAAAACAATGGGAAAAAAATGGGAAAGGAGGGGAAAATGATGGAAAATGATGAGAAAAACAATGGAAAAATGAGGGAATATGACATAAAACAATGGGAAAAAAATGGGAAAGGAGGGGAAAATGATGAGAAAAACAATGGAAAAAATGAGAGACTATGATATAAAACAATGGGAAAAAATGGGAAAGCAATGGAAAATTTGAGTAGAACGCTTGGAAAATTGATACGCGAGGAAAAACGGTGGAAAGAATAGGGAGAGGGTAAAATGATGCCAAGTAAAATTGAGGCTCCGATGTGGGACCATTATCGCGTAATGGAAAAGCAATGGAAAAATTGCAGTTTCGATATGAGGAGATGACACACATGTGATGTGCAGAAGTTCAGTTTTTGCCCAAATTTTGTAAGCAATGCAATCTTCATTCTGAAATTTGGGATAAACAATGAACAATGGGAAAAGAATGGGAAAGCAATGGCAAATTTGAGTAGAACGCTTGGAAAATTGATTACAACGGTGGAAACAATGAGGAGAGGGTAAAATGATGCCAAGTCACGTAAAGCACGCGTGAAACATTGGAAAAGCAATGGAAAAATGGCCGTTTTGATTAACACCATGTGATGTGCAGAAGTTCCATGATGGTACTTTTTAGCAAGATGGGCAGCATACCTTATTTGCTCAAGATTTAGTGCATTCTTATGGTCCTGTATCGCGTAATGGAAAAGCAATGGAAAAATTGCAGTTTCGATATGAGGAGATGACACACATGTGATGTGCAGAAGTTCAGTTTTTGCCCAAATTTTGTAAGCAATGCAATCTTCATGCCATATGTCTGAAATTTGGGATAAACAATGAACAAATGAGGGAATATGACGTAAAACAATGGGAAAAGAATGGGAAAGCAATGGCAAATTTGAGTAGAACGCTTGGAAAATTGATTACAACGGTGGAAACAATGAGGAGAGGGTAAAATGATGCCAAGTCACGTAAAGCACGCGTGAAACATTGGAAAAGCAATGGAAAAATGGCCGTTTTGATTAACACCATGTGATGTGCAGAAGTTCCATGATGGTACTTTTTAGCAAGATGGGCAGCATACCTTATTCGCTCAAGATTTAGTGCATTCTTATGGTCCTTTGCTGCCTCGCCGATTGACCTAACTTCAAATACTGAGAAATCATATTTTTGTTCTCTGGGTGAAAAGTATCTGGGTGAAAAGTATGTGCAAGAAGAGTTTCTGGGTGAAGTCTCTGGGTAAAAAGTATATATGGGTGAAAAGTATGTGCAAGAAGAGTTTCTGGGTGAAGAGTCTCTGGGTGAAAAGTCTGTGCAAGAAGAGTTTCTGGGTGAAGAATCTCTGGGTGAAAAGTATATGGGCGAAAAGTATGTGCAAGAAAAAAAATTGGGTGAAGAGTCTCTTTGTGAAAAGTATATGGGTCAAAAGTCTGTGCAAGAAGAGTTTCTGGGTGAAAAATCTCTGGGTGAAAAGTATATGGGTGAAATGTATTGAAGAGTCTCTGGGTGAAAAGTATGGTGGAAAATAGGGGTAGATGGGATGCTGGCTTTCGTTCCCCCCTTCTCAGGTTTTCCCTGTTATATTGGCACCATAATAATTTCCCTGTCATAACAGGCACTATTAAACTATATACACTTATATAGTTTTATATCCTGATACAACTATAGATATTCTATTGACTATAGTTATTACAATGGAATATTACTGATTATATTTTTGGTTGTAATATTCTATTAGTTGATATGCCATTAGTTATAGTGCTCTAATATTACGTCATATTAGGCGCAGGCATTCGCCCAAACTCCAAGTCCCAACTTCACTATTCTATGTGGAGGAAACTGAAGATGCTTAAAAAGAGCTCAAAGAGGGGTTTTGGAAAACGAGTTTTCGAAGACCCTTACAGCAGTCACAAATCCAAAAGCCGTTTTCGATCTCCAGCAAAACCATTTGAAGATATGTTGCTACAGTCATTTTGTACGGGAATGTCCAGGGTTTTAGCTCTACAATTCACGATGTCGTGAATTGTATATGTAAGATTATGTAAGTATTTCTATTTACCCTCTGGTTATTTAACATAGCCATGGAAAATCACCATTTTTAATAGGTAAATCCAGGTAAACCATCTATAAATGGGCCATTTTCCATGGCTATGTTAAATAACCAGATGGTATATGTATATGTAGAGCACTATATATTGGTTGTTGTTGGCACCTGTGTTTTTTTCAGGTGCCCACGACCTTCCGCGAGATGTTTTTGTTCAACGCCGCCGTCATGGGCTTCGGGGGCTCCACGTGGATGGACATCATCTTGGATCAGCGCCTTGGGAGAACGGGACAACGGCGTTCCGCAACGGGGAAAAACCATGGGGACATGGGGAGAACTGATACGGGGGATACCCTCTGGTTATGTCAAAATAGCTATTGAAAATGGCCATAGAAATAGTGGATTTTCCCATTGAAAATGGTGATTTTCCATAGTTATGTGGCTGTTTACCAGAGGGTATGGGCCAATGGGAGTAAAACAAATCCTGGAAGTTCTGTCTGGGATTTGATCGGATTTAACAGAACAAATCCTGGGATTTGAATAGGATTTAATGGGATTTGCTGGGGATGCATATATATATACACATACATACGCACGCGCACACACACAGATATATATATAGATACACATATGGACACATATACACATATGATATATATATATATACATATATATATATACATATACAAATATACATATACAAATATACATCTACACATATACATATACATACAGATATAGATATAGATAGATACACACATATATATATATATAATCATATACATATGTATGTCTAAATATATACATATGGAATCTGGATAAATTATAACGACTTCACTGCGACATCACTGTAATTATGTCCAGGATTGGGATAACTATTCCCAAGAGATCCCCAAAGGGCATATACTTCTGTTTGACATATCATTCATTGATTTGTTGATCTTATATGTCACCCGTGTTGCTAGCCACAATCACAGAATAATATATGAAATCAATGTGTTGATGTTTATTCCTATCTATATAACGTCGTTCACATCTTTTGTTCACTAGTACCTTGCGAGCCATGTCCCATCTGCGGCAGCAGTTGAGAGGTTGACACATGTTGACACTTAAGGTTTGATGCCTTGGTGGTCAACATTGCCAGCTCCTACCGTTTGCAGGAGCGGGAACCGCTTGTGAGCAGTTCGCTTTGCGCAAGATGGGAACAGTCTGGATTGGGATATAGGATGCTTAAATATAAACGGCTATAGTATGCTATAGTATGGATATGCTGGAATGTCATGGGGTATGATATGAATAACCAACAATCTTTAAGATGTTTTCCTCTCATCATGGAGAGCTCCTATGAATTTTAAGGCTTCCATGTGAGTTTTTAGCTTTTAACCATTGAATCTTCATGGCAATATGATTGCGAATGGCCGGATGAGCGGTGACCCCATCAGACCCGGAATGGAACAGATTGCTGCTGTTGAAAAAACCCAGGATATTGCATAATATTGATACACACGCAAATTAATTATACAAATATATTTATATAGATATATTATATAATGTACAAGTATTTGTATACATACTATATATATACACATATATGCTTATTTATATATGTAAATATCCATAGGTTGGTAAATATCGGAGCATCCCGCGAGGTTTCCCCCACCGAGTCGCGTTTTGGCTCAAGCCGCAATCTGCCGTGCCTCTTTTAAGTGACGCACAACCCGAAGAAGCGCTATGGGATTCTTGGATTTGTTTCAGCGCTGCAGGTTTGAACCGTACAGTAATTGGTCCCTTCAGAGTTACCACACCGTAGCATGATAAGCACACATAAGCACACATAAGCACACATAAGCACACATAAGCATGCATAAGCATACCTAAACACCCATAAACATACCTAAACACCCATAAGCATACATAAGCATGCATAAGCATACATAAACACACATAAGCATGCATAAGCACACATAAGCATACATAAGCATACCTAAGCATACATAAGCATACGTACGTACGTACGTACATACGTACATACATACATACGTTGTATGCTGGGGTTAGACATGCCTCCAATCAGGAGGTAGAAAGTACTGTAAATGGAGTTGGCGATGGAGAGAGGGAGAGAGGTAGTAGTCAAATTGGGTTGCAAACCCACTTATAACTGGTAGGGCCCCATCACTGCAGAGAGATTCACCGCGCAACACCATCATCTGCAAATTTACGCAGCTAGTTGGCTGCAGTCGAAGATACCACGAAGGAAGATGTACAGTCTAGGTAGGGTATACCAAATATGTTTTATATACATATATATATATATACATTTCAACATTTCCGCACACAATGCAAATAAACGAGCAACTGCATCAATGTTTGAAACCTGAATGAATGGCACCCCCCAAAAATAGAAGAGCACAATCCTACTAAACTAAAACCGTCACAGATGGCCGTTCTTTTTTCACGGAGTTACGTTAAAAACGGCATTATTCCCATTTCGACAATGATCCCTATGGATCCAAGTACCTCCTTTGGACGTCAAACATGACTGGAAAATCCATCAGAAACCTCCACTTAGTGAGTTGGGATTTCCCAGCTAGCCATCGAACTGATTGTTGGGAGTTATATCATGTTATATCAGTGACATCCCATATTAATCCGTATAGAATCTAGACTTTATATTTTCCCATGGTTTTTCCCTTCAAAAATCATAAAGAATAGCTATTCTCCATGGCATCTCCGATGATTTCCTCATGATTTTCCCAGCATTTCCGCTTCCAAGGAGCTTGCAGCAGTGCCGCTGCCGATGCCGCAGAGTTCAAGACAGTCAAGGGAAACCCGGCGAACCCAATGCATTTGAGGCAGTTCCTCGGCATGTTTTTTTTGAGGTGGAGATGTTCACCATGAAACGAAGCTCATGGGGGATCCCCAAGACAGCCATAGGAAACAATGATGGGTTTCAATATGTTTCAATACTAAAATGATCTAAAATGCTATGATTTTGGTGATTGTTGTGAGGTACCATCATTTTAGGATATTTTAGGAAAGCATGAAACATGGTGGGTGATTCAACCATCAAAAACCGTGTTTTTTTTTGGGATGTAATTAGGGATGTAATACCGGAGATCAGTTCCCCCAGGTTGGTGAAGATGTTTTTTTAAGGGCATAAGTACACACGGATTAGAAATCAAAGATGCAAAAACAATGCAGAATGATCAGAGAAAGCGTAGTGAATGGCACTAGTAAGTTACTTAGTAATAGCTTATTATGATAATGAATAGTCATGATGACCATGAACGATGACAATATCGAACAACGATGACGACGACGCCGACGACAACGACGACGATTGTGACATACTGTATACAATACCCTCCAGTACTTTAACATAGCTCTTGCCGTACCAGAAGGCCACGAATGCGAACGTCAAATGCAATTTCGAACATATCCTTCGTGGTTTCAAATGCATTGAAATTACAGTAGAAGATATGCGGATATATAATGAAGCCATACCTAGAACATGTTAAGCCGCACCACGGACCTGAGGCTACGCCTACGCTTGTGGACCATGACTAGTCTCATTGCGGGGTATGGCTGGGAAAAAACAACATAGCTATTGAGAATGGCCCATAGATAGATGATTTGACTGATCTGATCTACCTATTAAAGAAGGGTGTTTTTCCATCAAAACATGGTTATTTTCCATTCGCACATGGTGTTTTTCGATCAAAGCATAGTGATTTTCGATCAACGCATGGTGATTTTCAATTAAAACATGGTGATTTTCCATTAAAACATGGTGATTTTCTATTAAAGCATGGTGATTTTCCATTAAAACATGGTGATTTTCTATTAAAGCATGGTGATTTTCCATTAAAACATGGTGATTTTCGATCAACACATGGTAATTTTCCATTAAAACATGGCGATTTTCGATCAACACATGGTGATTTTCCATTAAAACATGGTGATGTTCTATTAAAACATGGTGATTTTCCATTAAAACATGGTGATTTTCGATCAACACATGGTGATTTTCCATAGTTCTGTTGAATTCCCAGAGGGCGATCATCTTCGCGCCCAGGCTTCAGCCTCAGCCGGAGCCACCGCTAGAAATGCCGCAGTGGGTGTCCTGCAAGGCCATTGAGCAGAAAGCAGCACCTGGAGGTCGCAGGGCCGGGATTTGGAGGTTACTCCAAGAAAAACACCCAAAAATGATGGGGAAACGTTCTCCTGGTATCATGGGGATGAGGCAATGGATGATCTTTGAATTTGGACATTATTGGATGATGCTGCCCTGGAAACTAATGGCGAAGATGATCTGAGATGTGAGTGTCATTATGTGAGTGTCCTTATGTGTTTTTTTTTGGGGGGGAGGAGGGGATCACGGGTGACATCAGCACTCCATGTTTTTTTTTCTCCTGTGGGGTAGTGCTTGACAACTGTTACACTAGGAGACACATTTGAGGGTTTCCATAAATGGGGTGGGCGGGGGGGCAAAATCTTCCATTTCAATGGCTTTATCATAAACCATCCATTTTGGGGTATCCCCAACCTTATGAAAACCAACCCCGTTTCTTTGGTCCAAGATTCAGGCACTTTTGTGGACAAGGACTTCCCAGCATCCTCAGAGAGCATTGGTGGAGTGACAGGCGAAGCTGGCAGCGAGGGAATCTTCACAGATTGTTCCGAAACATGTCTAAGTGATTGTAAGCGCATTTGTTGGTATGTCATATTGTTAAAAAAAACATAATATATATATATGCAATATAATATTACAGTACATTGCATTATATCTATATATATGATATATATATATAGATATCATATTCTACCATTCAGGATTGATCTCCAAAAATCTCAACTCAGCACTTGCATGAGCTGGGGATGGAAGCCGAAGGAGATGCTGCCAATCCCAATGTTGGCAAGTACCTGCAGGTGGGCTGGGAGGATCTGGCAGGGTAAACCGGATAGCCTCTGGTCAACAAACAGTTTCCTATTGAAAATGGCCCATTGAGAGTTGATTTACCCAGCTATAAAATGGTGATTTCCCATAATTATGGTAGTTTACCAGAGCGTATCTGAACTATATTGTGGTTTGAATAAAACAGGTAATTTTTGGCCTCAGGATCCCCATTGACGTCTCGCTTCAGGACATGCTGAAGCTGGTCGTGCCTGGTTGGGTTCGCCCGGTGGAAATGCCCCTGGGCTGTAAAAAACACGTCATGGAATTAGTAATTTGCCATTATTAATGCAGCATATTTTAGCAAGATTCGATTTACGTTTCTATCTTTCTAGGGATTGCTATATGCATGAACATGATTGTTCCTGAGACCAAAAGTTTGCTAAATTGGTCGCCAGACTGGTGGTATTTGATGGTATTTGTATATAATGAATCGCTAAGAATAATTACCATCGGTGTATTTAAGAATTGGGAGAGAAAGTCACTGAAATATACTAAAATGACCTTTGATGTTGCTTTTCAAGCAATGACCCACCAAAACTCTCTGACCTATCCCCAAGCCCGGGGTCGGACATGGATTTTTGCAGCAGCTGAGGGTTGGAAAGAACGCCACCAAGTACAAGCTCTACGGTGTGACTGGTGAGCCATGCCTTTTCAAGTCCCTTTGGCTTGCTGGCGCTGTCAGTGTGAGCCATGGAAATGTATCATTCCAAGCTGTCAAATTGTCAAATTATGTTTCAAATGTTATCGCTCATGGATTTGCCTGAAAATATGGTGCCCCAAAATCCCATTATGATCAATCTCCTTAGTCAACCTGTCGTTTGGGGGAAACCCACATTTTTCAATTTCCGAGGCACGTCTCTCCCCGTGACATCCAGCAGGGCTACTTGGGCAACTCGTCTCTTCCTAAAATCTGACAATTCTAGAGATAAATCATAGTGTAACAGGAATGCGCTAAGCTTTTTTTGGTGAATCATAACTACTGTCACTAGAAGGGTACATTTGTCATTTTTGCCTCTTTACATACCTAGTTCCTCTGCTATGTGGGGTGTTGGCAGCCCTGCAAATCGTCTACTTTCAGCTGTGATTTTGCATTGCCATGATTGATTTCTTCACCCTGCGAGTTCTGTTACGAGGATTTCTGGGTTGCGAGTCGTTTGGATGAAATTCCATACCACTTGTTCGGCGGAAAAAATGCCTCTTACTCTTGGAAACCCACGAAAAACAACCGATTTGGTATGCTTTTACACAGCCCAAAATGGCCAGTCATTTAGTGACTAGTTGGTGCTCAGGGTTGACCGATGGTGAAATCTCATGAAATCTCCAGGGCTCCAGGGCGGGCCAATAGTGGCATGACCGACGGATTCAATGAGAGTCATCCAAGGCAAAAACACTGATGGTATCCCCTCCTTCACTGAAGATTTTCCCTACATTTGATGGATTCTTGAGTGTAATGCCACATCTAATATATATATATATTATACAATGAATAAATGAATAAATAAATATATGTGATATCTTGTATGGTATACATACATTATATGATATAATTTAATACATTTTTTTTTTTAAACATATCATGGTAATATGATATGTGCATAGTATATATTGATATATCCCCAGTGGCCCAGGTGACTGCTGGTTGGTCTCCTCCTTCAGCGCCCTGGCCGAGTACCCGGACCGTGTGCGCTCCCTCTTCAAGCAGCACGAGCTCACTGAGGCTGCAGCTGCTGGAATCCTTCAATGAGGTGATAGATATATATATATATATTATATATAATGTATATAAAATGTATAATGTAAATTACATAATATATATATATTATATTGTACAGTCACACATATATATATATGGTATATACATGTTGTATAATGCGGGCAACATAATAATAGACGTACCATTTGGGAATGGTTTATACCTCCTATAAAAATGGTGATTTGGGGGATGGTTTATGAAATTGTTTTACCCACATTATATGTATGGAGTATGGAGTGAAGTGATCTGTATGTATACTAATATTCTGTGCATTTTCGAAATAGACTAATGTCGTGGTGTTTTAGATGCTTTTAGATTCAATTTTAGGAGGTCCTGTGCTTTTTTTTTCCTTCCATCAAGTCTTCAAATGATGGGTTGGCAAACAGAGGGCCAAAGGCTAGAATCTCAGAGTATATAGTGACAACACGGTGACCTTACTGGAATCATGGTTAATAAGGGGAACCATCCTCTCATGGGGTGACCGGCCAAAGGGAAGAGGATTGTCCTTAATTCAGGTTGGTGAAATGTTGTAATTCACTAGTATACATACATGTACATATAAATGGTAATCGATCTAAAGGTCCATGTAAGGAGTTTTAATTGCGAAAGCCGTGCATGTTATGTTGGAAACCCTCGCGAAAGTTTTTTTCGAGTTCGCGAAAGAGCATTTTTATTTTGCGAAAGTTTCCAGAAAGTTGGATATTATGAATCAATCATTATCATTGTAACCTGTATACATTACAGCTTGTTAAGGGCTACCACTTCCTGCCGCCTGGGGTCCAGCAGGAGAATGGCACCGCTCCATAGGTAGCAGCCAAGCTTCCGAAGCTGAGCCAAATACCATGGTCTTGAAGCATCTCCTTGCACCTGCCGCTGGTACTGCCGAACTTTGCTTTCTGAAGTCTCAAGAAACAATCTCCAAATGCAGCAGCCAAGCTTCCAAAAATGTGAGGCTTTGCACAGTTTCGCGAAAGTTCTGCGAAAGAGTGGGCAAAAGTCAAAGTGCATTTTGAAGGGAGGTGGCCCAGAAGCCTTGCCAAAAATTGCCTAATCAGCAACAACTTGTCCTGAGAAGGGGATTCTGTGATGCTAGCTGCGTGTTTTGATAATTTTGTGTGATTTGGCAGGTGATGAATGAATCTTCATAAGAGGAGTTGTTGCTCAACATGCTTTCCGCGAAAAAACATGAAGTTCGCGAAAGATTCGCGAAATATTTTTTTTATTCGCGAAGAATGGCCGTTCCCGGAAAAAGGAATTTTGATCACCAACCATCTGATAGCCGGAGTTCAAGGTGCTACACGAAACTCGCGCCAACATTCGCCACATCATATCCAACATTTTCCTGCGCATATTGCATACAGCGAACCCACAACGACATCATTATAAAATATCATAAAATGACGTTTAGTGTTTTGAAAACCATCCCCAGAAAATATTTTTCAAGTTTAGGACTTACTTCGGAGTGTTTTTCCATTTCTCCAAATGATTATTCCCAAGTTACTTCAGGTTTGCCCAGATCTCTGAAACCGGGTGTAGCCTTGCTGCCCCAGGATGGGAGGTATGACATCAGGCTCTACTGCCCTCACGCGGAGGAGTGGAAGGTGGCGTGTGAAAAATCGCTTTCTGCCCATTGTTTCAAATTTTTCCATGGGATGTTTATCATTGAATCATCATTGAACCACCCTGGAATCATCATCGAATCATCATTGAAACATCACTGAGTCATCATTGAATCATCATTGAATCATCATTGAATCATCATTGAATCATCATTAAATCATCATCGAACCAACATTGAATCATTGAATCATAATCGAATCATTATCGAATCATCATTGAAACATCATTAAATCATCATCAAACCAACATCGAACCATCCTTGAATCATCACTGAATCCTCACTGCCGTCATGAGCGTGGTATACTTTCTGGGCGGTACAGCCAGGTGATTACTATTGATGATCGCATTCCATACTGGCAACGGCCTGGCGCGTGGCTTGACTCATCCCATCTCATCCCCAAATGTTAGTCCCACTCCCATTTTGGTCTTGGGTTTTTGAAATGTTTGCCTGATCAAGGCAGTAGACCTGAGATGTTTCTTCTGTTGAACCCAAGGGCCTGTTGGCAACCTGTAACTGAAACTTTGGATCTTGACTCATTTGCCACGTGTTTTTGTGGGACCTGTCTTGAAACCAAGTGCTTTGTCTATTCAGGGCCTTTATCGCTACAAGACACATCACTTGAATATCGATGAATATTGTGCGACAAACATCAAGACTTTTGAGGACCACGTTGCATAGTAAAACGCATGGTTTTCATTGGTCGTGTGGAACTGGGCGTGTCTGTGCCCCGAAGTGTCGCCGTTTCAATCATCATTTTCTCATATTTTCCGCAAAGACAAATGCAACGTCTCCCATTATATCACAGGGGTCAATCCCCATGATAGCCCACATTTTTTCTTGATTTCAAAAAATCAAAAACCGGTTCAAATTTGGTCTCAGGTATGGCACGCCATGCTTCGCGAAGCCAACCAAAGAGAAACTTGGACCTGCAGCTGATCCTGAGTTGGATGTCTCTGGGTTAGCGACCTCAAGACAGGTTGATTTTCTCGAAGATCTCATCTGTAACCTCTGGTAATTTCACATAGAAAATGGAGGATGAACATGGAATTTTGACCATTTCAGGTACCTAAACTGGAGGTAGTACCACATAAAGCCATATTTTGCGGGTATCACATAGCCCTTATTACATAGAACTTATACTATATATGGTAGATACCTCCAATTTAGGTTCCTGAAATGGCCACTGATTTGAGGCACCGAATACCCCTTCCCAAAAAAAAATCTGGACGATTGTCAAAAGATGCAAAAACCATAGAATCGCGAACTTTAGGATATATTAGGCACCTTCATCGTTTGAAACAACAAAGCATTCCCCAGGCTTTCTTTTATGGCTGAGTATTCTTTGGGGATTTCGAGATTGGGGGTTTTTAATGGTAATGTAGTAGGCTCAATAGCCAGCTTAACCTACAATAACAAATTTCACCAGACATGGGTGAGAAGGAAACCTCTAAAACTCGAGGTTATGAAATTCGCTTTGCCGCATCCACAGTATCCGCTTGGCTTTCCGAGTTAAATCTCCAAGGATCATTGGATCATGATAAATCACCTCCTCGATCGTTGAGAAAAACCACCATTGGATACTATAGTGGATAATTCAACTATAGTGGATAGTATACTACTATAGTATCCACTATACCATTGGATAATCACCTCTACTATAGTGGATAGTGGATAAATTCATGTATAAACTCCAAACCGAGTGGTTTACCATCATTTCTCCCTTCAAAGTTACCATCAATAGGAGGTAAATCCACCATTTCCAGGTACACAACGTGGGGCCCAGGTAGATGTTTGTAGATGTTTGTAGATGTTTGTAGATGTTTGTAGATTTATAAACTCCAGTGACTAACTTTATATGTCTACCATAAGCCCTAGTTGCCCCTCTGGTAAATTAACATCGACCCTGAACATTGCCAATTTTGAGTGGTTTCACTCATCTTCAAAGCCCTATCTGGCAGGGTCTATCATCCATTTTCATGGGGATTTTCCATATTTGTTTATCTTAAACCATCCAGCTATTGGGGGTACCCCCAAAACGCAAACCTCCGTAGGAGATATTAGAAGCCTTTCGCTCAGCGTTCAGGAACGAGTTCTGGCCTTGTCTCTTGGAGAAAGCCTGCGCCAAGCTGGTGAAGGTGCGACGTTCAATGTCTGGCCGGGAGGAGATTTTTAAAGGGGCCCCCAATGAGGATTCCTGAAATATCCTGAAATCATGACTTTTTGACGCCTTTTTTAAACGTTCTTTCTTTTTAAGTCAGCACCCTTCTGACTTTGAAATATGTTTAATAAGTTTAATTCTTTCATTTATTTGAAAACATGAATGTAATGTGATTTCAAAGGGGTTTTCAAATGTATTGCTTGCCGGCGCCCAGGCCTACTATCGCCTGGACGGAGGCTTTGAGGCTGTGGCGCTGGAGATGCTGACGGGCAAACCCGCGATCAGTGCTTTGGGTGATTTAGTGGCCATTTTGAAGGAGATTCCAATGGGATTTCAATGGGATTTCAACGGGGTTTAATAGGATTTCAATGGGAGTTAATAGAAGTTAATGGGATCTAATGGGGTGCGATGCGAATTCAATCGGATTTCAATGGGTTCTCAATGAGATTTCAATGTGACATAATGTGATTTCAATGGGTTTCAATGTGATTTCATGGGGGTTCAATTGGATTTCAATGTGATTTAATAGGGTTGAGGGTCGTCACTCATCACCGACAGGCTAGTTAGTGACTAGTGAGTTGTAACCATAACCAAAGAAAGAACGGGTCCTTGGGAACCGCTGTCAACCCACGAGTATGAAGAGAATGCCGGAGGGTGTGGACTGAGGCGTTGGTATCAGTCTGGACACATCTGGACACCAGCCTTATGGGCGTCTTAGCTGCCCTTGGACTTGGTTGTGGTGGTGGCTTGTGATGGCCTCTAGGGGTGCTCCAGGGTTCGTTTTTTTCCAGACCTGTGATGACCTTGTTCCCTTTGATCCGGCCTTCAAAGCCGCGGCCAGGAATGGGGCCCTAAATAGGGGCCCCGTGCCATGGCTTCATCATGGCCACAGCCGCTTCTGCCCGGCTGAGGATCATAACTGGTCCTGACCAGAACCATTTGGCCCACGCCACCGTCTACATGCGCCTGCAGGGAGTGGATGCCAAATGGCAATTCTTTGGGCAGGACTGGCAGGGACTTCAGCAGGGTCAGGTACTCAGGAAGAGGTTAAACAGTTAAAACACAGCTATGCATGGAAGAACCCTATAGGGGGATAACCCATGATAAGCCTACCGAAAAACAGCGGTTATAATATAACATAATATAACCCCAACTATACAGTCTATACACTTACAAATCTTTTGATACTCATTGATACTCATTGATGCTCAAAGTTACCAACCACATCGGCGATGCAGAGCAGAAGTTGACCCGCAGAAACTCAGGATTTCACAGCATCAGCTTGAGCAGCCGGCTCAATCCGAAAATCAATCTTGATTCTAATTTCCCCCGTCAAGGCCTTTTGCTCACCATGGGCCAAAATCAGATTCTCAAAGATTTGGATGTTTAACACATGTTGCCACCAAAACTTATGACATCTTATGACCACTCCTGGGGTTTGGCCTTAAGAATTGATATCTGTGACCTATAGCGGTGACTGTAAGAACCAGGATGCTTCCTCCCTCTGCGACAACATGACCAACCTCACTGACACTGACCTTTGGGCCAAGTTGCAGGCATCACAGCTGCGATATGAACAAACCCCAGGGCCATCCAGGGCCCCATTGAGGCTCACACATGTTTTCTCCAAGATGTTTATTTTGCATTGTTTTACTGTATTTTGGTTGCTAGATGTTATTAGCATTGATATGGCATCCATGTGTTTTCAAAGTAAAGTGTTCTTGGGGAAAACATATACAGTATCAACTTTTTTGGTGGGGCGCGCGCACACGCACACACACACACATATATATATATAAGTATACAACCTCCGATGTTTGGAGAAGGGCCGAAGGAAGAGCCAGGGTTCAACCAAACAGCACTGCAGGCCTGGGACAAGGAGGGCTACAGCATTGCGTGCGGAAGCCGTGGCAACTATCAGGGCATCATTGCAGGCGAGACGTGGTGGGGCAACACGTGCCATCAATGTAGTGCTGCCCCCACAGTTAGTTCATGTTGGTTTTAGGACTTCAGTAGCTAGAGATTAATACTGTAGATACATAATCTTTGCCAACAGGGATTGTAAACAGACTGCCAGCTGATTGTCGAAGTATGGAAAGTTTGTGCCCAATTTATATAATGCTATGCCATTGTTGACATGGCAGACACGTCAGCCAAAGACTGGTGGCGTTTGGTCAGGTCATGCCTACACCATTTTGCGCCTCCTTGATGTGCCAATCACAAGAAATGGCAAGAGCATTACCCTGCAGTTGATGCACGTGCGCAATCCTCACGCGACCAATGAAACTCGAAAAACGCGTGGGATGTGCAATTGGATTTCGGGGGCTGGAATGGACTGGATATTGATTTCTATTTTTTTTCTTTGGTAAAGTGAAGTAGTCAGTATGACTGCAATACCATCCGCGCGCTCCCTTGAAGACTTGAAGGGTCTGGGTTGTCAGCGTGACATGTTGACTCCACGTTGGCTCAGGAATGGAAGGGCAAGTGGCACGATGATGATAAAGAGAAACTTGGAAGAACTTGGAACGGTTATTGATGGTGATATGGTGCCAGGTCAATGCAGTTGGGCTTCAAAAACTAACAGATTCATTCGCATTCCACAGGTTTCTGAGGATGAATATCTTATTAGATTTCATAATCTTTCATTATCTTTCACCATATTTCACTATATTTCATTATATCTCATTACCATCTGGTTATGACTAACAGTTCGCCATGGAAAATCCACCCATTTTTTTTTGCAGAACGGTAAACCTAGTAGTAAACCATCTATTTCGATTAGGGCCATTGACAACCCATGGCGAACTGTTACCCTTTGGTAAATTAACATAGACCCTGCCAGATAGGGGTTGGAAGACTAGTTTCCACTATAAATTGGTCATGTTCAGGGTCTATGTTAATATACCAGAGGGTAATGGGATATTTCACTAGTAAACATAACAGATACAGTATCATGTGGGTAAAACAATTATAAACCATCCATTTGGGAATGGTTTATAGCACCTATACTGGATTTGCTGATGCCCATTGGTTAATCCACCATGTGGGGGACTGCCACGGGCTGCCATCCATGGCCATTGAGGACCTGGAACGCCTATCCAGAGGCGATCATTTTTTCGTCGTGGAAAATACGATGGGCAGAGCAATGTGAAGTGCTACTACCTGTGACAACATATCCACATAACATAAGAATATTATCATTATTGTACAATGTGGTACCCCCCCAGTTATAAGTTAGTTTATAACCCCATCAACTATAGATATATCTACCATAAGTCCTACTTATTGTAGTTATAAACCAACTTACCTGTCTATGGGGCACCACTATGTACCATCTGGTTATTTAACATAGCCATGGAAAATCTGGAAAATCCATGATAAATGGAGGTTTTAATGGGAACATCATCTATAAATGGGCCATTTTCCATGGCTATGTTAAATAACCGGAGGGTATATGTATATTGTTACTATTGACATTATTGTTGTTACTATAATTATTATTATATTCTATCTAAAAAACTGTCTTCTTATCATTAATCTTGTGCATATTAAATGTGCGCCCTTATGCATGGACGCATGTTATGTACGCACACACGCACACACACACACATCTCTCTCTATATATATTATATATATATACATACATACACATATTTATATATATGGCTATATATATGTATACATATATATATATTATATAAGCATATAGTTATATAATTATATATATATATATATGTATGTATGTACAAATATATATATATATATGCACACATGGCGTGAAATATAGGTGAGGAGGAAAATCCGATTGCATTCTGGTTGATGTTCGGAGCGGCATGCTATGCGTGGGCCAACCAGAAATTTTCCAGGTTTACACCTCTGGTGGGCTACCCTCTGGTAATTTAACTATAGCCATGAACATGGCCCATTGATAGTTGATTTACCGATTAAAAATGGGTGATTTTCATTGATTTTCCATAGTTTTTTGTATGTGTTCCAGAGGCTAGTAGAGAGTAGAGATGGCCACAGTGTTTAACATTTGCAGGCGCTGAAAGCAACTGGCCACAAGATCGGGGTGAAGGACAATGGCGTCTTCTGGATGGAATTTCAGTACCCTGAGCGCCTTCTAAGACCCGGCTGGAGAAGTGGATGGGGTACCATGTTTGGCTGGTGGTTTTGAATTGTCTATGGTCATCTACAGTCTATAGTCTATAGTCATCTATGGTCATCTATAGTCATCTATAGCCATCTATATTCCCAGTCCCTATTTGCGACCATGATCCAAGATGACTTCAATTCATCTCAAAACCAGTCCCACAACTTTTGGCCATGTGCAGGACTACAAGCACGGCTTTGCGGAGGTTGCAGTTTGCTTCGACAAGCAGAACAAGGGAAGGTCGGGTGGGTAGCTTCAACCGACTGGTGTGGTGGATAATCACCGACTGGTCATTTCACAATAGCTATGGAACAATCACCATGTCGGAGAGGTAAATCATGGAACATGGAACAAAATGGGCAATATTCACCCCGCTTCGCGTGGGGTGGCCGCCCACACCGCAGGTTTATTTCGGTCCGTGAGAGGGGCTAAGGGTGGTTTTCCCCCGTGGGGCCAAGCTAAGAATTTTCACTTTCCCCCCCTGGTGGGGGCTCCCCAAGCTAGGGAATTTTTACTTTTCTCCCCCGTGGGGGCTTTTTAAGCTAGGGAATTTTCACTTTTCCCCCCCGTGGGGGCTCCCCAAGCTAGGGAATTTTCACTTTTCCCCCCCGTGGGGGCTCCCCAAGCTAGGGAATTTTCACTTTTCCCCCCCGTGGGGGCTCCCCAAGCTAGGGAATTTTCACTTTTCCCCCCCGTGGGGGCTTCCCAAGCTAGGGAATTTTCACTTTTCCCCGCCGTGACAGCTTCCCAAGCTATGGAATTTTCACTTTTCCCTCCCTTGGAGGCTCTCCAAGCTGCGGAATTTCAAATAGCTAGACAACGACGCCTAGATAGTCCCCCAAATCCCGTGTTCTTTGAATGTGTTTCCATGTTTTTGCAATGGTTTCCTTCAAAGCACGGTACTTTACACTTTTGTCGCCATAAAACCGGTCGAAAACATCATGTTCGACAATGCTTCCTACTGTTGTAGGTTCCCAGATCCTTGATCTTCTCAAACCCCACCACCAAGAAATCGCACCTGCTTGTTGGTCTTTTTCAGGTCGCTATAGCTGCATGTCGGCAGCGGTTGGGCTTGAATCAAAAGCAGCTTCGGTGACAGCCGCAAATGAAAACAGCTGAGTCTGAATTGACATGGAAAATGGGGGTTGGAATGCATGTTATGTACTCTGAACACAGCACTCCCCCTTTGAAGTAGCCGTTAGGCACTTCAACCAAAATACATTCGGCCCAGCTCAAGCTGCTATATTCAAGTACCTTCAAGGCATGCAGTGCAGAGTGCAAAAGTGGAAGCTCTTTCAGCTTCTTCACATGTCACATCAGTATGAAAATCGATCTCTCGGCCGCTGATCAGCACTGCAAATCCATGCCCAGGAATTCTTCCAGTCTGGGCTGCTTCGGCTCGACACTTGGTGCACCATCGATGGAGTCGCGCATGTCCAGTCATTGGCGCAGTGAGATACCGGCAGTCCAACCGATTGTGATACACGGTTCCATGCCGCGTAGTGATCACTTCGAAGGGCAGGAGTGGTAGCGCTGGTTCAGCTTGTGGAGGATTCATAGGTCCCAAAATGGGATGTCCCGGCTGAGCATTGGTGAGCTCATCACGAACTCGATCTTCTTCTCTGAGAATTTGATTCCACTCAGCCTCGTAGTTAACCATCGTCGCATCATGTTGGCGAAGCATCTCGAGAGCAGCGGCTCGTTCTTCTTGACTTTGAAAAAGTGCCGATGTCTCATGCCCAGGAATCGTTCCAGTCTGGGCATCGCGATCGTTAAACCCAGGAAATGTTCCAGTCTGGGTAATTCGTGAGTCGGATCCAGGAATTATTCCAGTCTGGATCACTTCGGACTCAGGCCCAGGAAATATTCCAGTCTGGGCCACGTTCGCAATATACCCAGGAAGAATTCCAGTCTGGGTAGCTTCTGATTGTAAAACCACGTTGATCGCCTGTTCTGGTCGCGGAGCTTCTGATGTTGAGGGCGGATCTTCAGGAATTGGAAGCGGAGCTTGAGGTGGTACTTGATCACCATCATTTGAGTCGGTGGACCGGCTTTCATTTGATGCCGGGAGCGATTCAGATTGATCTCCTTCGGGGATCTCTTCCTCCTTTCGCACAGCGTTCATGGAGAGTCTTCCAAGGTTGGCCAAAACATACTGTCGTACGACGATGACCCCTCGTACTGCTGCATTCCAGATTCGCTGCGCCACCAACGTCAAAATGATGATTCCCAAGGTGTAGGCAATGATGACCTCAAAAGGATAGGTCTCTTCGTGCTCCTTCTCCCCCTCTTCCGCTTTGACTGCAGCAATTGACGCTGCAAGAGTGATCAGCCTCAAAACTTGGGCTGCCTCCGCGACTTTGGTCTTTTCCTTGGTGGTCAAAAGACCGTCCTGCTTTTCTCCTTCTTTCTTTTCTTCAACTTCCATACTTTTCACTTCATCTTTGATTACCAGTTTTCCCATCCCCATCAACTTTTTGAGGAACTCAAGTCGTGCCGCTGTGAGTGGCTTGGTGCCGATGTCGGCAATCATGAACTCACCAGCCACATGCTGAATGACCCATTCACCCGCAAGGATCGACTGCCTTGCGAAGGAGCACCTCAGCCTCAAATGGCGGGTTCGCCAGTTACCACCATCGTTGGACAAGATGGCAAGTGCTGACTGGCTGTCAGTTTTGAGAAGCTTGTGGACCACAGGGAAGAGCTCTGCCAGGATCACGTAGATCGATTCACCAGCTATCATGCCCTCCACGATCTCAGTGAGCTCTGCTTCAGCAGTTGAGAGCGTGATGTAGCTCTGGCGGCCCGATCTCCAGAAAATTGGAGTTGTGCCCAGCAAGACCACAAATGATCCATGGCTCTCCTGTGCATCCGGCGCAAAACCTGCATCAGTGTACACCGTCAAAACGGGGCTTTCACCTTCTTTCACATTGAACATCAACCCTTCATCTGAAGTGGCCATCAGGTAGCCTTTGAGCTGGAGTGCGGCTGCCAAAACGGCATGTGGTGCCCTCGTGGATGATGAGCCCATGCGGCTTACAGCGTACATGATGTCTGGCCGTGCCCGGGTTGTCAGCCACAAGACTTCGCCAACAGCTTTTTGGCAGGAGCGGATCAGCTCAGGTGTGATCTCAGCCTCATTTGGTTCCATGGCTGATTGATCTCTGGTCAAAGGGATCCGTTTTGGCTTGACTTCAGGATCCTTTTGTGTGAGGTCTTTGGTGTAGGACTGCTGCGTCACCATCCAAACATCTCTTTGAAACTCCTCTTTCCATTCTTTTGAGATCTCCATTCCCAGAAATCTGACAGGTTCCGGGCCGACAAACTCTGGTGTTGAAGTGGTCCATGTCGATTGGATCTTGGCCTGCATGGCTTGGAGTAAGTTTGGAGATGATGCCAGCATCAGGTCATCCACGTACGTCATCAAAAGACCATACAGAGTGGTGTCTTCTGGTTCAAGGGCATTTCGCAGTTTCCACAAGTTGGGTTCGGACTGCAAAGGCTCCAGCATGAACTCCATGTGCTTTCCATTGTGCTCCCCCTGGATTGAGAAGTCAGAGATGGTCTCATCCCTGGTGAGGCCCCACAGTCTTGGAGACCGTCGCAACCCATAGATCGCTTTTTCAGGCAGGTAGTAGACATCTCTTCTCAGGTACTTCTTCTCGACCAGGAGAGCAGGAGGTTTGATCAGGATTGGATCCTCATCATCGGCCAATACCATCTTGGCGTTGAGGAAGGCTGTGCGCACATCGAGAGTTGAGGCAACCCATTGGTAAAGTGCGCAGCACCAACATAGAATGCGCAGGGCGGAGGCATCTGCACCTGAACTGAAGTTATCCTCCTGTTCTTTCTTCGGTTCCAAGTTGCCACAAACAACCCACCTCATCTTTTTCTTTCCTCCTTCTGGCCCTGGCTTTCTGGTAAAGACCAGCTTGGATGGGATGAACTCAATCCCCTTTCCTGACCTTTCAGCCTCCTTCTGCATCTTGTGGAGTTCCTCTGGATAGATTTCTCTGAAGGCCTCCTTTTCTTTGAGCAAGGAGTCAACCTCATTGGTGATGGCCGGGAGCCAATCGCTCCAGTTTTCGGCCACTTCACGTGGTGACACAATTCGTGTCTGCAAGACCTCTTCTTCTTCATTCGTCTCAGCTGCCATCTTCCTCATGTTGGCCAAAATGGCCATCTCATCCATCACTGTTTCAGGATCATCATTGATCATCATTTTCATCTCATCTTCGATGACCCTTATGTAGTTGATCCTCCTTTTCTTTTGATCTTCTCTTTCTTTCTCTTCGACATCATCTTCTTCGATCTTTCTGATCGCTGATTTTCCTCGAAGTCTTCGGCGGACCAAGAGGGCATCCACGGTGTCCTTTTCCAAGGCGAGCCATTGGTGCTCAGAGACGGGGTCTTTGGCCTTCTTCATGACATACCTCGTCACTCGTGGCGGCTCATCCTTCGGAAGGATCCAGTGGCCATGTTCTTCTGTTGCTGGAAAAAGGTATTGAACCGTTTCCGTCGTGGGCTCAAAAACACCCTTTCTCCATGTTCTTCTCCTCACCAAAACCTCTTGCAAAAAAGGTGGCAACTTCGGCTCTTCTCCAATCCTCCAGCTTCTGTTCAGGGCATCAGCATATCGAGCTGCAAGGGGCCAGAGTTCACTGCCAACGTCAGCAGCTTTCAGCAATCGCCTCACCTGAGTTTTGAGGGTCTTGATGGCTACTTCAACTCGGCCATTTGCTCTGGGATCATCGCCCGAGGTGCGAGACAAAGCTATGCCCCGCGAGTTAGCCCATTTTTTGAACTGGCCGGCAAACTCCCTTCCCCTGTCGCTATGGATGCGACCGATGTGGAAACCATCCATGCGAAGCCTGAGGAGCATGTCCATTGTGGTTCTTGTCACCTCCCTTGCGGTCTTGGTGATCATCGGAGAGGCCAGGCGGAAGATCTTGGTGTCAAAGCCACCTGGTTGAAGTTCTTTTTCTCCATCTTTCGGTTGTGAAGGTGGTAGCAGATATGGCGGCACTGGATGAGGTTTTTGAGAGAGCTCATCCTCTTTCTTTTCCCCATCTTCTTCACCCCAAACTTCTACCTTTTCTCCTTCTTCTTCTTCAGCCTCACTTCGTTCTTCTCTTTTATCTTCTAGGGCTTGGGCCCCTTCTTTTCCTTCTTCTTCTTCAGGGTGAACCTCAAAGTGAGGTTCATCTCCGTCAGCTTGTGGAACATGAGCATCTTGGAGC